ACTGGCCCATCCTAAACTGCTAGGGGCTTACCAAAAGCCGAAAGCAAACAGGGGAGCTGCCGATAAGGCTGCCCTAATATCACTCGCCTCGTTTACACCCACCTAATTGCAGTCTCAAGTGATATACAGTGGCAGTGCTGCACATAAAAGCCAATTACTTTGTTGTTTCCCACCGACCCATTGAATTGTGTGAACTTTGACGTGTTATTTTGATATTCAATGATTTATTTCTGATTTATCTGAGATTTATCTGTGATTTACGGGAGCATTTCGAAGGCCTCGACCGAATTCCGCCGTAATCGATTACTAATCGGATAATAATATCTTTGATACTACATATAATATATGTACTTCTACGATTAATTTTAACTGTTTTGACAACCGACATAAACGTCTTGAGTATTTTTTAAGAGTCATTCATGGTTGAGTACTGATAGCAGAAGTAAACACTACTATATTAAGAATATAATTGCGAATAGTTAAAATAACACAGCCTATCTATTACTATATATACATATATGGCAAGAACTGAATTGGATATGTAGAACTTTATGGATATGTAGAACATTTTTTGAGAATTTTTAGAATTTGTAGAATTTTTACAGATATTATTTTAAAAATGTTTCTTACAATTTTCAAAAACTATAAATACATTTTGGGATGTCTTATAACAAATTATGGATAAATCTCTGAAATTCTAGGATTTTGATGACTAAATAAATTGTTATATAATCAGCTAATTAAACCATAACATATCCTCTATAATTTTAATTTCTGATTTATTCACATTTTACACTTAATTTTGCACAAATTGTTTTAGATGGCCCTAACCGAATTCCACGTTAATCTGGATCGATTGCGGCAATCGGGGTAATCAGTCGGGAAACACTCTCGGATATATTACGCTTACGAGGCACTTACAGTATCACAGGCTGTGCCCGATCCACTAATCACGGCTAACGTCATTATTCCAATAAAAATCGAACCGAGAACAATTAAATCGTGTATACGCCGCGTTCGGCGACGGAGTTGTTTGTAGAGCGATTGGCGGAGACAGAATAAAAGCGCGAATCTGACCAGACGTTCAATTTAAAACAAAAGTTAGCCGTCGACAGTGAAGTGAGCCTCTATCTCGATCCCAAAGCTCTCGGAACTCGCTCGAGTACCGCCTCAGCCCCTCGATCTCCACCGATCTCCCACCCCGTGAAGCAATCGCACTTGGCAATGGCACTGGATAAGCATGAACATTAACATTAACATTGAGTCAGACATTCGCCTGAATCCGGGGTGAATCGGGGTTCACGGGTTGGTGGGTGGAGTTACTATTATAGTTTCGACTCTTTTATTGCAATTCCACAGTCGCGGCCCAGACAGCAGAACGTGAGAAATGACCAAAAACCGGAGACAGACGACATATGTCGGCCGATAAAGATGTCAGCGATCTTGTAGGCCAGTGCACACGCAGTACTTGAAGCTCTTATCGCCAAGATAAACCCTACATAAGGGGGAGTTCTCTTTTGGTTCCATTTGCGCTTCTAGCGGAGATTACCAAAATTAAAAAGCTTACCTACTTAACCCTCTAGTGATTATTTTTAGACAAGCGACAAAAACCGGAACCTTAAATAGCATCATCTAGTTTTTTAGTTTTCAAGATAAGATTTAAAAGAAAATTAAAAACAATTAACTATAAGAAAAGATCTTGAGATATAATAAGTTTATTTAGGATAGTTTTTCTCATATAATATGTTGTTTATAAAACTAAACAATAAATGATAAATCTTACTGTTTTCTATATGAAAAACTATACCAATCACTGGTTATTTATTTCTTTAGGAAGCAAAGAAAAAAACTTTATTTTCGTGAAAAAAATGGTTTAAATATGGTTGCTGAAATTTTGCTAGGGCAACGTTGGACATTTAAGGCCTAAAGCTATTCGAAACTTGAAGCCACTTACGTTTTCTGGCGTCGACATGGCTGAAATGGCAGATGAGAAGTCGAGCAGAAGCGCAGACCGCAGACCTTGCACCACGAACCTTTCACCCTGACCAAGCCGGGACCAACTGAACCGATCGCATCCACGGATTACCCGATGGTAAGCTCTCTGCACGCAGCACCAAAAACTGTGTCACCCTCAATTCGAACTTCCTTAGGCGATGCAAACGAGTGTAACCGAGCCAACCCCAATATAATAATAATAAATCAGCACTCATCAGCGGCGCAGAGGTGTCCCAAATGGGTTTCGCTCTTTGGTGCGCAATTCTTCGTGATTAAACCAACGCATAGTGCCTAAAACTGTTTAGAGCCTCAAATTGAGAATAACAAAGCAATTTTTCAATTGAGCCGCCACAAATTTACACGCTTCCATGATATATGGGTGGGCAGAACCCGCTCTGCATACACGCTGTATTTCAATCTGAAAGTAAAAGTCGGGGAAATTGGCGAGGCCAAAGGGCAGTCGACCACCTGAACCATTCGACAACGGGGGTGACCATCGGATCAACAGGGAAATGGTCTACTGAATGGGAAGGCAAATGGTGAGGAGATCGCCGGGCCAGCGGCACGTGTTCTTTGTTTAGTGACACCAAACAGGGCAGCGCAAGTTCAGGGCGAAATCAATTTTCCCTTGCCCGTATTATGTGATGCTCTGCGTTGCACTGGAAAAAATAATGTTAAAAATTAAATTCATTAAATTTATTAAATTCTGATTTAATATTGAAAATGTTGTCTATTAAATCACATATGAAACTAAATAGTATGCTATAATAAAAATAATGTAAACAAATTCTTCTTCTTTTTTTAATAATTACTTCAGAAATTATTCTACAATTTTATAGACTTGAATTACTAAAACTTAACTTAAAAATAAGTACTTATTTAAGTATTAGGTATTAAAAATATTTTCTACAGTAAGTTCTCTTATGTTATGTAACTAAAATGTATTTTAAAAAAATTCTTTAAAATAAATCCATTAAATCAAAGTTTGTGTTATACTTTTGATTCCCACTGTAAGCGTCAATACTCAACAAATTAAATATAATTTAAGCCAACCAGAGTGCTTTTGTGTATTTTTACACCTAATCAGATGAATTTCGCATGCAATTATCACAACGCAATCTCTATATTTAAGCACAAATGCGTTTGCCTTGCCCGATCAGATTGGAAATTTGTCATTTTCATAATGATATCTAAATGCAAAGGCTTAAACCTGAAAGCTTTTTTTCATTTACTCAATCAAATTGGTGTTTTCACCTCGTACCCATCCAAAACATAACGTCATGGTGTTTTTTCCTAGGTCGACCGATTAGCCTAGTCAGATCAGAAACCAATGTTTGCTTATATTAACTCATATTTTATATGTTATATTCCGATAGGTGCGAATTGCGGGCAGTTCGGGTGAAAAATTAACACAATTTGTTTGATAATCGCCATTTATTGATCGAAATCACTTAACCAACAAGCTGTTAGGCCATTAGAGTGGATTCTCCAACGTCATTCGAAAGAAGAAATGCGCAAATAAAGTTGGCAAATTGGGAACCAGATTATCTCGGGCTTAGCCAGCGTCATAGCCAAAGTCAAGATTGGCTAGACGAAAGGCGACGTCAGAGGCCGGCAGCCAGATGGCAACCGGTTCTGCTGATACTGATACCCAATATCTGAGTATCGGGTAACCGATCTGCGCACCACCACTGAGGGATAACTGGGTAATTCCCAGGCACATGCGGCGTATGCGCAATGCAGGCGAACTAATAAAACGCAGGAAGGCACGCGGCCACCGATCGAAATTTCATTTGGCCAAGTTAACAGGCTGTCGCAGAACGATCCACTCCCTCTCCCACTCTCCCCTTCAAAACCAGTTAACTGGCGCTGAGAAAGTGCATTAAGCCATCGATCGAAGAAAAAAACATGTTAATTGCCAGCCGATCGAAGTGTCTTGCACTGCCTGCAATGGACACAGTAGTTGTTACTGGTTACTGGTTCTTTTGCCGCATTGCCGTCTTGCCATAAGCCAGACAATGCCCAGGCCAAATATTTGGCAACGTCTCTTGGCCAAGACAGAAAAAGTGGCCCACAGATCATGGAGATGCGAGTCGGCGGGGCGGGGTGACAGGAGGCAGGAGGCAGAAGCATCTGAAGCGCAGGCCTTGATGATGGTTACATGAAAACACGTTGAGCGACAGTCATAAAACGTTGATGTTTGGGAACAGGGAAAGCTGCTTCAGGAAGAGATTCCTATTCCCATCGAAGGAACATTGTTTACATCAAAGTTGTGAACAGATAAACAGTTGGGAATGAAAACAAAAGTAGGATTCTGTTTAAGCCAGTTCTAAAACAGAAAAACATATTAAATGTGTTACAAGTCTAGAAACTACTGGCACCTAGGACCTGAACACGGGAAATAAACAAGGCGATTTCCCACTGTGACAAATTATTAACACAAATATAATTGTACCTTATTGGACCAGTAATTAGTGTGGAATTCTAGGAACCGTATAGAATAATTAGTAAATATTTTTTTAAATAGTTTTGTAAATAAAGGATATGATTAGAAAGAGGCCAAACCATTATCGGATTGTTATATTTCTTTATAGATCGAAAAAAAGGATATAAGAAACTAGGACAGAGATAAATCAAGTAAATAAATATGATCAAAAAATTTAAAAATATTAAAAACTTATGATGTAAGATCTAAAGAATACCAATTTTATATGGAAAACTCAGACCCACAGCTCTAAGGATCCCTAGTAAGTTCTGCCGAACCTTCTTTTAAGATCAGATTGATGCGATAGGTAACCCATCACCCCCTTCAACCATTTAAAAACCCCCCTAACCACCGATCCCAGTGGGATTCTGCGACACTCGACAAATGTGCGAGATGTTTCCCTGTGTGCCGGGAGTGTCTGTGTGGGAAATCGCCGCGCTGTATGAGTATCGTTCAGCGTTTCGCGCGATGCTTAAAACTGGTGACCCACGTTGGGTCTGATTTAGTCGTTAACGCGCGGCCAACACGATCACATCGCAGATCCGACCAACTATACATACATCATAGCATAGTATAGTACATAGTAGCCTGGTATAACAAGTGCGCGGTTCGGCGGTACGGGTTCTGTTTAGCGTTGATCTGCCTTGATTTAGATTTATGTTTTGATTTTTCGTCGTTCCTGTCAACGAGTGTTTGTTTCGGTTCATTGCCAGTTGTTCAAAAGATTTGTCACCGGTAATTTTCGATTATTTAACGATTTTCCTGGGAGGAGTTTGGATATTACACAAAAAGAACTGCGTTCATTCCTGTTGAAGAAAAAATAAAGTGTTTTGTAAGCAACGGTAAGTGAGATATTTATGTTTTTGTTTTGTCGTTTTATTTTCGGGCTAATTAGCCAGCGGAAGTCGCGACGCTCAACTTTTACAAATTAGTAAGTCGGGCATGAGTGCACAGATCGTTGAGTTCAGTTTAGCTAAACTAAGTGAACTAACCCCCAATTAATTGCAGTTAAATTTAGCCAGCGACGCGCATCAAACGCCTGACGCAAATTATCGATCGAGGGACCAAAAATAGCTCGCCAAAAGTTTAAAGAGCAGACTGTTTTTCAAGATATGAACCTCAGACGATTTCAAATATTTGCAAAGGGTTTAAACACATTTACTCGCAATCATAATATCTATTTATATCTTAAGATAATATCTCGAGTATCTTATGATAAGATTCTCTTTTCAAGAATTTCAAGTCCTTTCACAACATTTAAGAAGTAGAACCATTGTCTCAGAGTTACATATAAAAGACATTGCCAGTTATTTATATCTTAATGATATAAATCATCAGTGAAATAATTTCAAGTCTTTGAACAATATTTACAATACAGTGCTACAAATCCACTGACTATTGTTGATTTTGCAAGAAACTTTTGTGATAAGTAGCATAAAACGATAAAGAACATAGCTTTCAGCCCACATCACTCATACGTCAGGTTGGCCAAGCTGATGTGTTGCCACACATAGATCAGTGACTCCTCTGACATTTGCACACCTCTGAATGGTGTTTAAGAAAAAGCTTATTCAGCGGGGTATTCTTAAAGATGATTACCAATTCGAAGTTGCCAATTTTATTTCATAAAAACTGTAATTACCTGTACGTAAGTTCAAAAATAATTTAATGGTCGATGGAAAATTAAGGAATATTTATGGTTGCTAAGAACGACTATTATTGCTTCATAGGCTAACATTTAAATACGTTTTTGCTTAGATATTTTATTAGATATTTTATTTTATTGCACTCCCAACCATTAGAGCGCCAAATAATTTTCTCAAAATTAAAAAATATATATTTATTACTTTAACTTCAATACGAGCATTAAATTTCTGATTTAAACTTAATAAATTAATTAATGACAACTTAAATTAATCCAACTTTACAAAATAAAATTTTCTCTGTAAAAAAAATCGAATTATTTTAACTTCACTCGTTTTCCTCCCTGCCTTACATTTAATTAATTATCGCTTTGCGTGGAAAATTTCATTAAAAACTGGCAGTTGCAGTTGCACTACCACATTGACAGCATGAAAAACGGTGGGACAACTAAACTTTTCCACCAGCTCGAAATGTTGCGAGTGCCAAGAACTTTTCCACTCCAAAATTCACTGCCAGAGGGGCTAAGTCAAACGCAGTTGAAAACTCCAGTTTCGAAAACGAAATGAAGTGATTAAGCGGAGCAAGGCCGACGGCTTTTATGTATAAGCCAGCCAGTTAGAAGCTGTTTGGGCCAAGCCAAGATTCCGCTGCTGACAATTGAAATTTGTATTCCGCGGCGGCGAGTCAAGTGCTGCAAACAGCTAAGGCCAACGGAATGGCCTGGCTCATTGAACTTGGCTAACTGGCGAGAGTCTAGACTCTAGACGGCTAAAACCCACAACACCAGTGAGTAAATAATAACACAATAAAAGCCAAGAAACCAAAACAAAAATGCCGGGAGAGTCGCGTGCTGCTTTCAATTGATATTCAACTGGCGTTCACGTGAAGAGAAAAATGTCAAGCGATTCATGGGGAATTCTTGGCTCAGTAAAATTTTCAAAAATATTTTTAGACAGCTGCATGAGAAGCAAAAACAAAGCAAAGCAAAAAAGATGGCAAATAGAAAGGAAAAGGCCCTTGTAAATCATTTGCGGGCAAGTCAAAACAAATTGGCAAATTGCAAATCGGCAGAGTCAAATAAAATTAATTTATTAGCGCGATGCGAACGGGTATGCCAATCCAGTTAAAACCGCCTGCACTTCATTAGTAAAACAAACTAAAGGGGTTTGTTTTGTTTGACCGTAGTTGAAATAAATTATGGAAATTATTTCTGCGAATTCTGTTTTGCGGTGGCGTTTAGCCTTTGTCTATTTTTAGTGATGATACGTTTGGCTTATAAACCAAAAGCCGGAATTAGACTAATAGAAAGTTATCTAAATGGTAGCTTAATGGTTGAAGAATTTCCCATTAAAAAATATTAGGTCACAAATTTGTCATTATCAATTTTCCAAATTAAATAGGGATAATGTTAGATTAAATCAAGTATAAAAATTGATGAGACATTTCAAGAAACATTTGAAAGCTGAAAATGTTTTATGAGATAATTAAAAGATTCTTATAGCTTTTCTCTAGAAATATTTTACTTTTACGAAAGCTATTCTATAAAGTTTTATAGTAGCCCTAAAAGACTCAGAGTTTCCCATAGAATCATTAGGTATGCAACTAACCCATTACGCCACTCATAAATAAATTATTTGAATAGTTTTTCCCATGTACAGCTATTACTCATGCGTTCCCAAAAGTCAATTTAGTATAATCACTGTCAAGAGCTCCCCGGAGATCGGTTAATAACTTCCGCATATCTCAGACTTTGTAAGTGGTACAGAAAAGCCGCCGTACTTGAGATTATGCAGAGAGTCATTCAGGTTATAGATCAGGTCTGGGTGGTTTACGAGTATAGGCAGAAGAACCGAGCCCCGGCTTGCACATATCATATCATAACAGATCTGATCTGCAGATATTGTCATGACGGCAATTGCAAGAGGCACGCTCGTAAAACCAAGACTGAGATCCGGAAAACTTGCCGTAATTTGCCAAAATTTCCATATCTCTCGGGCAGATCAGATTATCTTAACTGGAAGCCGTAAAGTCTCAAATTGCCCGTTGTCACACGAATACATATTTTCTAATTAAGCAGGGGCTGAGATATGGCGACAAAAGGAGGCGTAGCGATTTGGGGCGGACAACAAAGTCCGATTCTACAGTCAACTGACACTAAAATTGGCCTTTGTTGTTTCGTTTCGTTTCGTTCTATTTTAGCACGTCTCAGAAGAGTGCACGGAATGCCAGGTACTCGGTAATACCCTAAAATTCGTAGGGAAACAGACACGAGGCATTCGCATTTGAATCGGGGCAACGCTTCGCTGGCACTGAACTTGACATTGTCGAGGTCTGCATTCAATTTAGAAATATGTCAGCGGCACAGACTATTTTCAGAGCACCGTGCACCGTGCACATCACGCACTTGTTGCGCCACAAATGCAGATGCAGATGCAGATACGGATGCTAAAGTAGATTTATCTATAGATTGCGGGGAGTCACCGATGAATATTGCTTTTAAAGGCAATTCTTTAATGAGCATTTTAAATAAATAGGCGATTTGCTTAAAAAAATAAACAAGATGATTTTTGATTACAAACAAATAAAAATTTATAACAAATATAATAAGTTGTTCATTAATATCAAGAAGGGCTATTTATTTTATTAATCCTAAAAAACACGTGATACTAAGAACAAATATAGCCTACAGCAGTAAAACGTGAAACAGAAAGCGTTTTTTTATATTATTATAAAAACTGAAAATTCTTTTTAAATAAAATAGAAGTAGTTAATGTTTAGTATGTATTTAAATATTTATTTGGACACCTAAAATAATCACATTTTAATAAAAAGAGTCTTTATTTTTTCGTTTAGAACTTATAGTATGCAGAAACATATTAGAGATATCAACGTTTTATTTATATTTATTTTAAATGTCTAGACATTTGTTGACATTTAATTTGGGTACTAATTGCAATGAATGTGATATATTTATTAGTTTTTGTAAGGGATTCCTGTAATAAGGAAAACAACCTTCACGTTTGAGCTCTGTATAGAAACTGATTTTATTTCATTAAGTCTTTGCTTACGTAGCTAACATGAAAATCTTATGATATACTTATCTATGGTCTACGCAGAGACCACATCTGTTTGCCTGAGCGAGAACCTTATCAACGGCCTCCCGCAAGGCGACCCTTTGTACAGTGTGAGAACTATATTTATGGTCAGGCTCAAGTGGCCTGTACTTAAGATTACAATTGTTCGGCACTGCACCCTTGTAAGTTTAAAATAACAGATCATTATTTACGGCTCTAGATAGATTTACATATTGACATTGACAGAGCTCGTAAACTCTTAAATTTATGACAATTAGTGTTCTTCTTGAACATTCTGCCAAGGGCGGCAAGATGCGGTGTAGGGGTTATAATTACTTAGATTATTTTTGTTAACAATGCAAATATGAAATTAGTGGACTGTATATTTAATTCGATATATTGTATTTGCTTTTTATTTTATATGTTTAGACACCCTGCAACGGTCTTGGATTTTATTACCAAATGTATAATCATTAATTATTAAATCTTTAATTTTAACATGATACCTTTTCATGTATTCTTTTTCATTCTTTAACCGTTTAACATTTACCGTATAATTAAACAGACATAGTTTTATTGGGCACCAAATCATTTTTAAATAGCTACTACTTTGCTTCACAAATTTGTAATTATATAACTTGGCCCGAAAGTATGCGTTGCAAATCCTAACTGTCATAGGACTTCCATTTATTAATTCTAAGTCTATTGACTCTTCTTCTACTAAATGAACGGTTGTAAGAACGTCATTTACTTCAAGTAACACGGATGGTGAACTAAAAATAACCTCACCTTCAAAGTGAGGTCCTGCCGGCGGAATATTACAGCAGTGTATTTCTTTATCCTCTATTTCTTTAGAAATCGTTAAGCTACCTAACTCTTTCTCTTTTAATGGACTCGATAATACAGTTTGTGAATCTATTTGATTTGATTCTAATGTATTCTCTTTTTGTTTGAATTCATTACAACAAATTAATTCATCGAGGTAATTTGAAAACTGTTTCTCTGGCAGGGTAAGAAACTCTTCTTCCCTAAGAACCCAAGGACAATATCCTTCAGTGCGGAATCTTTTCTTTATGACCGTTACTATATTTTGAACATCGAACTCCAATTCATCAATAATGCGTTCAAATTCTTTGCGTTCAAAATAACATCTAGCCTGTTCCACCACATTAAACAAATTTGTAGCTAAATAGTTAATCTTATTTCTTCTTATGTTAAGAGAATCCTTGCAGCCACTCAAATTATTTACTGTCTCATCGAGATATTTGTTTAATTGCTCGACTTTCTCTAAGAAGGCCACCTTTGCACTAAAATAACTAATATCGGACATCGACATCGTGCTTTTTACAACTATATCAGTTACTCATATCGAACTTATCTGTTGATCACGTTGACTTAGCCCATTGATGACGATAGCGTTTTTTCAAAGATGTTGTCGACGACGTTCTTGTAGCGACGATTTTGGCGACGACTTCCCTTGGTGTCCAGGTCCTGCGGTCAGCCAGCAAGTCTTCTTCCTTCCAAAATGAAATTAAGTTATGGTGCCGAGATCGTCCTCTCGGTAGCTTGATGTATTATATTTATCCCAGTTTCGGGATGTTAAAATGCAATATTGCATCTGCAGGCTATTTGCCCAATGGTGTATATTTTCCCATAATCCAAATTAATGGAGTTGAACGCTTAATTGCGATTCAATTCAAGGCCCTTTTACAATATTTACATTTATATTGCAGGCTCTTGTTAACCATAGTCAATGCTAATGGTAATATTATTATTTATTGTGCACTTTTTCTTTAATAATAATATTTTTATTTAGTCGGATTTTTCAATTTTATGCTTTATAGCTTCTTGGCTTTATAGCATTTGTAGGCACTTTTCACCCTTATTTTTCCAAATTTTTGGATTTTGCGCAATTTTCTCTTGTGGATTTTTTTTTTCCAATACAAGAGTATATCATTTGCAATTAGGCACTTTTTGCAAATGTTTTTTTTGTGGGCAATTTTATTTTTAATGCACTTTTCACAAAATTTTATATTTTTTTATATCCGCTGTTTTGGCCACGGACACGCCTTACCAACTTATTGGTTTTAATATATATGAATCACTATATTTTTCTATATATTAATCCGATGTTAAGGCCTCGGAAACGCCCTACCGACTTTAGCAACCTGTAGCTGTTAAAAACAGAATCTTTAAGGTGCTTAAAAACAAAAAAGACTCTTTATTTGTCTTTTTGCTTTTATTTTGTTCAACACTTTTGTCTCTTACCTCTGGTGGGGGAAAACAATCGTGTGAATCTGTTTGCAACCTGTAGCTGCAAGTGTCTAGCACTTGACAGAATCTTTAAGGTGCAGAATATCTCTGAGTCTCTTACCACTGGTGGGGGAAAACTGCAGAGTAGTCTGGCCAATTGTTCCGCAAGGAATCAAAGGCTCGAATGACCAAAATGATAGGGATTCCTGTAATAAGGAAAACAACCTTCACGTTTGAGCTCTGTATAGAAACTGATTTTATTTCATTAAGTCTTTGCTTACGTAGCTAACATGAAAATCTTATGATATACTTATCTATGGTCTACGCAGAGACCACATCTGTTTGCCTGAGCGAGAACCTTATCAACGGCCTCCCGCAAGGCGACCCTTTGTACAGTGTGAGAACTACATTTATGGTCAGGCTCAAGTGGCCTGTACTTAAGATTACAATTGTTCGGCACTGCACCCTTGTAAGTTTAAAATAACAAATCATTATTTACGGCTCTAGATAGATTTACATATTGACATTGACAGAGCTCGTAAACTCTTAAATTTATGACAATTAGTGTTCTTCTTGAACAGTTTTAATTTAGAAATTTAATTAATATAAAGTCAATCTTGTAACCCATCCATCAAATCCCTATTTATATTTATTTTTTCTAGTCATGACTAAGAATGGACACAGCAATGCGGCTTACGTCAGTGATCATGCGGACAAATTGGAGCTGGCCGAGAAGGGTCAGAAGAACAAGGCCATTGTGGCCAAGGATCCCGACTACAATCCCTACCATCATCGCACTGTGGAGCATCCCACCTCGTAAGCAATATCTCAAGATAGTTTGTGTAAAAGTAGATAGTAAATTAAATCTTACCCTTTCCAGTAACTCGGAGACTCTCTTCCACTTGCTGAAGGGTTCACTGGGAACTGGTATCCTGGCCATGCCGAACGCCTTCCGTAACTCCGGCTATATCACGGGATCCATTGGCACCATTGTCATTGGATTTATTTGCACCTTCTGCATTCATCAGCTGGTCAAGGCTCAGTATGAACTGTGTCGCAGAAAGAAGGTTGGTTATTAAATATTAATTAAATTAAATATCCCATATTAATGGAGTTTTCCTCATCACAGATGCCCAGCATGAACTATCCAATGGTGGCAGAGACAGCCATGGGCGAAGGACCAAAATTCTTCCGCTTCTTTGCTCCTTACATTGGCACAGTGGTGAATACTTTCCTGCTGATCTATCAACTGGGCACCTGTTGCGTATATGTGGTCTTTGTGGCCTCCAACATCAAGTCCATTGTGGATGCAGTGGCGGATACAAATATCGATGTGCGACTCTGCATGATCATCATCCTGCTGCCATTGATCCTGATCAACTGGGTGCGCAATCTGAAGTATCTGGCTCCGTTCTCCACATTGGCCAACGCCATTACCATGGTCTCCTTCGGCATTATCTGCTACTACATCTTCCGGGAGCCCGTGACCACGGAGGGCAAGGATGCCTTCGGAAAGCCCTCGAACTTCCCGCTCTTCTTCGGCACTGTCCTGTTTGCCCTGGAGGCCATTGGCGTAATCCTTCCGCTGGAGAACGAGATGAAGACCCCGCAGAAGTTCGGTGGCAGCTGTGGTGTCCTCAACGTGTCCATGGTGCTCATTGTCTTCCTCTACGTGGGCATGGGCCTCTTTGGCTATCTCAACTACGGATCCGCGGTGCTGGGTTCCATTACTCTGAATATGCCAGAGCATGAAGTGTAGGTCTACCCATCGATAGCCTCCTGATTGTCTAGTAATATAAGGAGGAATCTTCTTTCAGTCTCTCCATGTGCGTCAAGGGCATGCTGGCCTTTGCCATCTATATTACCCACGGACTGGCCTGTTATGTGGCCATCGATATTACCTGGAACGATTATGTGGCCAAGCGTCTGGGCGCCCAGCGAAATGCCCTGTTCTGGGAGTATGCAGTGCGAACTGGCTTGGTCCTAGTCACCTGTAAGTTTCAGTTTTACAATATGTTAGCAAACCTTTTTCTACAATATATTAGGTTTAACTAATCTGTTAATCAAGAAATTTATTTGCTAATTTTCAAGACTTACAAAAACATTTTAAGAGGATTTTATATATTTATATATTTTTTAAGATCGTATTTTTGATCATTAGTAAAATTCAACCTCTTAGTAACTAAAAAATAATACAAAATATAAACAAACTTTTTTAACGATTTACAATATTTTAAAAATAATTATAAACTTTAAAAAGGATTTTAATACTTCTTAACTCTTAATATACAATTTAATTTTCGAAAACTTTCTTAACAGTAATTAATTATTATTATATCTTCTCATTAGTCCTCTTGGCCGTGGCTATTCCCAACCTGGAGCTGTTCATCTCGCTGTTTGGAGCTCTGTGTCTGTCTGCTTTGGGATTAGCTTTCCCAGCTCTCATCCAGATCTGCACGCATTGGTACCAGACCAAGGGAATCGGAAAGGCCTGGCTAGTGTTGAGTGAGTATTCCTCTGAAAATTCCCAAAAAAATTTACTAACCAAGAATCCTTACAGGCAACTTTGTGCTCATCATTGTGGGCATCCTGGGCCTGGTAATCGGCACATATACCTCGCTCAAGGAGATCGTGCTTACATTCTCCGAGTAGTCAGAATATCGTTTACCTAAATCCGCCAGCGGGCATTCCAATTCAAGCGAAAGTATTATGAGCAATCGAAAGATATTGAAATCTGTAGACATTCGCAGCGCAGCACAAATGACAAGATACAGATGCAGATGCAACTAGGGATACAGATACAGTTGCTGTACATGTGTAAACTTCTTCTACTCCGAACTATTTGTTGTGTATTTGTATAGAATTTATCAGATTTGTGATATTTTTAAGCATCATGCCCAAGAATCTGTACAACAAGTGTTTGTATATCATATATTTCTTTATGTAGTAGATAACGTCTTGATAAGTAGTTTAGTGCCAAGTCACATCTTTATAAGTCATATTTAAAGTACGATAGCAGTTAACCACAGTAATAAAAAATATTTTGCCATATTAAGATACGCCGTGGGGGATCTATTGGTTGGCTATGTAATCCTTTAGCGCCTGGCAGAGTCTTTTAGCTCCGTCCACCAGCTTTTCTTTGGGATAGAAGGCGATGGAAAGCCGGAAGAATTGCTTGCCACTTTGACCATCCGCAGAAAAGCGGGTGCCCTCGATAAAGTAAATCTTCTGATTTCCCAGGCAGTACTTGAGGAACTCTCGGGAATCGAGTTGATCGGGGATTCGCACCCAGATGAAGTATCCGCCCGAGGGACTGACTACCTTGCAGCTCTTGGGCAGCTCATCTCGAAGAACCTGCGTGGTGGCCAGCATTCGCTCCTTGTAGGCCTCGTAAAACACAGCTATTTGCTTTTGAGCTAGCTTCAGCTCGAAGAGACTTCCCACAATTCCAGATGTGTAGTTATTGAAGCATCCACCGCTCCTGGCAAAGCCACTTCCATCCAAGATTGGCTTAAGACGCGGAGGAACCTCCAGCCAGCCCAGGCGAACGCCAGGACCCAGAATCTTGGAGAAACTGCCATTGGAAATAACATGACCTGCAAAGTCTGTATCCTTTCTATCATCATAGGACATCAGACGGCAGTTGGTGGGCTTCTCGCCATAGTGAAGGATATTATACACATCATCGCAAGCCACCAGGAAGTCGAACTTGCGGGCCAGCTGAACAATTCCACGACAGACCTCTATAAAATATTTTTTTAATATTAATATTTCTAATGATCTGATCGGTTTCCCATCAAGTAAACATACCTGGAGAGAATAGAATGCCCGTGGGATTATGATAGGTGGGTATGGTGTAGTACATTCCCCAGAATGGCTTCTTCTCCGAAGTAAAACGACGTTTGGAAACCTGCTCCTCAAGATCTTTTAGGTCCACGCCATCGTCGTTTAGCTTTACGGGAACTATTGTGAGACTGCTAAAGTGCTTTATACTATCCAGGGCAATCATATAGGTGTACTCATCTACGAATACAAAACCCTGAAAGTCTATCATCGTGGACAAAAGTAGGTGAAGGCCATGGGAAGCTCCTGTGGTGATTATCAAATCCTCACTACAATCAAAACCACCAAGTTAATGAGATAAGTTCAGAAGCCACCAAAACCACAACGATTACCAGTTTACGGGGCTCTCAAACATTTCGGTGAAATAGGTGGAAATCTCTCGGCGAGCCTCAAAAGTACCACTTGTAGGTCCATATTGGAAAATCAGTGACTGATTTTCCAGCTTTTCACGTTCCTAAAAAAGGGAACCTGGAAAGGTCATTTCAAAGACCGGATTGCGTAAGGTATTTATTTACCAGACAATGATCAGTGGCCCTCCTGAAGCTATCGCAGTTGGCGTTAAGGAGATCCGTTCCTGGGGCACCAACTCCAAGATTTAATATATTCGGTTCATACACATTCCACTCGCTACCGTCGAAAAGGTGCTTTAGTTTGCGATCTTTGGTTTCTGACATGATCAACGTTCTGTTTCCCACATACTAGTGCCTTATCTGAACGAGGTGTTCGCGCTTTTATGGAAAACAATGGGAAACAATCCAAATTTTGGATGGTTTCCATGTTATACCTATTAATAGTAAAAGCTGGGGGTATAACGTTTTCTAGTTGTGAATATTATCTATATTTTATTCTATAATCTTATCACTTTTCCTGCTAAGAACTAAACCTCAAAATATGTTTAATCAAAAACGAATGTATCTTATCATAAATAAGAATAGTAATTAATTTTTGTTATTTTTTAATTAGAAATTATTTAAACAATTTGATATTAACCCTTTTGAAAAAAGAAGATTTAAAGGGTACATAACGGTCGGGTGTTTTTTCAAACCATAAACACGTTTCGTTGCGAATGTCAAAAAGTCCAATTGGCATGGCCATTCCCTTGGAACCACTTTTAACAGCTGATTACAGCAATCACTTTGTTTTCGGAAAAGAAAACTCGGAAAAACACAAAGAAACCCATTAAAAAATGGATAAACCTACAACCAGCGCTGCTGCTGCCGCGGCACAGGATCCCAATCTGCTCCTGGACTCCCCACAACACGGACCAACTTTGTCCAGTGCCTCCAGTTTCGAGGCTCTGACGCGACACGACCCAAATCTCAGTCGACTGGCCACGAAAATGTTCAACAAAACAGAGGAGTACATCACCCACGAACTCAACGCTCCTCTGGAGGATTACAAGCTGCTGGAGGAGATGAACAAGGCCACCATCGCCAAGTACAAGGATATGCGGCAGATTGCCGAGAATCTGAACACATCGACCAGTGAATTGAGCCTCAAGTTCCAGCAATTGGCTCCGATGATGCAGCAAATCGATGAGATCTCCGATACGGTGGACAAATTGGAGGCGGCGGCCTATAAACTAGATGCCTACAGCATAGCACTGGAAAATCGCGTCAAGTGCGTCCTTCAACGGAAATCGGGAGGCGGTCAACTGACCCAATAAGACTACTCATCTACAAAGGCTTTATGGTACATTTATTATAGTATATTTTATGTCAACCAAGTAAGAGTTTAAATATAATCGCAATTATGTTAAGGAATATCAGGGGAACTGTAAACGTAGAGGGCGAAAGATGTAGAACCTTGTCTATAAGTAAAGTAATTAAATAGTACTTACTTTTGGCCACTGTGCGAATCGAACGGATGAGATTGAGCACCTGATCCTTGGCCGTGGGTGCTCCAAAGTCCTGCTGACCAGCTTGTCGTCCCCAGCCAACTGAAAAGTGTGCCAAAAGTTGAACATCGTGGCATTCGGGACAGAAATCTAACTAAAAACTCACACTTGGCCAGGAAGCGCTCTTCGTGCAGGATGCACACTGCATTCAGGCAAAGCAGCGAGGCTTCAATCAGCGTCCACAAAGTAAACATATTTGTGCCTAGTTATTCCTATTTACATCAAAATAAATCCAAAACGCGAATAATTGTTGACGTCAGTGATGCCGACTTGCCGTTCACAGCGAACGCTTCAACAGCTGATTGTCCGCGTTCAGTGTGAATGGCTGAATGGCAAAATAGAATTGCGCGCCAAACGTAATTTAAATAATATTTCAAACTGCTCTTACTTTTATTTTATTTATTTTAATATGTATAAACAATTAAACGTGTCTTATATATAATTTTTATTTATATTTAATGAGCCCAAGGTAATACTCCCAACGCACATTTGGACCAATCGTAATCTGCAAAATAAATAATCATTTTTAAATGAAAATTCATGAATAATTTATATTTAACAAAAACTCACCTTTTTCTAATTTCCAAATGCCCAAGTCTGATGTTTCACCATTGCTATAGTTATTGCCTTTACTTTGAGCTGCTTTTGCCAGAAGCTTTTCCAAGTAGTCTAGATTATAAATCTCCTCCGAAGAACTGTCTTCTTCCATAGGCTCCTCGTGTTCATATTCCTCCAATCTAATATCGCAGAGTTTGCTCAAGTCCTCCACTTGCGACTTGCTAAAGGGAGGATCTGCCAACGGTAGTAATCTAAGAAGATTTTTGTTTTATTATTACACTAGTCGAACCTAGAGAAGCAGAGCTTACCCTTTAAGTATTGGCGCTGAGTATTTGCTGAAGGGAGCAACGCGTTGCATAATAAACTCCCGCTCAAAAACCAAGGATCTGGACTTTTTGGGATTGTCCCCAAAAACAAGGGTAACCGAGGGATCTACATTCGAATGGACAAGCAGACTCCGCATGGTTTTCGAAAGCTTATCCGTGTTGAGCGATGCAAAATCCACTGGTTTTAGTTTATCGTTCTGGAAAAATGTTGAAAAGTTAGTAAACTACTCTCATTAATATTAGATTTATACAAACCAAATCTAGTTCCTCTTTGTACATGCGCTTCATGCGGAACAGCATACCAAAGGATTCAATCATCTTCGAGGCCCAATAGCTGGCTCCCAGTCGTCTTTGCTCCGCCTCGTTTTCGTTTTCAGTCAACTGAACCAAGGCGACAAACATCTTTTCGATGTATCCCTGCACCGCCAGTAGCCTAAAGAGGTCCTGAGTGGCTGCAATGAGGACATCCTCGTTGTCGTCGATTTGGAGGCCAATGGCCAGGAAATATTCCATCTTAAGAAGGCAAGATAGATAGATATCCAGCAGATCCTTCATGGAAGAAGACTCCTTTTTCACCAATGCAGCGAGATCATTTACCACCGCACTGAGTATTTCCTTCGAGGACTTGGCTTTCTTGCTGGAGGAGTAAACGCGTATCTTGTTGAATTCCCCGCTGGACTTGAGTTTGCTAATGGCCTTCAGTTTCTCGGCGCCTTTGATGTGGCACTCCAGGGTCAAGTCGTAGATCTCTAGAAGATTGCTCACTGCCTTCTCGAACTTCAGCTTGTCCTTGCGCTGCAGCTTGCCGGCATCCAAATTGGACATGCTCTCCTTGTGCGGCAGCCAGTAGTAGGTGCGCAGCCACTCCAGGCAGTGCTCCGAGGTGCTCCTGAGAACCTGCACGGGCGGCAGCTCCTGACCATGGGCGCACAGGTGCCGCAGATCCACGATGAACGACTGGAGTCCCAGTTCCCTGGCCGTTTCGTACATGCTGCTCATGCTGTGGCCCTGCATGATGGAGGACATAAAGTTGTAGAATCGCGTGAAGGCACTGGCGTAGGTGTTCTGTATCTTGGAGTTGCCCTCCTGATCCTCCTGGTCCTCCAGTTGAGCCTGGACGAGCACCGAAGTGGCCATGACCGCCGCCGGGCAGAGATTTCCCCTTCGCAGGCTCCAAATGCGGATTTTACTGAGCGCCTGACGCCGGTTGGCGGGCGTCGAGGTTTTGCCAAATAACCAGTTGTATGTCGTCCGGAATTCCAGCCTAAAAATGTTAAATTTTAATTAATAACAACAAGTTGTTATGTTTTAGCTACGCACGTGTCTCGCCAAGGGGTGACCACAGTTCTTTGTTTTGCGATTGGAGGCGGTGTGGCGGGGGGAGCTTTGTTTTTCTGTTGTTTTCCTTTTTCAGGGGTTTTCTTTTTAACCTCGGGCTTTTCCTTTTTAGCAACAGCCATGGCGGTCTAAATTATTTAAAACAAATTCTGAAAACAAAACAAACCGCGAATGAAAACGCAACAGTCTTTATAGTGGTGATCCCATGTTCTTTTATCAGCTAGAATCTAGCTATTAGAATGGACTGCTTTAATCCAAAAAAAAATGTGAGTTCAACAAAGTGTTTAATTAAATTCTGATTAAATTCTCTGAATAAATTCTTAGAATTATTAATATATTTAACTTAAATTTATAAATTTAGCTTGTTTTTATGAAATTTGTCTAGCTGCCTTTCAAATCATTTTTGATTTGGCTATTTTATGTTAATTAATTGTTTGCCAACACTGGCTATGTCCAACAGCTGATCGCGCCAACAAGACGCAGCCGGATCTGTGTGAATGGTGAAATAAAAATTGGAGCCAAAAATAATATTTTCCTCTTGTTCAATTATTGACCAATTTCCCGCGACCCCCCGCCATGACCGCCTGCGTTTAATTCGATTTCCCCAGAAGCAGCGACAGTTTTCATCCAAAACCTCCAAGTTTTCCCGGTGACCAAGGCAACACATGCATTTCGTTCAACATCCTGTCATTATCAACAACAACAACAACGTGGTGGACATACTGCATCCGGAAAATATAGAATTCGATGGGCCGCCAGCGGCGCGGAAGATGATAATTGGCTCGTTCTCGATGTTCGTGATCTTCTCGTACCTGCAGCTGCTCTACATCCTGGTGGCCATCTATCTGGCGCTGCACCACGCGCACCATTAGCCCGCCATCTCTAAGGGATCATGTATCACTTTGTATCCGAGCAAACTCCGGAGCTGCGGCTCTCGGCGGAGGCACTGGTCACGAGCCACGTGACGCAGTACCTCAAGGGCTTCCAGCTGGATGCAGTGCGCTTTCTCTACGATCGCCTGGCCAGGCGGGAATTCTGCATCCTGAACGATGAGAGTGGCCTGGGCAAACTGGCCACTGTGGCGGCCCTTCTCAGTGCCCTAGATCCCGCCAAGAAAACTCTCATAGTGATCCAGAACGATGAGCAACTGCTCGCCGGCTGGCGGTTCCACCTGGACACACTCACAGACCTGCAGGTGTACACCATTCAAGGGGTTCAAGGTAATTCAATATTTATAGGATATTATTTAATTTCTGTAGTGATTATAATCTTTATAATTATGTTTTGGAAATTAACATATTTTTTATGTTATTTGTACTTTTAATATTTTTACTATACATTTATATATTTACACAATACAATTTCGCAATTAACCAAATTGGTAGGTTTCATTTAAAGGTTTTGTACAAATTTTAATGAGCAACAACGAAACTTTAAAATTTAATGTATGCTAATCGTTCGTAAAAAAGTTTAAAAATTATAAATGCTTTTAGACATTTTTACGATTTAAATTTTAGTACAAATGATGCGAATATCAACTTACTAATATCAATTTCTTATTCTTGTAAACATGACTATTATATTTGTAATTATATTGTCCTTAATATCTGCTGACTAGATTTAGTGCAGATGATGCGAGTATCAACTTATATTATATTATATTAATTTCTTATTCTTGTAAACATGACCAAATCGATAACCAAATCACTGTAGACGAGTATTAATCTTTTTGTTCAATAAATAACACTTATTCTTCTCCATTACAGACACCACGGACTCCCCGCACAACGTTTACCTGGCGAAATGGAGCCAGTTGCGCAGCATTGGAGATCTCAGTCGCCTCAACTTCGACTACGTTATGGTGGACAATAGGGGGCACTCGCTGAACAACAGCTTCTGCACTTCCATGCTGCTCAAGCATTTCGAGGGACGGGTAAACATGCTTATCTCCAGTGTTGACATTACGGTGAGGCAATGCAATCATAATTGGCTCACACTTTGGCTTTAATTCATGCCTTTTCCTATCTGCAGTCTGACGTAAAGTTGCTCTACAATGTTTTGCGGTTGGGCGGTCGCCTGGAGCATCAGTACCGAAGCTTCCAGAGCTTCGACCGCAAGTTCCATTTGCCAGACCCAAAGGAGGTCTTTAGCAAGCGCATAGATCTCGAGGAATACTACAAGCAGCGGGGATTCCTCAGCGAGTATATCAAGTAGGTGACCCAGTAACCAGCTTTAATCTTATCTAAGTTGCGTTAGGCCAGAAAAGAGTTCAATAATATTCATTAAAACAACTTCTAACATTTTTAGAGACTTCCGTCTGCGTCGTTTCCGCCATCAATTCGACAAGAGCCTGCCGCTGGTCGCTCCGGAGCAATACAAACACAATTTAAACCTCTGGCTGGCCTCGAAAAATAGCCAAAGCACACTTAGTGGCTCCTCGGAGGTGTGCTCCACGACTGCTTCCATAGATAATAATAATCAGCGAATCGAGTCAGTGCAGCCGGAAGAAACAGACAAGCTATCCGAGCACAGCGGGGATGATGTTGTGGCTATGTCACCGCTGGTCTTTGAATCCTCCGACTCCGACGTTGAACCCATAACAGTGGAACCTGCCGAGGATCAGAATCAAATATTAGTGCTATCCAGCGATGATTGTGAGATCGTGACGCCTCCAAATACGCCGCCAAATCGAACGCCCTCCTCGAACGAATCGCCAAGAATGAAGTCGAAGCGAAAATTCAGAAAGCGACAGTCGCCACAGAAGAAAGCAGACCTCACCGATTCCGAGGAGGATGATGAAGTGACTGAAGTGGCTCCCAAAAAGATAACTCGCGCCGTAACTTTTACTCCCAAGACAAGGAAACTCAATGTGCGTTTGTTAAGGGTTTCCATGGATACTTTGAGCACACCACCGCCGTCTGTAAACGCCCCTGCGTTTGCCACGCCCAAAACAGAGCCCTCGGCCAGAAGGAAAAAACAGAGCAAGCAGCCTGTGAGTCCAATGGATACAGGTCGTCCGGCTACGCGAGGAATGCAGCGCTTAACACGCTCCGCTGAATCGAAAATACACAGCAAGTACTTAAAGCGCCACACACTGGACGATGTCAAGCGAAGCACTCCGAAAAGAAACAAGGCTGAGGGGAATCAAACGCCCAGGACTAGCAAACCCAGGGTGAAGCAGGAAAAGAAGGAAAAGGAACCGAAAGCACCGGAAAATCCTGCGCAGGAAACTCCCAAGCGAAAGCCAGGACGCCCGAGGAAAGAGCAAAAGAAGGCGAGCAAGAAACCGGATCCCAAACCCCAGCCACCGACGCCCCAAGTGCTCAGCGGCAGTTCCTTATCCTCGGAGTACATGCAGTGTGCTCAGCGAATACCCGACAATTTGGATGCCCTGGAGTCGCCCGCCTTTCGGGTGCCTTTCACCCCTCAGCAAACACCTATGCTTTTGACCTTGCCGTCTACTTTTAATTTGCTTAACGACTCGGAGATGGTGGCCATTCCGCTAACCAAGGAACAAGCTGAAACAGTGGTGATTAACAGCTCCCACGATGAGAGTTCGCCGCAGGATCCATCGCAGAGTCGTCGCACCAAGGCTTTGAAAAGGAAGCGCAAACCAGAGACGCCAGTTAGTTCCACTTTTGGCGGCGGCTTGGGATTGCCACCGCCGCCCAAGAGGAGTGCCAACAAGTCACCGGATTTGTTCAGCATCTCGTCGGATCACTCGCAGATTCCGCTGGCGCAGCCACGACCCTCCTCTCCCTTCGAAGGCTTCAAGATCTTCGGCTCCGAGGTGAAGCAGTTCCAGCAGCAGCATGCCAAAACCAATGTTGCAGCGCCGAAGAAGAAGCGCGATCGATCTTGCTTGGATATCCTGGAGCAAATGTTCGAGCCGCGAGAGCAGCAGCAGGCTAAGAAAACCAGTCCCAAAGTCTTGCCTACTTTGCCACTGACTCAGAAAGATGATGACGAGGTGTCCACCATTACGCAGCGGAGGAGAACCTTGTTGGAGGACGACTTCTTTGAGATCACCAACAACGGACAGTTTGGCAGCCGAATGCGCTTGAATTCGTCTGGCGAGGTATCACCCATACAACAGGATCAACAGTCCGCCAGGCCGTCGCAGGCCAATAAAATCACCAATTACTTGATAGGTTCTGGAATTACGCAGGAAAAAACGCAACCCACAAGTGGAACTCGCAACTCCATCGTTGCTGCGCTGCGAAAGTCTCCCAAATCGCCTAAAAATGGCGGCAAACCCACTCAGGCCACCAAGCTTACACGCTGGTTTGGCTCTGTCTTCGGCGGAGGAGCCTCACAGACCAGCTCCGTGGAGTCGATTAGCGCCCCCAGTACACCAGTTGCTCCTTCCACGAGTGCAGCTGCCTGTAAGACGCGATCAGCGAGAAGTGGCGGAGCTGCAGGACCCACCAAAAGAAAGCGATTGGAACTGTTCAAGTAATGAGCAGGATAAATACAGCAACCATTTGCAGGAAGGCAATAGAACTAAGTTAACAAAATCGAATTCAGTAATTTTCACGAACGGATTTTTTAAACATAAAATGAAGAAGTTAACCAAGCAAAGAAATCGGTTGGTGAAAATTAAGCTGAATTTATTTAATCAAAAGCCAAGCCACAGTTAACAGCATTCAAACTTGGACAAAAGACTCTTTTGTAGGTTGTAACAGTAATAACACCTGAGCCATTAACTAGCCAATTTAGTTAAATTTATATTTTTTGTGCACATTTCAGAGATTAATTTAATACAACATTAAAAAGACACCGGACATTATGGGCTAATCATTATTTAAAACAGTATATTATAATTTATTCATATTGTTCTTCACTTTCTAGTAAAAGTGTGCAAATTTTGAAGTTATTAAAGCTCAGAGATTTATTTAGTTTCTCATTTATTATTTTTTAATGTGTGCCCGCCATCATAAATGCCAGTAATTAGGCATGTTTTTTAGATAAATTATTCCTATACGCATTGAATAGTGTGTAAACCAATTTAAAAATCACGAAAGTTATTGTTTTTTAGAGAAAAAATATAATATAATTTCATGATCTTCAAGATTTTACTATAAAGAAATAAATAAATAATTATTTATGAGAGGGTTTAGATACAAAGCAATATTTTTGTGTTTTATTAACGTTTAAGGCTTATCTTAATAGGTTATTTTATTTATTTTTTGCACAAATACCATTTTTAAAATTCTCCTAAGATTTTTATATTCTCTGCTTTCCGAATATAATTGTTAAGTTATGCATTACCGCCTGGCGCTGGAACTCCAACTCCCGCCGGCACATACTTCCCAAAAAAGGGGGACACTGATACTGTATATTTTCCTGGGCGTAGGTATCACCATTCAAGTTTCTAAATGTGAATTCACTAAGTGATTGCACTGCAAAAAGGTTTCGGGTTTAATTAGAGGGGGTTATACATTTTTGTAACTTTATCTTACGGCAATAGAATCCGGCAAAGAAGCAGGTCTCATGGGTGGACTTTATAGCATAGGCCACGGGAGATACTCCGGGCATTGTCTTTGTAACCACGTATCTCGCAGTGGCCGTATTTTTCCAGTAGGGCCAATGGGAGAGTCTTTCTGTATATTCCACCGTATAGCGCCAGTCGTGGGCGTGTCCGTGATCGGCAAGGATCTTGAAATTGATGCTATAAAAAGGGGAAATAATGACAATCAAGGTTTTTTTTCCAATTGGAGATGAATTTACATTGAAATATCTTTTCGGTCGTTTTGTAGGGTTAAAACTGACACAAAATGTAGAAAAAAAGTTAAGAAATACTGTTTTTTAAGATTAAATTTCTAATTTTTACCACAGACTGCAAGATGGTCAAAAATTAACACTATAAACTTTATAAAAAGAGATCAGGCAACTTAAAATGGTATTGGTATTTAGAGAAGATAGTCTAAATACAGAATCTGGTTAATATAATATGTTAAATATTAACAAGATTCCGTCAAATCCGATTCTTACTCACATAGTGGGGTTCAGTAGCCGCATCTTATTGAAATCGGCGACATACTCCCAAACCTTTTCCGGTTGGCTCCGCTTGATAATGCCCTCGATCTGGTACTTCTGATAGCCGCTGGAGAAAACAAAAACATAGAGCAGGAGGGCGACGCTGAGAAGGACGGATGCCCGCTTTATATTCCACAATCGGGGACTATGCATAGTTCTGTTCTCGCTGGATTTCCGTCGTCGACTGACGATTAGTGTGTATATGTCGGCTTATTTGAATTTCAAATAAACATGTGCCGGAGAATTCACCACAAAGATTCGGGAAACAGCATCAACGGGAAAAGAGCGGGAGTTCCATGGCGAAAAGAGAAAGATAAACAAAAAGGGATCTTCACACTACAGTGGCGTCTGGGAGTTAAATGGATATCTATTGATAATTTTTCTTTGCCAGAGAACAAGCAATGAAGGAGAGTTACATGTATGCGTAAAGTTACTCTTTGGTGACGACCTACTGACTTCAAGCACTTCAAAAGTTCGATATACATTTTAAATTGTCCTAAAGCAATTGTTTTTAAAAGCCGTCTATTAAAAAAACTTCTTTCGACGAGATTAAAAAAAAGTGCCGACCGCACCTTCAAAACACAAAAGTTCTGATATTAAATTTTGGGAGAAAAGATGATTACACTTTTCACCAAATAAATAAACCTTCTGCAATCTTCTCATTTGTTGTCTTTACAAAAGAGGTATTTTATCCAAAATAATGGAAAAAATTCCAATTGAATTACCAATCATACATTAAAAACATAAATTGTGGAAAATTTTTACAAATATTCTAAAATGTTGGCGAAAATAATTTTTGTGTGGACCGTTATTTCATGTTATGGGCTGGTCAGAACGGTCCTTTTTGCTGGGGAACCAATTTTAATTGTTTTTTAATTAATTAAGTAAATGCTTATCGGCATGAGGGTATAACCATATCATTAAATATGGTATAGAATATCAATGGCAAAAAATAAAAATGCTGCCAAAGCTCGCATTTTTGCTAGCACAAGCAGTTTGAAAAGTTTTCGGAGGTCGAAGCTCTGGAGCGTCAGGCCCCCCTTTTTAAATATCCCCCCAAATCCCCCATTCAACCCCCAAAACAAATATTTTCCTACACTGGCGTTACAAAGCTTTGGCGAATGGCGAAAGCTGCGTTAGGCCATATGATCACTCCGCTTAGTTTATAAACAACGCTCGCCGGGTGCAGTCGGAACCCCTCGGAATCGGCGCTATATACACGTTATAGCTAACCCCAAGCATATGTAATTGCTTATCACAGCGGACTGTCCGAAATCGGTATGCTCCATCGCTCCAGCGACAAGGGATCCCTTAACATCTCGTGCCCCCCGCAAATCGCCGGTTTACGTAAGCCAATTGTGTTCGTTTAGAATACGTTTTAGGCAGAGAGAATACATCAATCACTATAAAAAATGCGGCTACTGGCCAGACACGCGATTCGATTGTTGGGTCAGGAGAATCGTCGGGGAGCGGTTGGCGAAATGACTTCAATTTGGAGAGGAGGAATCCGGCTGAAGGCCACAACCGGTTACCTCAAGCTGGCCACGGCAAGTGTTCAGCCACTGGAGCCGGAGAAACAGGTGCAGAGAAAGGTGAGTACTCCATATTACGACTGCCAAAGTTTCTATTTCGCTAATCTACGATTCCCCAGAATTCTCCGCTCACGGATTCATTTGGCCGACACCATACCTATTTGAGAATTTCCCTAACCGAACGCTGCAACCTGCGATGTAAGTACCTATGTTTTCACCCTTATCAGTATTCAGTACCACCCTGTTATTGTTCTACCCATTTGATAATACTCGCTGTGAAATGGATCCCAGCCTTGATTGAATAATGTGGCGAAATTCGTGTCTTACATACGCACACCTGCGGTCAACATAATAGTTATGAAGCCATCAAAATTTAACTCTTGTGTTGCCAAATTAGTACAGATATTCTAATTTGATTTTGGGGTCTAGTGCACACAGCACTTTTGCGATTTCAATTACTGATAGCAAACAACACTTGATAAATGTTAGCTTAATGATCTTAAATTAAGTTCTAGAAAGTTCCGTACTATACAACACAAATTTTGGTTTTCTAAAGATTATTATACCCGTTACTCGTAGAGTAAAAGGGTATATTGTATTCGTGCAAAAGTATGCAACAGGAAGCAGGAAACGTTTCCGACCCTATAAAGTATATATATTCTTGATCAGGGCCACAATCTCCCACTAACGATTTTAAAATGTGTCTGGCGCCCACAACTTTAAAGATTTCCGAGAAGTATAAGTGCAATTTTATTTTGTATATTTATACCTATCGAAATGTAGAAGACATTTTTCAAATCGTACCATTCATTAAAAAGTTATGCGCAATCAAAAACATGTTATATACATCAACCCGACTATAGCGTTCTCTCTTGTTTTTTACTATTATAATAAAAGGGTATAATACACATATTTCATGACCCTTTCTTCATCATCAAATATTAAATCTAATATTTATAATCTTTTAGGTGACTACTGCATGCCCGCTGAAGGAGTCCCACTGCAACCCAAAGGCAATCTCCTGACCACTGAGGAGATCCTCCGTTTAGCCCGCATTTTCGTGGAGCAGGGAGTGCGCAAGATCCGCTTGACGGGAGGAGAGCCCACAGTCCGGAGAGATATAGTAGAGATAGTGGCGCAAATGAAGGCTCTACCCGAACTGGAGCATGTTGGCATAACCACCAATGGCCTGGTGCTCACGCGCCTGCTACTGCCGCTCCAAAGGGCCGGATTGGATTCCCTGAACATCAGTTTGGATACCCTAAAAAGGGATCGCTTTGAAAAGATCACCAGGAGAAAAGGATGGGAGCGAGTGATAGCTGGCATCGATCTGGCCATTCAGTTGGGCTATCGTCCCAAGGTGAACTGCGTCCTGATGCGCGACTTCAACGAGGATGAAATCTGCGATTTCGTGGAATTCACCAGGGATCGTCCAGTGGATGTGCGGTTTATAGAGTACATGCCTTTCTCTGGAAACAAATGGCACACGGAGAGACTTATTTCCTACAAAGACACCCTGCAAACAATCCGTCAAAGGTGGCCGGACTTCGAGGCTCTGCCCAATGGACCCAATGATACGTCCAAAGCCTACGCAGTTCCCGGTTTCCAGGGCCAAGTGGGCTTCATCACATCCATGACGGAACACTTTTGTGGAACCTGCAACCGATTGAGACTCACAGCGGATGGCAACATCAAGGTGTGTTTGTTCGGCAACAAGGAGTTCTCGCTGAGGGATGCCATGCGAAACGAGGATATTACGGAGGAGCAGCTGGTGGATCTCATTGGGGCAGCAGTGCAGCGCAAGAAGAAACAGCATGCAGGTGAGCGTTACGATGCCAAATCAAACGTAGAAAGTTGTTAGACCTTGGTCCTCCTTCGCAGGCATGCTCAACCTGTCGCAGATGGAGAACCGGCCCATGATACTCATTGGCGGCTAGTAGACACCACACCACATCACTCTCCCCTCTCTTCCGTTGCAGATGCTGCGCCACGACTCCATCATCATCATCATAATCATCATTATTTGTTTCACCAAGCATTTCATCCTTCAGGGCGGCAACTTCAGCTTCGCAATTGCAGCCAACTCACCCATGTCAACGCTCAGGGCAAGGCTGAAATGGTGGATGTGGGCGCCAAGCCTTCGACCACTCGATTAGCTCGAGCAGAGGCCACTGTGAAGGTGGGTGAGCAGCTCACACGACTGATAGCGGCCAATGAGTTGGCCAAGGGAGATGTTCTAACCGTGGCCCAACTGGCTGGCATCATGGGAGCCAAGCGCACCTCGGAACTTATACCCCTGTGCCACAACATCAGCTTGTCGTCCGTCAAGGTGCAGGCCATTCTTCTCCAGGCCGAACACTCTGTCCGTCTGGAGGCCTCCGTACGCTGCTCCGGCCAAACGGGCGTCGAAATGGAGGCCCTAACCGCTGTTTCCGTGGCCGCTTTAACCGTCTACGATATGTGCAAGGCCGTTTCCCACGACATCTGCATCACCAACATCCGGCTGTTGAGCAAATCCGGCGGAAAAAGAGATTTCCAGCGGGAGAAGGCGGAAAAAGGAGCGATGCCGGAGGTCGAATGAAGGGTTCTACCGACTGACTGGTTTAGTTATAGTAATATAATGGCTAAGCTGTTCTTGGGGAAAGGTAAATTCAACTACTGCTTATTAGTTTCACCTATTACAATACTTTTGCAAGATTTAATATAAAAAACCTAACTAAATTTGTATTGAAATACAAAAAAAAAATAATTTTGAATTTAAGTTAATTGAATTGAATGTGTAAATGGAAAAAAGACTACTGAAATAAATTATTTTAAATAATTACCCGACCCTAAAATCTCTTTTTATAAAAAAAACTTTATAAAAAAAAAAAAAACTTTTTGAATTATGTTAATTAAATTGAATTGAATGTGTAAATGTATAAATTGTTTTAAATAATTACCCGTTCCTAAAATCTCTCGGAAATTTATATAATAGGTATAAGAAGAGTTCCTAATTTACGACCAATAAGATAAAGAGAGGAATGTTTATTCCACTGAATCCAGTCAATCTAAATCTCCAATGAATCACAAGACGCATGATTAATTTCTTTCTGAAGTTTAAGGTTGCGGTTCTCTTTAATTCGTGGCCAGAGTGGATTAAGTTCAGATGAGGGAATTTATGGATAGTGTTGGTGTGAAGGTGCGATTGGGGGCGTGTCGCGAACTGAGCCTTACAGCTAGAAGTACATACAACATTAGAAGTGTTCAATAAACGCGGATTATCGCTCGCAAATCCTGGCAGAGTTCCCACTCAACATAGACACAATAAATACGGTGTGGTGAGGTAAATCAATGGCTCCTAGTTGGACACCAGAACGTTGCGGTTTTCCGCCTTGTTCTCCGCATCCGCGCCCTTGGCTCCCTCGGCGCCCAGGTGCTCGCCCCGGATCTTGATGTTGTGCTCCTCCTTGAACTTGTTCAGCTCGCTGCCCTTTTTGCTCAGATCGTCGGTGACCATGACGATGGTCTTGGCGATGAAGTCCTTGTTCTCCACCAGCTGCGGCAGCACCTCCTTCACCGTGCGTTCGCACAGAACGCCGCCAATTTGACGGAAGCACTTGCGCTCCGGATCGGCCGCCTGCAGAGTTTCTATCACAGTTCTGGAGAGGATAGGGAGTTAGTAGGGGTAGTATTTAACCAGATCCCCGCCAAATGGTGACTCACTTGTGTTCCCTCAAGTCCATTTCGAGCGTATTTAAACTGTTAGCCAGGTTGCGCTGATCATTGCGCAGCTGTTGGAACTGGGCCACAATGGCCTCCTGGCTGGGCGCCGGCTTCGCCGATTCGGTGCTCATCGCAATGCTGGCTCTCCAAAAGGACCCCTTCGAAATCTAGGCCTGGATAATCGCTCCAAATTCGCGAAAATATGCGATTTTCTTTCAAAATAAGTCGGCGAACACGAGGGCTATGCGAAAAACGTCCTAATAAAGGCAAAACGCGAAAGGGCAGTGTGACCGCGGCTGTAATGCGAGAATATAACGAAAATGGAATAGTAAATATGGAAAGACTTTCGTTACTAATTAAAATGTTTTATTTATTTTAAATAGGTGTTTGGATTTGTATTCGGTTGGAACTAAAGCTTACATTAACATAAATCCTAACCGTATTTGGTTGGAATAGATTTTTGTGTCACCAAGGATTCGGATTTATTAACTTTTAAAGATATTTTCTAACCGGTTGTGGTCTGTAATTAAAACATAGCCAATTTATTAAATATATTTAATTTTAAAATTAATTATAATTTATTTGTAGTGTTTTTTTTAATTTCAAAAGTGAAGAATTCAAAAGTAAATATAGTGCACTTCGTCACCAATTTGGACTTTTCCCAGTGAATGCCACCGATAGGCGGGAAACCATATGTTGCTGGCGTTTCCCGGTGAATGGCAAATCTTTGAATACACGTGCAAGTTGTTTCTAACGGAGTTTATTTTAATTAATGCTTTTTATTTGATTAATAACTAAATAAAAACATGCCGGCAGCAGTGGCACATGGTGTGCAATTCGGGGCGCCGTCCAAGAACAAGAAAATCGTCTTTGACGACTCCGGCGAGGCTGTGGTTAAGCAAAACAAAAAGGAGCACCCACATAAACCAAAGTTTCAGGCAAAGGAACAGGTGAAGAGGCCACAGAAAATCAGTTTTGGTGAGGATGGACAAGCCAGGGGTGGAAAACCCTTCAATAGAAACCAGCAAAAACATAATGGTCAAAAGCCTGATAAAAAACCACATAAAAATAAGTTCGGCGATAATAATGATCGAGGAGCTCCCAAGTCGTTCAACAAAAACCATCAAAATGGTCCAAAGCCACAGAAAATCAAGTTTGGCGAAGACGGAGAAGCTGTAACTCAAAAACCTTTTAATAAAAACCACCAAAAACATAATGGTCAAAAGTCGGATTTCCCGAATAAACCACAAAAGATAAAGTTCGCTGAGGATGAAGATGAAGTAACTGAAATTTCCGAACAGGTCAAGAAACCCCAGAAAATTAAGTTTGGAGACGATGGAGAGAAGAAACCCCAACGCATCAAGTTCGATGAGGATGGAGCTGGAAAAAATGTATCAGATAGCGATGGAGACAGCGATGAGGAGGAGGGTCAATCCTTTTCCAAAAAGCACAACAAATATCAGTCGAAAGTGGACGAAGAGGAGGAGTCCCAAAAGAAGTGGTATCATGTGGTATGTTTCTATGAAAAAAGCAACCTAAAAAGGTATCTAATGTTTGTTTTTAGCATCCCGACTATCCATCTACCGATGAGGTGCTGGACATGAAGGAGAACGATCAGCTGGAGCTTTACAATCTCTGCAAGAATTCATTCGAGGCCGAGAAGGTCACTTTTAATAAGCGTAGGTTAAAGGAGTTTTCAGGAGTTTACTGCGACTATAAACGATCTAATCCCATTCTTTAGGCAATCCCTCGGATGCCCGCTGGCTGCAAACCGCTCTGCACAAGGGTACGGCCAAGGATCGAGCCAATGCCGGCGCCCTGCTGGTCACGAGTAATCCCCTGGGCAACCTGGAGGCCCTCACCACTTTGATTGGCTTCTGCAAGATCTCCAACAAGGCCAGCAACGATGTGATTGCAGTGCTCGCTGATCTGTGGCAGGAGGTGCTCCTGCCGCCCAACAGAAAACTCCTGGCGGTGCACACCCGTGGAGCGGATTGGAAGAAGCTGAAGAAGGACGAGAAGCTGCGCAACGAACAGAAGCGACGCATCTACGCTTATTGGCATTTCGAGAGCGAATTGAAGGATCAGTACCATGAGTTCCTAAAGAACGTAATGCAGGGCTTGCAGACTGGACAGGAGCACAATAAGAACTCGTCCATTGTCACGGCCGCCAGGCTGTTGGCCTTTGCTCCCGAAAAGGAGCAGCTACTGCTGACCATGTTGGTGAACAAGCTGGGCGATCCCATCGCCAAGATTGCCTCCAAGGCGTTGCATCATCTAAGCGAAGTGGCTCAGAAACACCCGAACATGTGCGGCGTCATTGTTGCGGAGGCGGAGAAGCTGCTTTTCCGCAACAACATTTCCGAGCGGGCTCAGCACTTTGCCCTGTGCTTCCTCTCCAGCATCGCACCCTCCGGCCGGCCCGAAGTCTGCACCAAGTTGGTCAACATCTGCTTCGCCCTCTTCAAGGTTCTGGTCCAAAAGGGAGCCGTAAACAATAGAACCATGCAGGCCATCCTGCGGTGCCTGCAAAAGGCCATTGTGGAGGCTCAACCGGCAAAGGATAGCAATGGCGAGTTGCTCACGAAGGAAATGCAGGACACCATCTATCGTTTAGTCCACTTGGCGGACATTAGAGTTGCAGTACAGACTCTAGGATTGCTGCTTCAGCTGGTTTCGGTTAAAACCGAGAAATCAGATCGTTTCTACAACGCTCTGTATGTGAAGCTGCTGGATTTGAACCTCATCAATGTGGGCAGCAAGACGGCGGCTCATCTCCTGCACATTGTCCATCGTGCCATCCACATCGACAGCCATGTGGCGCGGGCCCAGGCATTTGTCAAGCGGCTCCTGCAGCTCACTCTCTACGCTCCTCCGCACATCGCTGCCGGTTGTTTGATCGTCATCCACAAGCTGTTGCGCATGCGCCGTGAGCTCATCGGCGGCACGGGAGCTTCGGAGGAAGTGGATGAAAGTGCCAAGGTCATTCTACCTGCCGATGCGGATCTGGACAAGTTTGGCAGCGACGATGAGGAGGAGGTCTACGAGGATGTCAAAGAGGAGGCAGCGGATGGCACGGAGGAGAAGCCCGAAGACGGTGCCAAGTCAACTGCCTCCTCCTGGCATCATGCCAGCGTGGCTGCCACGGAAACCAAGGTCCGGAATATCGATTCCTGCAAGTACGATCCCTACCATCGGGTGCCCGCCTTTGCAGGCGCTGGCTATGCCCTGCGTCACGAACTCTTGCTGCTGCGCCAGCACTACCATCCCACTGTCCAGGTCTTTGCCGAGCAGATCCTTCACCGTGAGTATTCTAATGGTTCCTTTTTTATAACCGTCCGTCTGTCCTTCCGTATGAATGCTAAGATCTCGGAATCTACAAAAGCTAGATGGTTAAGATTTTAAACACATATTCTTGGGCTTCCTACGCAGCGCAAGTTTATTTCAGCCGAGCGCCACGCCCCCTCTAACGCCCTCAATCGCCCATTAACGACTAACCTTTAAAGATTTCCGAAAAGTATAAATGCAATTTTATTGTGTATGTTTATACCTATCGAAATGTAGAAGACATTTTTCAAATCGGACCATTCATTAAAAAGTTATGCGCAATCAAAAATATTTTATATATCCATCTCCCTCGCACTCTCTTTAGTCGTGTGACGGGTATTAGATAGTCGGGACAACAACTATAGTTCTCTCTTTGTTAAATCATTATTTAACCTCTTTTTATACTGCAGAATCACGCATCGATTACTACGGCGATCCGCTGAGGGATTTCGGACTGCCGCACTTTTTGGAACGTTTCGCCTTCAAGAATCCGAAAAAGCTTGATGCCCCACAGGCGGCGGAAAGTGCTACGGTGGCCCACAAACGCTATATGGCTCACGGGGCACGTGGCAGGCCGGTAAAGTCGCTGACCAAGTCCAACTGCACCGAGGATGAGATGTTCATCTTCAACTTCCTGGAGCACAAGCGTCGCCAGGCGGAGATTGTGGCCCAAAACAAGAAGCAAAAGGAGGTGAAGTCGGAGGATGCGAACGAGGGCGAGGATGGTGAGGCTGGAGAGGAATATCTAAAGGAGGGCGAGGTGGACGACGATGAGTTCGAGGCCTATTTGGATGGGTACTTTGGCAAGAAGTTCAAGGAAGGCGTCGACGAGGAGCAGGACGAGGAGGAGCTGAACTTCCTGCAGGAGCTGGGCGGCGAGATGAAGAAGGACAAGTCCAAGGACAAGAAAAAGAAGAAGCAGGTGGACAAGGCTGAAGAGGAAATGGACGATATAGATGACGACTGGGGTGACGATGATTTGGGAGAAGATGAGGAGGACGACGAAATGGAAGGCGCTGGCGAAGATCAGTCGGATGACGAGACGGGCTCGATTGATTTGGAGCCACTAGATGACGATGATGATGATGAGGGTTCCATTTCCGGCCCAGATGACAGTGATTCAAGCGATGCTCCCGAGAGTCCCGACGAAGATGATGATGATGATGAAGATGCACCGCCCAGGTCCAAGAAATCCCGAAAGGATGCCGAAATGGTGGGAGGACGAAGCTTTGCCAAAACACTCAAACAAAGTCATGGTAAGTTATCAATTGGGGATTTCATTCTGCAATATCTAATATTGGTTTCTTTCAGACATGTCCTCCTTGTTTGCTGCCGCCGATGACTTCTCTTCGCTGCTGGAGGAAACGGCCAAGGTGAAGGGTCAGGGAACCAGCAATGCCGTCTTCAACAAGGACAAATCCTCCGACAAGCAATTGAAATGGGAGGAGAACCGGCGATCGAACACGAAAACCTACATGGGCAAGAAGTTTGCCGGCAAACCACAGAAAGCGGGCAAAAAGCGGAAACACTAAACTTTATCCCTATCCTATTTAAGTGGCTAGCTGTGTAAATACAGAATCGCAAGATTAAATTCACTTCTTAATAAGTTATCATTTGAAATGCTTTATTTTAACTGCATTTTGATATTGGTTTTATTTACAGACTTTGGTGACTTAATCGCTAGCAACTTGTTTCAAATTCATCTGTGTACCCTCAATTGATCTTTCTTTCGATTGTGTTTGGTTAACATAACTATCCGTAATCCGTATAACGCTTTGGCCGAACTGTAAAAATCGAGTTCCATACGATTTGATTGCTTTATTCTTATATTCAACTAGTTGTCCCCCATTGGTTGTTGCTTATTGGTTGTTGCGTCCTCTGTAGGTAGATTGGGCAGAATAGTTCCAAATAGTTCTTAAACTACGACAAATTGCCAATTATCGCGTCTATAAAAACTCATGCCAAATGGTTCCTTAATTCTGGTTACCGTTTCGCTTATAAAATGTAGGTTTGTTTAACTTTTCGTATTGCGACTTCTTGGAGTTGTTTGGGTTTTACATTTGTGTGTGTTCTAAGGCAACTTGTTAAAAGGCAACTTTAATATAAATGTTATTTGTTTTATACTAAAATTTACACCATTTTTATCGACTCTACGGCAATTTACACAGTTCGATATGTGAATAGGTTTTCTTTTTTTCAAGTTTTTGTCAACGGAGGGTTAATGTGGGTGCGTCAAAAGCATTAAAAGAATACACAATAAAAGTATACAAATCAAGCGAGTTTACAATAATGTAATTCTTTAAATTTTATTTAGATTTCATCGATTTCCATTGCTTTAACTTACTTAGTTACAGGTTTTCGGCAAATTAAATTAATTAAAATAAACAATCAAAAAATACTTAACAAAACAATAAAGAGTTGGTTTGCCATCAACAACTCTACGACTATTTGCGATTCTTGATCAGTTTTCGTGGGCAAAAAACGCATTGTTTTTGGCTAGGCCTCAAAGAAGAACTTCGCAGTTTCATGTGGAAATGGATCTTCGGGCGTTGCTTCTTTTTTCCTTTAGTTTTAACTGAAATGATTTAATGCAATTAGGAAACATTGCCGAGCGCAATCGGGATTAAATGGATTAGTTAATTCCGATTGCGGTCGGCAATACATGCTGCTGGTCAGGATTTTGAGTTAGTTGATAGTACTGAGAATGCAACATTAGGAAAATAAAAAATATAGTAAAACTTAACATATAAGGGGGCTGCATATGTTTCTTTCTCACTGTTTGGCTTAAAAATAATTTTGCACTAAACTAATTGCAAATCGTACTAATGTTATTAATGATTGTGTTCTGTTGTCGATATTTTTTTATTGTGTGTGTGTCTTAACCGCTCTAAGATCAATGCAAAAAGTTGCCTTTGTATAGTTTCCGTTTTTGTGTCTGACTTTTTTACATTTAGGCTATTCAAATAATTAACTAGCACAACAAATTGCATATAGAATACACTTATAAGGACGGTGCGGTATACCCTCCTTTTATAATGTTAAGTGTTAAGTTGGTTTCCGTTTTCAGTGGTTGATTGAAATTGATAGGCAAAATGAGTTCTCAACTTAGTAGTCTAATGCATAACAAAATTGAAAATAATTATTGACAGGATCTTTGGTGCGTCTTGCGGATCCTTCCACTCATGCTCTCTCGACTGTTAGTGAGGCGAGGAGTGGTGTGTTAGTGGTTGATTGGTTGGCCCTCTATTTTGGCCGGTGTCTGGTCGTCGTTGTCCTGGGGTGGCCATTCGGTCAGCGTCCGTCGTCAGCTGTACATCCGTGTCCTCCTGAAGTCGCCCTCCCACTGCAGCACCGCCTGCAGTTGCTCCTCCCCATCGTCCAGCGGCTCGTCCTTGATCTCTACCACCTCCACATCATCCTCGTCATCCTCATGTCATTGGAACTGATACATTTGTCGCAGCGCCCGCGCCCTCTCCGGCTGCACTCGCGTCGGTGGCCGCGGCACCTTGGGCTCCTTCTTCGCGCGCTTCAGCTGCGCCTTGGGCCTCGGGAAGGTCAGCGGCTTCTCGTACGCATGGTCCACCTTTTCCAGCTTTATGTTGGGCAAACAGTAGACGCGCCGCGTTTTCTTGAACCGTATCTTGAGCACCTGCTGCACACCGTTGATGAGCAGGCAGAAGTGCCGCCAGCTGGCTCTTGTCTTACGCCACGTGTTGGCCGTCTTGCTGAATCCATAGAAATTTTCCTCTCGCTTGGTCGTTCCGAAAGACGGCGGCAATGTGCGTACGACGCGCTGAGTTCTCTTGGGCAGGCGTGCGACGACAATGTCAGCTGGCGGCGGAAGCTGTTGCATCAGCAGGCGCAGCGAAGCCTTGCTGTCCTCCGGTGGCGCAGCGGTGACCGGATGTAACAGCTGGCTCTCAGTGCGACGCTGCTGGCGAGTTCGGGGCCTTCGGTTAGTCGCTTCCGATTCAAGACGAGCCGGAGGTGGTGGTGGTGGCATATGATGCTGATCCTCCTCTTGAGGCAGAGGCAATTCGGCATAGTACTCCGCTGGAAGACGCAGGGGCGGCGCATCCTCGTCGAAACCGTAGAATTCCGTTTGCACCTCGAAGGCCGGATCAAATCGTTCGTGCACCAACATATCTTCGTCATCGGAAGCAGGAGGAGCAACTGCCGCAGTTAAACTAGGTGCATCCGTGGGCTCGCTAACAAGGATAACGCCCTCATCCTCCGCCGACTTCTCGAACGTGGATTCTGGCTCTGGCTGTTCCTGCTCCTGGTCTAACATACCTGACGTCGGCTGCTCCATAGTGTCCTCGCTGAGGTCCACAACCACCTGCTGTTCGGGTGGTACAATTATGTCAACATCCGGATCATTGGTACCATACTGCAGCCACTCGCTGTCGAGGATGTCAGACAATGAGGGCCTGTCGGCAGGATCTCGCTGCAGACACCATCCAACCAAATGCCGGAAGGCAGGACTGGCGTTTAGCCAACGCTTCGAGCGCTGGTTAAACGTCTCCCGACGCATACGCTTGCGCAGCTCGTGATGGGCGGCGGCGTTGTGCTCCACATCGTCCACGTTCTGCCTGTACGGCTGATGACCCACCAGCATGGTGTACAGCGTGGCCCCCAGACCGTAGATATCCACTGCAGGTGAATAGGTGACGAGATTCGCATCAGCGAGCATTTCCGGCGGAGCATAGTCGAGCGTATAGCGCGGCTTGTCCTTCCAGCTCTGGAAACGATTATTGTAACTATTTGGGAGGGAAAACGAATGAGATTAGTAAAGGAATAAAAACGAATTAAAGTCAATTCAACTTACCAGGCATTGCCAAAGTCAACCACCTTGATTGACTTATCCTCCCGGCTCACAAACATCACATTCTCCGGCTTCAGGTCACCGTGTATAAAGTGCTTGGAGTGTATGTGTCGAACGGCCATGACCAACTGCAGGAAGATCTCCCGACACGACTCCTCATCCATGCCGATTGTGGCGGTCAGCTCCTTGCCACACAGCACCTCCATGATGATCCACGTCTCGCACTTGTCCCTAAACGTCCCATGGTAGCTCACGATGTTCTTATGGCTGCTCGTGTCCAGAGCGCACGAGATCAAAGCGTCCACCTCGGAGGGACGGAACTTGGACAGCGGTATGACCTTGGCCATGAACACCATTTCCGAGGAGCTGTCCAACACAAAGTGGCAGGTGCCATAGGCTCCACTCTCCTTGCGGGTGCCCAAGTCCAGGTCATCCGGTCGTGAGGGTATATTCTGCAATGTCAGGGAAAAGATAGTTTTACAATAATGTCAAAGACTCATTGTGTTAAAAACACGCTGTGTAAAAATCACATCACACGTCGTGTAAATAATACAAATGACATGTGTGTGTTAATTATGTTTCTAAAATATGCAGGATACAATTTTTAACACACATGTCAATAACTTTTTTTGAACTTAACACTTTGACATTTAACATGTTAATAACACAAGTTATTTACAGTGTGTGTTATTTATGTTTCTAAAATATGTAGGCTACAATTTTTAACACACATGTCAATAACTTTTTTGAACTAAACACTTTGACATTTAACATGTTAATAACACAAGTTATTTACAGTGTGTGCTATTTTCCGAACCCTGAAATAGAATTTAAAATTTAGCCCACCTGAAGTCCTGGATTACAGTATTGGATCTGACAATGATTATCCCGTCGCATCTGCTCCAAATGCTCCGGCGCCACATAGGTGTAGCCCCGGAAGAGCCGGATCCGGCTGGGCGGGGCATCACACTCGGGATCTTCGGGCACCTGGTCAGTGAACTCGGCACTAAAGTTCTGCACATCGTCCTCGGAGGTGAGGGTGGGCTTGTAGGGAGCTTTGCGGCGCTTGTTGCGCAGCTCCTGCCAGTTGATGCCGTGGAAGAAGGGGTGTTCCTTGATTTCGCTGGCGTCGCGATGGTTACCGCCCAGACGCCGCTTTGGATTCTTCTCCAGCATCTTCAGCACAAAGTCTCGCGCGTTGGCGCTGAACGAGGAGGGGATCAGTGGCTGCTCCTTCTGGATTCGTCGCGAGATCTCCGACTGCTGGCTCTGTCCGTCGGACGTGGCGAATGGCGAGCCGCCGGTGAGCAGTTCAAAGGTGAGCACGCCCACCGACCACCAGTCCACGGCGCTGTCGTGACCCGGCGGACCCGTCCGGATGATCTCCGGCGCCATGTACTCCAGGGTGCCGCAGAAGCTGTGCGCCCGATACTCATTCTCGGCGGTGAGGATCTTCGACAGTCCAAAGTCGGAGAGCACAATGTGTCCGTCGCCATCGAGCAGAATGTTCTCCAACTTAATGTCGCGATAAATGATACCCAGCTGATGCAGTTGCTCCAGGGCCAGCACCACCTCGGCTATGTACACCCGCACCCGGGACTCCTCGAAGTGCTCCGCGTGGTAGAGATGCGTGAAGAGCTCTCCGCCATTGGCAAAGTCTGGAATTTAAGGATTTTTAATTAGTTTCGTTCGGATTTTGGTGTGTTGTACAAATCTCACCTAGCACCAGATAAAGCTTCGAGGACGACTGAAAGGCGTAGTGGAGACTCACGAGGAAGGGACTACGCTGAACGGCCTCCAGTACCTGTAAGTAAATAAATAAATTAGTTAAAATTTTGTAAACCTAATTTAAGATCTTAAAAGGTTAATAATGATGCATGGGCAATGTTTATTGTTATTATTATCTATCACTATGGACGGCAGTCCATGTAGTGACGAAGCGCACCAGGAGAGTGTGCGAAGGCGACTACTATATATACACGAAGAAATGAAAATCTAGTGTGATGGTCCGATCATAATGAATGATACACCAATCGAAAGGTATTGCAATAACTTAAAGGATTGCATACCAAGACTTTAAGAAAATCAATTGGCTTGGAAGAGAGAGCGGTGAAAGTGAAAAAATGAAAATTTCGAAATTTGGAGCTGTTGGGGCCGGTGGGGATAAATGCCCCCTCGCAATGTTTTAGTTGTTTTTGTCAAAATCCGACGCTCCGTTCAAAAGTTATAGCCAAAATAAGATTTCCTTCTTCTTCCCAAAATGAAAATTTAATTCTGTTTGTCAGTTTGTCAGTTTGTCAGTTTGTCCAAAACATGTTTCTTAAGTTTTGAAAATTTAATATGACGTTCATCCCATCGATATAAAAAACTTTTGTTCTACCACTTTTGGAAAAACTCGCTAGTTTAGCGGGAAAACAGCTATAAATAGCTAAAATTCGGAAAACCGTAACTTCTATACTACTAAAGCTACAGACTTGTGCTGCATCTTGTTTGAAAGGTATTTTTAAATGCTATAAACGCCTTCTATATGCAATTTGTGTAAATGTAATAATTAAAAAGATATGAACAAAAGACAATTTTTTAAAACTTTTTTTTTAGCTTTTTTTATTTTTCTCAAAAACGGCTCTAACGATTTTCTTTAAAACTTTAAACTGTATAGCCCTTGAGATTCCTTAAATTTTGGTATATAACACATTACTGTAAAAAGTCACGTTTAAAAGTTATTTTTATACGAAAATAGCCACTTTTGCCAGCTCGAACAATTAACGCTCCCTGAGTATTGAATTTTGTGGGAGGGTATCCGAACTGTATTTTAGGGTCATGGAATCTGTAAATTTGCACTTAAGAGTTCCATATAGGAATCTTTTGTTCTACGACTTTTGGAAAAAGCCGCTACTTTAGCGGGAAAAAGCTAAAAATAGCTAAATTTCGTTAGTTTGTAAGTTCTATACTACTAAAGGTACAGACATGTGCTATACCTCCTTTAAAAGGTATTTTGAAATACTTCAACGCCTTTTTAACTTAATTTGTTAAAATACAATAGTTTAAAAATTATGATTGACCAATTTAAATTTAAATGTATATATTAGCTCCTATGAGAGCAAATGTAAACAAACAAAAACTTCTGATATCAAATAAAAACACCTCTTAACGAGGTAAAAAACTAGTGACGACCGCACCTTCAACATACAAAAGTTCTGATATCAACATTTGTGACGAAAAATTATTACACTCGTCATTAAATAGACTTTCTAATCTTTTCTCATTCGTCACGCTGCAATAGAAAATGCCTGTAAAGGGAAAAAGGCTGGAATAGTTTGCTAGGGCGGGCCGAATGAGAAAATATTAGAAAGTCTATTTAATGACGAGTGTAATAATTTTTCGTCACAAATGTTGATATCAGAACTTTTGTATGTTGAAGGTGCGGTCGTCACTAGTTTTTTACCTCGTTAAGAGGTGTTTTTATTTGATTGACATTACAGCTCGTCTTTTGTTGCCCTATATTTATCAGTTTATCAGAAGGTGTCTATAGCAAACATTGATAATACGTGTTATCCACTATAATCGCCCCTTATCGACATTTTCAAGCCCCCTTTTTGCCGCTGATTTCGTTTACTCGCTTATCACAAATCTTCGTTTTTTTAAGCTTTGTTTACACAAACACGGCCTGAATGTATGTCCGCATAAGTACATTTGTAAGTATGGATTCGCCAATTAGTTGTTGTTTCTGACGTTTATAATTGATATTCCACGGAAGAACGATGGAGAGGAAAAACATGCTAGAGGAAAAGTGAAATCAGGTACTTTGAAAATTAATTAATGAAATAAATTCGTCTTTCGGTCTTCTCTTTCAGATAAAAACTTTCACATTTCTTGTTCGTTTTTATTAACAGTTGGGGTCAGAATAATAATACATTAGAATATAAAATATAAATGTTATTTTTAGAATTTATAAATTGAAGAGAGTTTCTAGAGTATTCAAGATTGATTTAAATCTTAGAATATTCCACTCAAAAATAAATTAAAAATTTAATTACAAGGAAATAAATGTATAAAAATATAATAACTTCGTTAAAATAACTAAAATGTCATAAATATAATTACAAAAATCATTATGACCTTTTTTTTCACCGGCACTTGTAATTCCTTTCTATTTTGGCCGCCGCGAGGCGAAATATAGACTTGTCGAATCGCAGATAGCCGGCGATGTTTGATAACTAGGTTAGTAGCACAGGTATAGTACCTTGAAAAAGTCAAGTGGGCGGCGGGAAGGAGAAAAGGGTAAAGAGATACACGAAAATAGCGCATGAAAACAACCTGAAAGCAGGGCGCCCAATTGTAAATTTGTTTAAGTTATCTGCCGTTTTTACGCCTACACCTGTTTGCAGTTATTAAACGCATTTTGTTGTTTCTCCCTCTTCCATTTCTATTTTCATTGATTTACTACGAGAGAGTCGTTGCCGAAGAGAGTGGAAAAAACCGAAAAACCGGTTGCACTAGGCAGCAGCAACAACAACTTCCACTATTGATCTGAGCAGGAAGCTCTCTCCAGCTCTCCCGATTTCCTACACAAGAAAAAATATGATAAGAAATTATATATATGTATGTAAGTAGGATTATAAATATGTGATCTTTAATTAATCAACACACTTTAAGATATTTTAATTAATTTGGTATGGTGCTGACGATTATACCGAAACTCCAACCACAGTGTGAATACCTTTTGTATTTTCCTATTATATTTTTTCAGTGTACACCTGTATCCTCTCTTTGGACTCTCAGTTAGCTTTTTGCCGGTGCAACAAGAACAAGTCGCTATGTGGGTCACAAGAACCTTTCTCTCCCTCCCTCCCCCGACTGTCCTTCTTATGCTTTTCCGCTTACTGGCTTCTTCTTTTACTTTTCATCCGATTCGCTACTGGAAACTGTACGTGCGACTTTGAAGGTTGTCAAATCGCTCGACGGGTTTAATTTCAATAAGCTGCACTTTATTGTCGTCATTAAAGTGAAGAGGAATCCAAAGTAAAAGAAGTCTGGAAGCGGAGCGATTGCAAAAACATCACGCAGCACGGTAAAAGGTAGCGGTAAACGAAAAGCAAAAGAGCTACCAAAAAAAAAGTTGATTAAACACGTTTGCTTTGCCGTCGTTTTGCTTGTTCAAAAATGATTAAAAGGGTTTCTTGGGTTTACAGTAGAGGTCGCAATTGCAGAACCGACTATCATATCTTATCTCTGATAATTTTCGTATATTTATAGGATTTATGGTTTCTACATAATAATTGGATAATTTATATTTCAAAACCACAAACCACTTTTGTAAAAACAAAATTTTTAAACCACTTTGAGATAAGGATTGAGTTTTGTACCGTTAAATATACGATTTTTTTGACCCTATTTGTATTCCCCACTTACCACTCGCTCCGTTTTGGTGTGTTCGGCTGTTTTACGCTTTTGGACAACCGTTATCTTATTGAGAACCTTCATTGCATACAATTTTCCGGCATCGTGTCTAGTCAGCTTGCGAACGAGGAAAACCCGTCCATAAGCTATGGAAATAATTAAATAAACGAACAAATAGTAAAAAATGTATTCAATACAAAAGTCAATAAAACTTGTACTTACCACCTGTACCAAGAACGCGTATTATTTTGAAGTCATTCAGACTCACGGCCTCATCACTGTACAATTTGACTGTGGAAAGCGAAACGAAAAACACATATTAGCATTGTAATCAATACAAATACAAAATGTAGGTATAATATATTTACAAATTGCACTTGAAACTAATCAATTTGCCACTGCAAACCAAGTTATTTCTGACTTCTAGGAAAGACGATAATGAAAGAGAGTGCCAGAATAAGTGTAGTCGTACGTACAGAAAAGTGTAAAGTATTGGTGGGGGTGATAAAAATAGTTGTTTGCATTGTTTTACTTGACACATGTGAGACGAATTATCACATTTTATTTTTATCGCCAGCGCAGCACGTGCCAGACACTTGATTCCGTTTCTTGAGGCGAAAGCAAGCAAGTGGAAATTTGCTATTCGAGATATGTATGAAGTGGGAATATGATAATGGGCAGTTGGAAATTCTATAGGGATGCTGGGTTAACAGAAACAAAGTTGACCGCATCCAGAAACCAAGGACAAGGCAAAGAACTTTTCTGATTTAGGGGAAAGAGAGAATTTCTCTGCACTTTTACATATATTTTAGGCTTCTTAGGTGTCATATGCCCTAGTCCATAGCGGTTCATTGGCCCGAATGTCTGGGCCACGAGATTGCACAGTTTACGATTATTACACGACCCAGACGAAATTTGAAGGATTTACAGGAGCCACAGTAAGACTTCGCTTAATGAAAGTAGAAAATGTTTGAGAAAATCAGGGAACAACATTAAATTTATGGCGATTACAAAAAACCTTTTCCTTTCTCTTATGTAAAGTTTACCTCAAGTAAAAAATCTAACAAATCGAACCAATATTGTTCGAATATAAAATTGATTATCCGTTGTGACTAGCGCTGTAATTTATAAGTTATGCAACTTGTAGCGTTAGGAAGCCGAAACAATAAATAATAATAATAATAAAAATCTAATAAAATGGATCAATTTAATTTTAATCTATAACTTAAACTCCATTATTAAGATATTGAACAACTTTTACCATTAAAAGGAGACGTGATTGAAAGTTTTACCTTTCGAAATGGCAATTAAATACTTTCAGAATCAATAGACTTGCAGACAGCCTTCACCTGAAAGGCAATTCAATTTGATAATCGAAAAGCCCATAATTCCGCAGTGACCACTGTACTACAATTTGGGTCGACCATTACATAAAACGTCCCCAAGTGACTAATTTGTGTAGGCAAATACCATCCTCCGCTTTTGGCAATGAGTCAGTCGAACCCATTTTAACCCAACTTCATCCCATTCCAAAAAGTCTGAGTATGTGACGAATATAAATGTGAACTTTAGCCTCTACTATGTATAACAAATTAATCCTACCCATGCGGCTTGGGGAATTGCCCTTGAACTCCAAAGGACATTTTGCAAAGTTCAATGCAGCAAAAGAATGTATCTGTAATCTTTGGTTCAACATTATTTCACCATTATTTCAATCTATCGGCGTGCATTCAACCCTCGTGCAACGGAGCCATCAAAATTACCAGTTGTTGTGAAATCAAGAAACATTGACACAAACTTCGCAAGGGGTTAATGGTTTTGAGTTACTCGACCGAACCTGTTCTGTTATTTGAAAATACAAGTTGCTAACAGCAAGTAAATGTAATTTACGCTAAACACCAGCAACGCACGGGATGACGCGTGCCGAAATTCTTGAATGGGTGCAACGAACCCAGGACTTCGAGTGGGTGGCGAATTATGGAAGGCAACTTTTTGCCGGAATTATTGATTCAACAAGGAAAAACTGGAAAGAAAGGTGTAAAAACTGGTTACCTGTCTAGGGGAAATTCTTACTTGGGAGGGTGGCGGTAATCTTATTAGTTCTGAATTATTTATTCCTTGCATCCAAATAAAAATTTGCAAGTTCCATAATCTCCGAAGTTTAAGCCCAACTAACTAGTGTTTCTTTATCATTTAATATCTTTTAATCAAACAGTCATACCTTAAAGGTGGTTCTGTTTAAGTTTTTCAAATTCGATAACATTTTTTTTAAATTTAATTTAAGTTTTTTTAAACAAAAGTATTAAATATGTCTATTAAGTCTCTGACCAATAAGGTTATCTGAAGTTCATGAAACTACTTAATCACAATGTTTATGTTTAATCATAAATTAGGTTTAAAATCGTTGATAAGGCAAAAGTAACTAAATGTTTATAAAAAATTCCCAAAAATATTTTCAGTGAAATCCCCCGATAAGCTTTTGCCAATTTTATAACAATTTATATTATGGAAATTCCATGCGTTAAGTTATAAATCAGAGTTTTCTATTATATTTAATGTCATAATAACTTTTTTAAAAGGTTCAAATTTTGTGTATATCAATGAATGACACATGTTGAACATTATTTAAGGCAAGTGTGAGTTTTTCTTATGTATTTTTAAATCGACCTGTTTGGACGCTTGTGACGTCGAGCAAATGAATTGGCCTTGATATGCATTATATTCTCTTGCCAGGTTCTTAAACCGAAAAGCCGCACAAAAAATGTATTTCTCGCCTGTGACTAGGCAAAGTTTAATGAACGCAACCCAAAAGCATATGAATAATACAAAACCGCAACAAGTGGAGAATGTTCTGATAGCAAAATTTTTGTTTTTCTGTTCTTACTTCTCAGTGCCAAGTGCAAGTTGTCGCCTGAGAAATGTTTAAATAAAAATATGAGAAATGTTTCCAATATTACCCATTTGTAAAAGCGTTTATCATAAATTTGATTATCGTATATGACATTACATTATTATTTTACAAAAGGGAGAGGCTACGATAACACATGTGACACTGCCCCGTTGCCGTGACGATGTTCTTGTGATAATTAAACAGCAAACAACAAACACAGCTCACCTATCAATTTGCAGGCAATTATCCCAGAGGCTAACTCGTTCCTCCATCTATGAATATACTGCACACGTATCTATGCTCGATGTTCGGCGAGTTGCATTGTCAAGTTCAAGTAAATAAATTGCCTACAAACAACAACCAACCGTTTATGCAAACAAGCATGTTTGTGAATACAGCAAACGCGCACAAACAGCGATGCACATACAAAAGTATGTACGTAAGTACGTACGGACATGGTCACGACTGCACGCCGATGTGGAAAAGTCGTACAGTGGGTCGAAAAGAAACCATATTTTGAAAAATGTTATAGTTGATTAACTAATCGTGAAAGTTTCCTGGTTTCTTCAAAACAAAAACAAAAAGACAGTTTTAAAAACTATCAATTAATAAAAAATTACCAGTTATAAAAATTAATTATTGTACTTATAGCCTTCAAATAAAATATTTTCGACTAACAAGAAAATATATTTCTTGAACTTGTGTAAGAAATGAATTCTCAAATTCTTTATTTTTCACAAAAATCCCTTTCCGTAGTAATAATTCTCTTAAAAAATCACTAGAAATGTGTTAAATCTAACACTTAGCTACCAAGTTGTTCCAATAAAACAGGATTTTGTTCCACAGTTATCAAATGAGTCTTTTGGGTGGTGGGTATTGTGTCTGCTTGATGTATATAGTGTGGTGAGAGGTGAGTACGAAGGCGGGGAGGTTGGGTGAATTGAGGGGAGGTCAGTAGTTTTGGATTTGGCCCGAAGACCGAACAAAGCCGGGTTGAGTTTTCTGGGTAATCGTGTCAAGGTTGAATGCATGTGCTCCACTTTTACAAAGGACGCCAGAGACGGCACTCCATCTGGCATTGACCAAGTGCCAGCCACTCCGCCTCCTTCTTAATCAAAACCTTGGGACATCCCCGGCTAAAGTTATCAATTATTCTTCAGCCCCTTGGTATAACAACTATTTGGTTTGATAACCATAGGTTATTACTATTTCTAATATTATACATTAATCCTTGAAATTAAGGTATTTTGTTAGAAGAATATGAAGTACAATTTGTTATATAAATTATGTTTATCAATTGATAGGGTCATCGTATTCTAAATTACTCTCTGCTAGTTTGAAGATACATTATTTATTTAACTATCTATCTTTTATTTCAAGTGCAGTCTTTTTGGTATTTCAATTATTCTTACGCCCCTTGTTACACCAACTACTTAGTTTGATAACCATAGGTTATTACTATTTCTAATATTATACATTAATCCTTGAAATTAAGGTCTTTAGTTAGAAGAATATAAAGTACAATATCTTATATAAATTATGTTTATCAATTGATAGGGTCATCGCATTCAGAATTATTCTTTGATAGTTTGAAAATACATATCGTAACCTATTTAACTACCTATCTTTTATTTCAAGTGCAGTTTTTCTTGGTTTTTTTACTCTCAAGAGGAACACCCCCGTTTTTGAATGACTCACCATAGGATCGCAGATCGGTGACCGTCTCCAGGTCTCTCTGATGCGCCTCATTGTCCAGATCCAGGGGCGTACTATTGCTGGTGGGCATGGCGTAGGAGGCCGTGGTCGATGTGGCGGCCAGCGATGCTGCTGCTGCCGCTGCTGCAGCCGCCGCCGCTGCAGCTGCATTGTTGGACTTGCTGGTCTTCGACTTGCTGACGAGGGACTCATCGATCCCTATGCCGTTCGGCTCCTCCTCCTCCGTATCGTGGTCGTAGTAGTCCCGCTCCGGATCGCGTTCCTCGTCGCTCTCCGCATCCGAGATGCAAACAATTTCCGCCACATTTGTGGATGGCGGAGACGGAGGTGTTGGCGGCGATATGGTCTCCCGATAATTGTAGTCCCTTCCAGATGTTGATGTCGTCTTATTGCTGGTCTTGTTGTACTGACCATTGGTGGCACTGATGCTGTTATTGTTATTATTATTGTTGTTATAGGCCAAGGTTTTGCCACATCCCGAACCAGAACCCTCGGGATTCGGTCTGGACTTCTTGCCGTTGGTCAACGCTTCGGATTTACTATTCTTCCGCTTCTTGCCATTGCCATTGGCCATGAGATGACCGTTCAGTTGAGTCTGGACCACCTGATCCTGCTCCTCAAAGGTCGGTGACGCCAATTCACGGGGATTGGGCTGCTTCTTGCGACGCGACTTACTTGGACCGCTGCTCAAGATCTCGTAATGCTGCTTCTGCAGGCGACTCATGGCTGAATTCTTTGCGTTTTTCCGTCTCCAAGATCCCAAGTTTTTTGTTTTTCTCTACGTACTTTTCACGTAGTCAAAGGAAAATTTAACAATTAACAAAAAAAACAAAAATGTTCAATTGGTGATCGTGTCGCATTGTTAAGCTGAAAGTAAAAGAGAGTTTTTATTGCAGCAGATAAATAGGTCAACGGAACGTACATTCATCACATAGTACTATTCCTAGCCAAACCGCCAAGAATTGTTCTCAAATATCAACAGTTAGATATTATTTTCCTCTTGAAATAAAAATACTTATTGACAACTTTTTCAGTAGGAACTTTCTGCAGAAATCGATAACAGGTACTACGAATGTGAAAATAAAATATTTAATTTTTTTAATAGTTAAAATTTTTGTAAATAGTTTTAGTAAATTACTAGTTAGAATAAATGTATGCACTTTTACACTGAATGCATTTTCTTTTTAAAGCAAGTAAAACGTTCTTATCTACATAAACTGAGTTTTCAGACAAAAAAAACCTTCAATTTAACAATCCAAAAAATTAATTAATTCTTATTGTGTCCGAACTTTGACCACTAAACAATTGGACCATTTTTATAAATAAAACTGTATTTTTTTAATCTCAATATTATAAAACACCATTTGTTTACATTGTTTCCTTACCAAATAAACCTATTAAAAATAGATCATTAAATTTCTTGAATCAGAATTGAAAATAAGTACATCTTATTGAGTTTTAATTAGCCAGTGCTCACTGTTTTACTAGTATAAGAATATTTGTGGAGAACAAATTTATATTATTCGTGGTTCTATTATTTTGAACAGCGCTGTATGTCTTATTGATGTTCACTTTAATTGGTAGATAGGTCAAATAAATACACGATTAAGATCTTTTTACATTTTAATAACCAAAAAAGTGTTTACATATAAACAAATTGTTCATTGTTTTTAAAGTAATTTTTTTTGTTTAACATGTCATGATTTTGCGTCTATTGTTCTGAACCGCGTTGTGCGTTCTATTTGGGCAATGTTCACCGTACCCTCCACATGCCATTGCCCATTTCTATTCCCATTCCTCTGCTTCGTCCACAATATGGTACAGTTTCAGCGCAGGCGGGAGCACGTTCCCCGCTGCTAGCGGGCAATTGGATTGGGAAATCCTTTTTCTAATGGACTAGAATGCGACTGCGACTCACCTCGCGAGTGAAAATAAGCGCAATATTACAATGCAGACGTAGGAATCCAAATCCGAGTGCGAGTGTGGGTGTGGGCGGGGGGGAAGTGTTGGATTATGCGTGGGGCGGCAGCGATGTGCAACACTGAATGATAATGCGGCCCGATTTTTGCAGCACTGGCGTTGGCTTAAATATTATTCAACCAATTTGGTCTTGCGGTTTCTTTTCTCTTTATTGTATTCTATGTGATTATCACAATCTTTATCAGCCGCGCGTTTTCCACTGCACAGTTAGGTTTTTTTTTCTTCACCGTTCTCTTTGGCCACTACTACGTACACATATGCACACGCACACGCTGGCACTTTCTGTATCGGCGACTGCGTTTTCGAAGCGTTTTTGTTTTCGTCCGCAGATTCCGCTCCTCGGCGACTGTTGCTCTCGATTTCCAATGGATTTTCCAATTTCCCCGCGCAATATCGTTGCCTATTTTTCAATGGGCAATATATTATGTTTTTGATATTGGAATCGGGTGTTTTTTTTTGTGGGTTACACGCAAAGGTTTTTACCGCCGCTTTCTACTCGTTCACGCACACACACACTGAAGCGCGGGACGCTCTCCGCCATCTGCTTTGCTCTCATTCGCGAACACTTATTAGCTACGGGGCCACCTTGAGAGCAGTCGCCGCGATTTCCGCTCGATTGGTTGGGCAGTAGTTATATTATTATACAATATAATCACCAACGCGGGGGCCTTCGCACGGCTAACACGGGATGGCTGGGTATTTGGAATTTGAACACACAGCACACGACCGAAAGAAATTTTCCCTTTGCTTTTGTGTCACTTTTTGTTATCGTTATCGGTAGTGTTGGCAACGGCGCAGGAGAGTAGTGTTGTAAGCGGCCAAATATCGGTATTCAGGGATGGCGGAAACTATCGTTTAAGATAAAATGAATAATTTAATTTTAATTCTGTTTATCTTTATTTAACTATTTTGTAAACTGCTGAGACGTAATAATACCTTAAAATGTAACCATAATATCCGACAAATTCTTCCTCTCCAAATCCGGAACTGTGCAGTCGATTTTTGGATACCCTACGGGCAGTAGAATAAGTAATTTTTCATTTGTAGGGCGCTTGAGGAGGGATCTCAAGGCAGGACCGCAGTTCAAAGGAGTGGTGACGAGGGTCGAGAGTCCTGCTGCCTGAAGGGCACACAAAAGGAACCCAGCCGAAATTGAAGTAGATATCTCATTGTAGTAATGCCTCTTCCGCTTTCCAGTCTTCGATAGTCCATGGGTCTGCTTAAAGATCAGTATAAGATAGGGGGCATCTGTGAGATACTCCTTGACATGATTGGTTTGCAGGGGTCGTAGATCGGTGACCCACTGCTGATGCATCCGCTGGCTGTAGTTGATGAACTCCTCCTGCTCCACAATTTCTCGAATGGATTGCTTGAGTTCCGCATCCTCCACAACGCAGTAGGTCCAAGGTTCTGTATGGGCGCCACTGGGAGCAGTTCCCGCTGCCCGAATGCAGTCCTCTATAACACTGAGATCCGGTTTGGGATCACTTCTAAACGAGCGAATGCTGCGACGTCCTTGGATTAGCTGATAGAAACGCTCCGCTCCATTTGGATTGAGATTCTGGCCGGGAACAAAGGCTACATGGGGCTTCTCCTCCAGAGCTGGCTGCAGTTCATCCTCGAGGTCTTCTAAATCTTCAACTGGGAAGTTAAATCAGTAAGCTTTCCATTACCTATAAGGTTGTAATTGCTCACCCTCCTCGTCTGGCTCCTCCAAAGTAAATCTCTGGGGGCCTCGACTCCTCTTATATATCACATTTTTAAGGATCCAAAAGAGTCCCAAACAGATGAGAAAACTCGGCCAATTTTTGAGTAGCTTGGAGCTGATCAGCTCGTCCAGCTCCATGGCTCTCCAAGTTGTAACTGTTTTTGCGTCTGAAAGAAAGTATTGTTTGTTGATCGGCTGGCTTATCTCTTTACTAAGTGGATCAGGGTTATTACTGATAGTAAAGTATAAGGTTTCAGTTCCATTTCAATTGTTTCGGATGCAGTAAGGGCACTTCAGATGATCGCAAATCCCCGGGGCTCCTGGTTTTTCCTGGGGCTTTTGATTTTTAACTTGTATATTGTGCTCTCCAGAGAGTCGCTTTTTTGGCGGCACTGGTCGACGGGGATTAAGTTGAGGAACGGCCTTCTGATAAACCAACTGGCGCTTGTGAACCTCCCTTAAGATCTCTATGATCCGCCACTTGGCATCGAAATATATGAAATCCGGAGCACTGCTTAGTTCGGTTCGTATCATGTCGCAGAGCATCTGCACTTGCTGGTTATTTCCAGATTTATCGGAGCTCTTATTTTCCTTTAATTCATTTGATTTCGGGCAGAGTTCCATGGGATCTACTCTACATGCGGGTAAGCAGGGGGCATTTTCATGTTGCCAGGGGCAGGCAACTGATTTTTGGGTAGAATTCGATACTACCCCTTGACATTTATCCACACAAGGAGTATTTTCCGGTCGCCAGGGGCAGGCAACTGGTTTTTGAGAGGCATCCGATCGACAGGAGCAAGTCAAGTCTGTGGTTTTCAGATCCTGTTCATTCACGTAGTAAGACGATTGGGTGGACATATCGGAGGTTATCCTATTTCGGCTGGTTCCTTCTTCACTGTAATCTATGGACTTTTCCTCCGATGAAGGAGAAAATGTGACCTTTTGCTGCTGATCCTCCTTATCCTTCTGCTCCTTGTCCTGATTTTCCACTTTCATTTCATCCTTTTGCTCACTGGATTTTTCTTTCTCCTGATTTTGCTGATCCAGATCCTGAATATCCCTGTTTTCCCTTTCCTTGCTATTTGATTTCTTTAGCCTCTTTAGTATTACACTTCCAGGAAAAGCAGCTAAGGGAAAACCAGTGAAATTCGTCAGTTTATGGCACAACATTTCCGTGGTGGCTATCTGATTTTTTAGGTCCGTGGAAGGAAGTTTACCGGCGGACATCGCACTCGATCCACTGTCAGGAAGTTCTTTTTCAAAATCTATCGAGAGATGGGGCACCAGGAAAAGAAATTCATTGTAGTAGCGAATAGAAGGCGTCAATATTTCTCCGTATTTCCTGCGGGCTCCCTCAATTATGGTATATTCCCTTTCGAACAGAATTCTCAGCTCTTCGATGCAGGATCTCAGTTGCGAGCTGCTTTGTCCCGGAAAAGATCGCATCATGTCATTATAGCAATCCTCATCGATCTCTTTGTTGCCATAGTACAGGTTTTTAGGGTTATACAGGTTGTCATGTTTGCAGTACAGACGAATTAGCTTTCTGACGTCGTGTTCCGCAAACGGAAAGTTGTGCCCATTTAAATGATTAACTTTCTTGGACTTACGCGACCGTTTTCCAAACAGAAATGAAAAGAATCCCTTGGATTTTTTGGGTTTCTCAAGGGTACTTTGTATTGCAGGGGAGGTTATGGGTTCTTGACCCGGTCTAACGACTCCTGGCGACTGACTGTCGCTGGAGCTGATCCTGGAGGATCGGGTACGCATTGGCGTCATTAAGCAATTCGAAGCGGAACGCCTGAAGCAGCAGCGCCTGTGTTTTAGTTCCATCCTCGGCTATCTGGCGTTTCAGGAGGGTTACATTCGGATTGGCGTCGTCTTCGGCGGTCTGATAGTTCTTTACGGGCAACAGCATTATTACTCAACTAAATTTTGTAGCATTATTTGGAAATATAACTTTTGTACTCCTGACTATTTTTTTTTGTGTTTTTTGGACTTAATAACAGTGTCGAATGGCACTGTTGTCAAATGAAAGGGATAAGTTTATGTGTTTTTATTTGGGGGGGGAATATTCTATATTTATCCGATTTATACTCTGTTTTATTTTTGAAATTTCAAATTTAAATATTTTAGTGTGACCTGGTCTGTTGTATATAAATCCCCGCAAGTCTAAACGGTCACAGCAAAATTGTACTTAAACTCCCTCACGATTTTCTCATGCTTTAAAGCATTTTCCTAAAGGGAAAATTCCCAGAAGGTGCTGTAAAACTATCCTTTTTAATGTAAAAAGAGTTTTTTCTAATAAAAAGCTTAAAATGTAAACATTTTTAACGATCAGCTGTTCCCTTCCGCCAACTTTACAACACTGGCGAAAAGAGAGAATAGAGCGAGAGAGCAAGCCTTGGCCTTACAGCGAAAGAGAGAGCGAGAGACCAAAACAACCAAAATAAGTTACGTGAAATTATAAATAAAAAATAAGGAAATACACGTTCAGCGGCCGTCTAGACAGATACAACAAAGCAACGCTCCAAAAACTGACAACACATTTCGCTTTTTGCCTCGTGCCATGTGAGCAACTTCAAATTGAAATCAGATCGGAAATCAGTGTGCGGGTGATGTGCTAATTGGCGGAACTCGGCAATTTATTGAACGCGAAAAAAAAAAACGCCACAATACAACTTCTATCTCGACACGAAACCCAAAACCCCAAATTAAACCGCCGTCGAATTATTGTGCATCAAATGAATGTGCGAAAAGTGCAATAAATCAATGTTTTGGGAGAGGCGGAGGAAGCAAAGAGACGGTAGCAACAACAACAAAGAGAGCAAGACTTAACGGGACACCCGAATCTTTTGGGCACTACGAGATTTTCACAATAGTTCTAGTTCTAGTTCTAATAGCTCGAAAATGGACGAGGTCTTCAGCCTGCACATGGAAAAGCTGGACGTTTACGACGGTTAGTATGTGATTTCCCGGAAATTCTACTTAAGAAGTCGTTAAACTTTTTATTTCTGATGAGGAAATATGGGCTACGGTATAGTTCTGAGATTTAAGTGGTTATCTTGGTATTCAATTACTTCTTCAGACCCCAGAGACTATTGGTTATGATAAGAGAATACAAACTTGTGAGAAGTCGGTGCATGCTGGTACTGATAAAAATAATTCTTCTGATAAGTTTATATATTTAACGAATTTTATGTTGAAATCTACATTTTTTATTTTTTTTGTGTAAGCCCTGCTGACATAAATAATTCCAAAAGTAATAAAATACATTATTATCAACACAATTAGTGATCTAAAACCACGATGAGTCATAAATCTAATATTGCGGATATGCATTATGACTATCAATTGTAATTTTAGTTTACTAGAAATAAGAGAAATAAGATACAAATTGTAAAGTAATTTGGGTGGTGCTAAAAGTTACTTTATTTTGTACTGACCAAAAAATAAGGAAAGGCAAACAGTTTTTACCGATATATTATTTCTACTTTATTTTATGTGGTTTTAAAGATTTTAACATGTTTTAGCTTTTAAGTGCTTCAAATTATTTTAAAATATTTAAAAGTCATTTTATTTTTTTACACCTTATCAATTCTATGATAAGGTTGCAATTGTCCGTAACTAGACAATAAATAAAGATTAAAAATGATAATCGAATTCGAGAAGTTACACCGAATTAGTTGAACAGTTAAGGCTAACATGGTATAGAAAGTATATAAAGCTTAAAAGTAGGTGAATATTATAATGTAGATCAGGAGCAGCTCCTCGTTAGTCATTGTCATCGGGATCCGGTCCGGCGAGAATCTCTTGGATGATGCGGTGGCCGTCCTCCGTTTTCTCGCCCTGAATTATCAGGTCTCTCAGCGTGGATATATGCTTTTCGCCCTGCTCGATTTGGACTTTCAGGGCGTCGTTTTGCTTTCTCAAATCGTCGATGCGTTTCTTCCGTTCCTCGGCCGATTTCTTGGTCTTTTCGCGTGTGCGCTGTACAGCCTGAGAATCCGAGAATAAGAATAAATCAATAGAGTGTTCATCTATTTTTGGGGACTTCTGGGGGCCCCGCAGCGCCAGCAACATGTTTCTTAATCTTTATTTAAAGACCTGCTCTCTGTTTACAACCGAAACTTACATACCTCATTGTTTTTCTTTCTTTTTTCTTGGTACGCTGGATCGTCGGACCGCGGACTCATCGGGGAATCGGAATTTTTGCTGGTCGACGCCGCATTTGCAGTTCTCCTCTTGGCCGGCATCCTCTCCGTGATAATTCTGATCTGTATATAGTTTAAATCCGATCGAAACTTAACAAAAATGCTGCAGGAAACGCAGCGACGCAGATGTTGTTTTGTTGTGAAATTACACGAAAACCGAACAGCTGTTTCCAAGCCCCCGCAGTGTTGGAAAGCGCGCTGCTCACACTGCCCAGCAAACAATCAGTTCGCGGTATTATTAAATTAATTGAACAACTAAATTCAAGTTCAACCATAAATAGCCTTGGAATGTTAACTCAAAAACTGTTTTCCTGTTTTCGGTTCGCTCAGACTTTATTTTATTATTTATCAACTGTTTATACAATTTATTTGTAAAGACTGATTTCCTGTACGTAGATGTAGTCTAATGCAATAAAATTAAAAGGAATGTAATACGTAATAGTCAATAAATGTTTTGAATAAGCAAGAGTTAAAAAATTGCCAAAGTGTTATTTTAATACTAACTAAAAAACTGCCTGCGCTTTGCAACACTTTCAATTGGCGAGTAGTGTTGGAAAGCCCTCCAAAGCAACCGGCGTATTTTGCACAAAACAAAAATCTCGTCTCGGCAAAATGTCTTCTCCAGCGCCCAAATCACCGGAACTTTCGGATAAAAGCAAGAAATATGATAGACAAATCAGGTGGGAAATATATAGATTATAGAGGTGGTAATCTAATTGTCAAGTGCTCTGCAGGCTGTGGGGCGAGCATGGACAGACTCTTTTGGAGGCGGCCACCATTTGTTTGGTGAATGTGACGGCCGTGGGCTGTGAAACTACCAAGGGATTGGTGCTACCTGGTATCGGAGGCTTCACTGTGGCCGACGGCAGCACCGTCAAGGAGGAGGACCTGGGCAACAAGTTGGTAGTGACCCTACATAACCCTTAAACACCATAGTAAACCCTTTTCTTTCCCAGTTTCTTCCTGGACTCCAGCTATCTTTGCAAATCCAAAGCTTTCGCCTGCATGCAGCTGCTCCAGGAGCTAAATCCCGATGTAAACGGCGATTATGTGGAGGAGAGTGCCGACTATATATTGGCCAACAGGCCCAACTTCTTCGACAGCTTCGACCTGGTCATCGCCTCCAATCTGAACGAGCAGACATTGCTCCTTTTGGCCGAACGCCTGTGGGCGGTCAATGTGCCACTCATTTACTGCCGATCCCTGGGCATGCTGGGCACCATTCGCCTGCAGCTGCGCGAGCACTGCATCGTGGAGGCGCATCCGGACAACAGGCAGTTCGATCTGCGCCTCGAGCATCCGTTTGACGCTCTGCGGGAGCACCTCGATGGCACCGAGGTGACCAGCAAGGTGCCCTGGCTGCTGGTGCTCCACAAATACCTAAATGTCTGGCAGAAACAACAGGCGGACGGGGCTCAAACGCCGCGAAATTACAAGGAGAAGAATCAGCTGCGAGAGACCATCAGGGAGGAGATGAAGGCGGACGAGGAGAACCACGAGGAGGCCATCAAGGCGGTGAATACAGCTTTTGGAGCAGGGCAGGTTCCCAAGGGCCTGAAAGCCATTTTCGAGGATGATGCCTGTGAACAGCTCAACAAGAAGGTGGAATCTAGTTTCCCTTTCCCTTTCCATACATATATTTTAGAGATTTCCATTGCCTTCACAGAGCAACGTCTTTTGGATCATGGCCAAGGCCCTTAAGCACTTTGTGATACACGAGAACGAGGGCTTTTTGCCCCTGCCCGGCGTTCTGCCCGACATGACGGCCAACACGGACTCGTACATCGCCCTGCAGCACATCTACCGGCAACAGGCGCTGCAGGATGCCGACCAGGTGTACCACAAGTGCCAGGAGTACCTCAAGCAGCTGGCCCTGCCCGCCGACGGCATTGATGAGAGAAGTGTGCGACTGATTTGCCGGGAAGCAGCCGGTTTGGCGGTCATACGGGGCACGCGCATTGCGGAGGAATACGAGAAGAGCAGTCGCCTGCTGTCATTAGGTTAGGATTCGAATATTATTGCAGAAATCCCCTTAAAATACCTTAAAATAATTATTTCCAGTTGAGGACAACGAGCTGCAGGGCAACCTCACGGCCTACAACTTTGCACTGCGTGCCTACGAGCGTTTCCTCAGCGAGTGCGGCAACATTCCCGGCGAGTGCATCGTGGAGCAGGACATTGGACGCCTGAAGAGCATCGCCGCCAAGATGCTGGGCGATTTGGGCATGCATGCCACCATCAGCGACGATGTGCTGCACGAGATTTGTCGATACGGCGGCGCCGAGTTGCATGCAGTGTCGGCTTTTATAGGTAAATGTTTTCCTTATTAGGGGTAATGTGATATCCATCTATTGTTTTGTTTTTCCTTACAGGTGGCTGTGCTGCCCAGGAGGTGATCAAGATCATTACCAAACAATACAAGCCCATCGATAATACTTTTATATACAACGCCATAACCACTGAAAGTGTAACGTTGAAACTATAAACAAATCGTATTTTCATAGAATCTTAACATTTGCTACTTTAACAAACTGAAGTCATTCTTCGTCTTTTAAAAACTAATTAAATTAGTCAGGAAATAAATATAATAAATCACACTGTACATTTTTATTACCATAAAAGTGTAGACGAAGAAAGACATTCTACTGTTAGCAATATTAATTTGATTTACTTTGCTTTCTTGGCAACTGTTGATATCCTGTACTTTTGGACATAGAATCTTCCGAACATAAATAGGAAAGGTACCATATATGCAGCTCCAAGTGGCGTTAGCCAGGATCCGTAGTCACAGCCCCGGAAAGCCATTTGGGAAGCCCACATCAAGACTATGGTAAACTGCAGCAGCTGGAGGCCAGTTAAGTAGCGTTTCCACCAGAGGAACTTCTGGATACGAGGACCCAGGACACTCAGCGCGTAATAGCTGTACATTATGACGTGGACGAAGGAGTTTATCAAAGATGGTACATAAGCTGATTGGAAAAAAGGGATATATTCACAAGGGAGAACCCATGAAAGAACAGGCACTCACTTGAACCCGTCGGCAACCACTTGATGAAGATCCAGCAGAAGGCAAACATGGTGCTGTGGTGATAAACATGAAGGAAGCTCAGTTGGCTCCACTTGTGACGCAGGATGAAGAAAGCCGTGTCGGCGAATTCCAGTATTTTCGAGATGTAGAACCACCAAAAAGCCGCGGCTATCTGTTGGAAAACTAGAGTTCATAACTTTGGCTAACTTGCGGCACCAACTTTTTTTTTTGCTCACAAAAGTAAATCATTTCAAAAATAATAGTAAGTGTATCAGTGAAAAGTGAATACATTAAAAATAACAAAATTAAAATTAAAACAATTACACAAGCCAATCAGAAATTGAACAGATTGATGAAGGAATATGCCACACCAACGCAAACATTAGAACATTACAAAGTGAGAAGAAGGACATTACGAAACGACTAAGAAACATAGAAGACGAAATACTTAATCATCAAACCAATAAGAAACTTACCCGCATTTCATTCGGGCTATGGTTCACCCGACACGGCTGGCAGCTGAAGCTATAGTCGAGGGCCCGCGTCGCCGTGAAGAGTTCCACACAGATATAGGCATTCAGGCAGGCCATGGCTAAGCTGTGGCAGAACAGAGGCAGTCGCAGCTGCAGCGGCTTGTACCTGAGAGTCCGGATGGCCAGTGGGCAATTGTAATAACTGGTTGGATGGATGACTACGAGCTCTCACCTGGCTGTCCATTTGGGTCCGTAGTAGACCATCATTAGATAGAGGCCCAGAAGAGCGGGAACATTCCAGGGCGACTCAACCAGTGGCCAATTTCGCGTCCTCTCATCCGCCAAATCCGCAAACGGATACGAATAGCTTAATATTTTTGTATTATTGCCAAACGATGCCATCGAATATGTGCTCTAAGAATTTCCAGATCCGACTGACTAAGCCGCATTCCCACATTCACCTCTTATATACGAATTTTGACCATGATCGCTCCGCTGATGCGTTGATATTTTTCCCCCAAATTTAATTAGATGTCGCTGGAGCATAAACGTTGGGTAAGGTCTGGGTTTTGCCTTTCCGATTTTCACTTGGCATTTCATGACTGCATCTTAATTGGTGTCTAAAGTCAAGCTTTATTTTCTGTGTCAGGTTTTAATGGAAGTTAATATAACATGTGATAATAAGTTTAGTATTAGCATAATTTTGCAAAATCAAATTACTATCTCGTGTTACTTAGCTTTCTTCTCGACTGTTGCTACTCTGTAATTTTGGACATAGAATTTTCCGAACATAAAGAGGAAAGGCAGCGAGTAGATGGCCATCGATAAGGTTATCCAGGTTCCGTACTCACAGCCCCGGAGAAGCATCTGGGATGCCCAGAGGAAAATGAAGATGAACTGCACAAGCTGAAGACGCGTTAAATAGCGCTTCCACCGCAGGAACTTCTGGACGCGAGGACCTAGGACACTCAGCGCATAATAGCTGTACATAATGATGTGTATAAAGGAGTTGATCATGGCAGGCACATAAGCTGATGGGGAAAAAATAGATATACCAAAAGGGGGAATATATTAAGACTAGGGACTCACTCGAACCCGTGGGCACCCACTTGACCACGACCCAACAGAAGACAAACATGGTGCTGTGGTGGTACACATGCAGGAAGCTCAGTTGCGTCCACTTCTGGCGCAGGATAAAGAAAGCCGTGTCCGCGAATTCCAGTACTTTTGAGATGTAGAACCACCAAAGGGCCGTGGCAATCTGATTTACCATAAAAGCATGTTTTAATTTTTTGGCAACAGGTCTAAAGACATGTTATTTTATAAAATCATTATTATAAAACCTTTGCAGAAGAAATAATTCTTAGATCAACAAATGATTGAAATTATTTTTTAAAGCTTCTAGTTCTAAATAAAAGGTACAACAATTTAGAATTTGGTGAATAATCTAGTCATATTTTTGACTAATGGTTAACTTAAGTTTCTAAGTGTGTTAGTTTTTAATTCTGATCTCTATGATTTGAAGTTTAAGTGGTACAATCAACAACGTTGGTAGCCAAATTGCTCTTAGTTACTGCCACTTAATTTAAATGGATCCGTAACATGCATGGAGCTCAAAAGCCGCAATAGTAATAAAACTTGTCGGTTCAGCTTAGAAATTTTTATTATAAAAGCCACCTTAGTATCTTAATTCATTTTGCAATAATGGACAAATGCATCAAAATGACATTGGCGCATGTCAGCATTTAAATTTTAAATTTAAATTTAAACTATAGCTTTACGCTTTGAAGCACTTTCTTCTCAAGGACTAATTTATAATTTTTTTCTCTCTTTTAGCAGCAACTTACCCGCATTTCTTGAGGGCTATAGTTCACCCGACAGGGCTGACATCCAAGGCTATAGCCGAGGGCTCTTGTTTGGCTGACGAGTTCCAGGCAGATATAGCCATTCAGGAGGATCATGGAAACGCTGTGGAAGAACAGTGGCACTCTCAGCTGCAGCGGCTTGTGCCTGTGGGTCCAGGTTTCGTCTGGTTATTTAAATTGGATGATGAGATAGATGGCCACCTCACCTCGATGTCCACTTGGGACCATAGTAAACCATTAGAAAATAGGCGGCCAGCAGGACGGGAACATTCCAAGGCGACTCCACCAGAGGCCAATCCCGCGTCCGTTCGTCCGCCTTATCCGGAAACGGATAAAAGTAGCTGACAGTCTTTGTGTCATTGCCAAGGGATGCCATCATCTAAGAATTTCCAGATGAGACTGTTAAAACTGGCCTACGGATGTGCGGCTTTATATAAGAATACGAATCGGTTATGTTATTTCCTCCAAAAGTTAATTTAGGTCATAAAACTTCAGAAAAGGTCTAGGCTTTACCTTTTAAATGTTTAATAAACATTTTATGTCGCCATCTTCATTTGCAACCAAAGTCAAAATTTTATTCTGGGTCAGTTTTAAAAGGTATTTGGGCATTTGGAATATTTTTATTATTTCTTTTGCCCGCCTTAAAAATCTGAAAAGTGAAAAATATTTGGAAAAATATAAGAAATGTGTGTTAGCTTTAAAAAGGGTACTACTTTGTTTTTGCTTTTTCATGTTAACCCTTTAACACCAACGATGATTGTAAACAGAATTGAATCTTCTCTATAAAGTTCTGGTAGGTTGAATACTGGTCTTAGCAACTGATGTTAGGAAAATTAAAAAAAAAGTTAATATGTAACAATAGGCAACAATGCGTATGAGTAGTAAACTTAAAAGCCAATGCGTAGATCCTAAAAATAATCTTAAGGTCCTTAAGGATCATTAAAAAACAGAACTATTTTTTGAGCTCGTCGTTTATTTTTTTTAAGGGGTTATATACCTTTTTTGAGCGAAAAAATTGAGGGAACTTTGGATTTTTTTTTTGGTGTGTAGCAATTATTTTATGACGGTGAAGTTATTATTTATTGATAGTACATGTTTTTATCGAAACAACAAGCCTTTGTTCTTGAAAAAATATTAATAATTTACGAAGTTATGGCAATTCTTTCGGAACCCTTTTTTTTTATAGCGGCTTGCGGTGACCACGATGGAAGTCCAGCAGGTCAACTGATATCAAAAAACCAAAAAATTTTAGTTAGTATAGTATTATTTCCAGTTCGTGAACGATTACTTTTAAGAATATTTCCTTTTTTCTGCATACAGTAACAATTTTTCCAAAAAGTTGATTTTTCAAGTTCTAAAAATTTTATTAAAAAATTCTGATCTGCGAAATTAAAATTCGCGCATAAAAACTGAATCGTTCACGAACTCGGCACAATCATTACGAATAATTTAAAAAAAAATTGAAGAAGATCGATCAAATAGTTCTTGCGCAATCGTGGTCACAGCGAAGGCACTTTTGGAAAAACACGACTTTGAGATAATCGCATTCAAAGTTTTACATTGACGTTGCAACTATTGAAGTCGAGCTCGTCAAATCGCTGTTTTCCTATCGAACTATTATTCGGATCTGTATGAAAATTTGGGAAGATGTTCTCTAGGGGATATACTTTAAGATTCAGCAAAAAAAAAAATTTCGTTTTTTTTAAAAAAAAAAGGTATATAACCCCTTAAGAACACTACATGTTTCTAGTAACGTCTGTACCGGCGCTCCCGAACATGGTAACGCCTCACGATACGAACGCCATCTCTGTCGCGGTTCCTGCGGTTCCTTTCTGCTCTTTCGATTCTTCGTTCTCTGCGGAGTCTGCGCCTGCGCTCCTCGCGGAGGCGGTTCTTCTTCTTGGTCTTCTCGGTGGTTGTGGTGGTGGTTGAGGAAGCCGTGGTGGTGGTAGTGGTTGTGGTAGTGGTCGTTGTGGTGGCGGCGGTGGTTGCAGTGGATGTGGTTGCCTGCGTTGACAGGACAACCAGAGTGGCCAGGACCACCAGGGATAGCAAAAGAATAGGACGCATTCCGACTTCTCTTTTGACTGGGCTCGAGATTCTGATTCCACCAGCCACTGGACCGAGCTATTTATAGTAAGGGCATCTAAAGTTATACCAGATCTAGCTTGTTTGCAGAACAAATATCTGACGTGCTTTGAAATTCCCAACTCTGCAAAATTGCGAATTTAAAGCTGCAGTTCTTCTGGTAGTGGTAGCATTATTTATATTGTTTTGAAAAATATAAAAGAAAGACAGTAAATATATTTCATATCTTTCTATGGGTAAAGAACACAACAAAAAATTCTTTCAATAACCTGCGATTTTTCGTGAACATTTTTTTAAAAAGCAATTTATTTATAAATATATAATAAATGAACTATAGTTAATTTTTTGAGGTTCCCACTCGAGTGAAAACCTTTCACTGAAATAAATTGTTATTCAAAAAGTATGCAACAAAAAGTTCAAAACTCATTGGGTTATGCCATAAACTTTTTCCACTTAAAGTATTCTAATTATAGCTCTGTTGCCAAATTTAAAGCAAGTTAATGGTTAAGACTAAATAAATAGTAAAAAATCTGTTTAATTTGTTAAAGCGTGTAAATATTTGCTAAATGAGTGGAGGGTTCCATGTCTACTGGTGTCTTATTTAACAAAAGAGTTCGTGTAAATATCTAACTTTTCAAAAATATAAAAACAATATAAAAAATATAGAAACAATAAAATAATTATTAATATTTTAAAAAGAGTATGGTCTTAGAAATGGTCTATAAAAGAGGCGAAATACGTGTCGTATGAGCATTATCTAAAAATATTTCAAAGCCATTGCGCAAATATTAAAAATTTAAAAATATTACTTTTTTCGTCGGTAATAATGTCTTTACATTTGTTACTTATACAAGTATAAAAAGTTTTTATAATCTTAATTCAAAATGTAACACCAAGTATCGTAGTTGGTGACATAACAAATCTGGATCACAAAACTTGCAATTGCCGCATCTGTTTAAAAATTGTAAGGATCGGTAGGTCGTTAGCGGAATGGTTAAAAATTTTAAAAAACTTACTATACACAAAAAAAGTCCAGAGAAATCCTATCCACCATTTACCCGAACTACACCATTGCGTACCCAAAAAGTCGTACCAATCGATAGCATTGTTGACATTGAGCAAAAGATACAATGCAATGACGTGGGATGCAATTAACCAAGCGAAGGAGATAAATTTCAAAGGTGTTAAGAACCGCTGCAATGATACGAATGACTTGTAAGTATTTTTTTTAATATTTTAATAGTTACATCTTTACACCAGACCAGAACTAATATTAAAATGTGAAAAATCGGCCACAGAAGAATAATCACAATTGAGGTAAAGTAAACGTAAAACGGACGTCCTTCAGCTGATGGAAATATAACAAATATTAATTTAATTTAATATAGTAATAATAATATCCCTCAATTACCTTGTGGTGAACCAAAAAATAAAAGTGAACTCACTATATATGCTCCATAAAAGATCATCAATAAGAAACGTAACATTTTTTTTTTTTATTTTGAGGAAACTTTGAAATATTTAATAAAGAAAATTAATTCGAAAATTTCTATATTTTATTGCTTTGATAGACAGTAAAATCAATATTCCTATGGTTGAACGAATCTGCAAGACCGGATTTATGAATACTTAGAAAAGGAAGAGCTTGATTTAAAATCGAGGAGCGCAAATTAAGATAATGTATAGATTTCTTAATATCCAAAATGGTGGGTAAAGGAATCATATTTTCATTTTTGGTGTTGAACATATTATAAACCATTTTTTGGTTTAACCACGACGGCGTCTTCTACCGGCTGCGCGCTCCCGGATGATTCTCCTGATGATGCGGTGTCTTCGGCGATGGACCCTCTTGTGGGTCTCTGGGGCTTTGGTTGTGGTTGTTGTGGTTGTTGTTGTGGTGGTCGAGGAAGAAACTTCCGAGCTTTCGCCGCTGGAGCTGTCAGACTCATCGGAACCCGAAGATGTGTCGGTAGAGTTGGAAGAGTCGGAAGAATCGGAAGTGTCGGAAGAATCGGAAGAATCGGCAGAGGCGTGAACGGAGGTCAGGCAGATGGCCACCATGACCAAAGAAAGGACGAGCAGGAGCCTCATGTTGTAAGTGATTCGAGTTCAGGTACTTGAAGAGAAGTGTGGAGATTAATTCGGTTACCCCACCATTTATAGCCCTTCTACACGCTGGTTGACTACGTCAAGGGAGTGGAAAATTTTCAGATTTTAATCCGATATTAAAAATAACATTCGCAGCCACCATATTTTCCTATTCCACCATTGGCGTTCCTAATTTTTCGGCTACGTTTGCCCTGTTCATTGTTGGCTTGTTTAATTAGAAATTTTGTGTTCTTTTCTATCCAGATATTGACTTGAATTCTTTTGTTAAATACTACCAGTAGTCTGAATGTTAGCTTAGCACTCAGTTATGCAAATATGTACACGCTTCAACAAATTTATCAAAAGTTTTGGGTGTTTACTTAGTCTTCTGGTTAGGCTTACTTCATATAGTTACTTGAATAAAGCTATAATTAGAATAATTAAAATAGGAATATATAAATGAAATAAAGTATATAAAATGTATTTATAAATATACACTCAAAATAAAATTAACCCTAAAGTCAAGGAAATCGCCCTACTTTTGTCTTCAAGACAAGCTCGCCCTAAATTTTAGGGTCACATTTTTCTATATTTTTGATTTTTTTGACGTCATATTTCTAAATTTTAGGGTAATTTTACTAAATTTAAGGGCAAAAATTTCTAAAAAGTAGGAAATTTTCCAAAAAAATAGAAATTAAAAACAAAACAAAAAAACATGTTCAATCATGATTTTTTTTGAATATACGTTTATATTATGTACTCCTCCCTATATACATATGCAGGCGTTGTGAGTCTTGTATATTGTGAATGTTAAAGGTTATGTATTTATTATTATGTATTTGCGCTTGGATTTCTTATCTAACCAAAGCCAAATGTTGTTGTAAATGTGGACTACGGGACTGCGAAAGATTGGGAATGTAGAAATTATGATTAGTTAATATTAGTTAATATCTTCATGAAAAAAACTTACATTTTTACTTGTCCGTCGGTGAGAATCGAACCCGGGTCTCCCGCGCGAGGAGCGAACGGCCTACATACTGGGCCATTGTAGCACTTAAATTTGCTGTGGCAAACCGAGCATTGTATGTAAAGAGTCAAGCGGAGAATACATTTGAATACTAATTGCATAATTTTGACCATTCGCGTTTTACTTATTTACATACATATATACTTATGTATATATTTATGCTATCGCAATTTATATTATGTGTAGTATATAGTAAATAGCTAAATATAAACCAAATTATTTTCGGTTTACCGCTTGCCATCAATAAAAAAAGGAATAAAAAAAAGAGTAAAAAAACAAATTAAAAAAAAAAAACTTAAAAAAAAAACTTAAAAAAAAAGGTAAAAAATAGTTTGCTCTGGGACTCGAACCAGGGTCGATTCGATTTCTAACCAAGCGCTTTAACTGTCTGCGCTACGAGTACAGCCGCCCGGCAGCTGACAAGTTCTGGCATTGAACATTTTGGTGTGCCAGAGCATGTGAAAAAAACTATTTCTATTTTTTAGAAAAACTTTCTACTTTTTAGAAAATATTTCTATTATTTAGGGTTAGCTTAATTTTAGGGTTAGGGCACTCATTTTTAGAAAAAGTGTTGCCAAAATATTTTATTATTTTCGTTTGCCTTTCTATTTTTTAGAAAATTATTTCTAATTTTAAGGGCATTTTTTCTAGATTTTAGGGTGATTTTAGTTCATGGTAACCAGTTTCTACATTTAAGAAATACTTCCTGGATTTAAGGAAAACTTTCTTGACTTAAGAAAAATTTCCTTAGATTTTGAAATAACTTTCTTGTATTTAGAAAAAAGAAATTTTAATGGTGATTTTCTAAAATTTAGGGTTAAATTTATTTTGAGTGTAATAATTTCCCTTCTGAATGTTTTGATGTAAAAGTTTTTTAAAAGATACACTCTTTGTCTTTCAAACCCCATACTTAGAATAATTTTAGGATTTTTTTTAATGGAGAAACCAGTTCAAGAAATCATAGTCAAAAAACATAAATGCAAACGGCTGCGGTCAATATAGTAGTAGTGTTGCCGCCCTGTGTTTTTAAAAGCGAAAGTTTGTGGCGGAATTATTCAACTGTAGACAGAATCCTTTACTAGTGCCTATGGTGTTGTTAACCCACTAATCTATGAAAATTATATAAGTTCGATTTGAAACCTTATTATAAAGCTAAATCTAAAGTGTAATGACTCATTACTAATGAGGAACAATGTTAAGCCAACAATACAAATTCTAGCATTCATAATTAACATCCCGTCCTCACTTATGCCTTAGTCTTCAAGAAACCAGACGAGTGTGGCATCCATAAGCCCCTATTCTAGAACCCAAAACATTGGCCAGAATTTTAAATCAAATCAACCCTTCAAATAATCGTGATCCGGAACCATTTAGTGAATCCAAAACAATAAAGAATTTTTTTTTTATTTTGTGGGTATCCTTGTTTGGTGTAAGGGATATCTTTAAAAGATTATACACATTTTGGATTCCTTCTAATATTTGATTGGGAAAATAGTTAGCTTTGACTCTCTTTAGATTATTTGACAATGAAGTTTACTATCTCTGACATATGCCCATCTTATCTTTTTTGGATCTGCAAAATGGAACCCTTTTGAGAACACTCGGACCTAATCAAAGAAGTAAACCAATTTGTATGTTTGCAAATACAGTTTCTGACTTTATTTTTCATTGAGAATCGTACATGATGGACAGGATCTTTAGAAGCGGGCAAAACGGCCACCAACTCGGCGCTCACGCACACGGATGCGCCTCACGACGCGACCGCCATCGTCACCGCCGTCATCGCGTTCCCTGCGACGCCTTTCTCCCCGACCACCTCCACCTCCCCGGATGATGATGATCCTCCTCCTGCGGTGCCTGCGGCGATGCCTCTTCTTCGTCTTCTCGGTGGTGGTGGTCGCAGCAGTGGTGGTGGTGGTAGTGGTGGTCGTGGTGGTTGCGCTGTCGGATGTCGAGGAGGAGCTGCTTGATGGGGAGGTGGAGCTGCTCGACGGGGAGGTGGAGCTGCTTGATGGGGAGGTGGAGCTGCTCGACGGGGAGGTGGAACTGCTCGATGGGGAGGTGGAGCTAGAGGCGGGCGTAGATGCCTGCGATGACAGGACAACTAAGGTGGCCAGGACTGCCAAAGATAGCGCAAGAACTGATCGCATGTTGACTTCTCTTTCAGCTGGGCTTGGGATTCTGATTCTACCATCCAATAAACCGACGTATTTATAGTTGGGACATCTGAAGCTAACGCCACTTCCAGACCTTCTCATATTTGCAGACAAATGTGTAACCTACTTTGGGTTTTTCCACCTCTGGATAGTCTTTGAGACTATGCTCTCATTGTTCCGTTATTGTGACTATTGTGTTAACACAACAGGAATATCATGTTATCTATTTTGATCTTCTAGAAGTGGAAAAGTTTATTTTATTTTAACTTTGAAATTTAATTTAAAACAAAACTGCTTACAACTTCAATTTACATTATTTTTGAATGCATATTTCGAAAATTATTGCAAATTCTGTGCCTATAAGGGCAATATTTCAATTAGTGAAATATCGAGTATAATAATAACTTATTACTTATACTTATAATTATAATTACAAATTAAAAAACGACGAACAGAGTATACAATTTATACAAAAATTATTGCCATTTTCGAAATATTCAAAAATAATGTTAATTAAAGTTGGAAAAGTTTTGTTTTTAACTAGTTATTTAAGTTAAAATAAACTTTTCCACTCTTAGAATATCAAAACAGATAAAATGATATTCCTGTTGTGTTAACACAATAGTCACAATAACGGAACAATGAGAGCATAGTCTCAAAGACTATCCAGAGGTGGGAAAACCCAAAGTAGGTTACACATTTGTCTGCAAATATGAGAAGGTCTGGAAGTGGCGTTAGCTTCAGATGTCCCAACTATAAATACGTCGGTTTATTGGATGGTAGAATCAGAATCCCAAGCCCAGCTGAAAGAGAAGTCAACATGCGATCAGTTCTTGCGCTATCTTTGGCAGTCCTGGCCACCTTAGTTGTCCTGTCATCGCAGGCATCTACGCCCGCCTCTAGCTCCACCTCCCCATCGAGCAGTTCCACCTCCCCGTCGAGCAGCTCTACCTCCCCATCAAGCAGCTCCACCTCCCCGTCGAGCAGCTCCACCTCCCCATCAAGCAGCTCCTCCTCGACATCCGACAGCGCAACCACCACGACCACCACTACCACCACCACCACTGCTGCGACCACCACCACCGAGAAGACGAAGAAGAGGCATCGCCGCAGGCACCGCAGGAGGAGGATCATCATCATCCGGGGAGGTGGAGGTGGTCGGGGAGAAAGGCGTCGCAGGGAACGCGATGACGGCGGTGACGATGGCGGTCGCGTCGTGAGGCGCATCCGTGTGCGTGAGCGCCGAGTTGGTCGCCGTTTTGCCCGCTTCTAAAGATCTTGTCCGACATGTACGATTCTCAATGAAAAATAAAGTCAGAAACTGTATTTGCAAACATACATATTTGTTTACTTCTTGGAGAGGTCCGAGTGTTCTCAAAAGGGTTCCATTTTGCAGATCCAAAAAAGATAAGATAGGCATCTGTCAGAGATAGTAAACTTCATTGTCAAATAATCTAAAGCAGGGACCGTAAATAATCATTATTTGAGATTTTTATTTTAAAAAGACTACTGTGATATTTTGTTTTAAACGTCAAAAATAACGTTATTTTTACTCTTGTCCACAAAGTATATGCATTTCAACAAATCTGGAAAGCAAATTAACTGTTATTTGTTCATGTCTATAAAGTGCATAAAAACCACTTAAATTGTTGATTAAAACTTGTAAAAACCTCAGTACACTCATAAAAAAAAATCGAAGAATTTCCTTAAAATCTAGAAAATTCTTTCTTGAATTTTTGCCAAAGGCGACCTCACCTTTGTTTCAAGAAATGGTTTTTTTGAAAGGCACCATTAAAACCAGAAAAAATATTTCTTGTTTTAAGAAATTAAATTTCTTAAAACAAGAAAGGGTTTTTTAGAAAGCCACCATAAAAACAAGAAAAAATATTTCTTAAAACAAGAAAGGCGATTCTTGTTTCAAAGGTGGTTTGTTTCTTGTTTCAAGAAATTAAATTTCTTAAAACAAGAAAGGGTTTTTTAGAAAGGCACCTTTTGAACAAGAAAAATTCTTTCTTGTTTAAATTTCCTTTCAAGAAATTTTATTTCTTGATTTAAGAAATAATATTTCTTGAAGGGAAGTTTTATATTAACACTGAAACCCTAAAAATAAAATGTAACTTGGTTTTTTCTTTTGCATATTTTATTTATTTAAATTTAAAACATTTAACACTGAACATTTAAACAATTTTAAATAACACATTTTTGACTTAAGAAAACATTATTATAACCAAATATGTAGTTGCAGGCATAAAAAATTATTTTCTTCGGCTTTCCTCATCTGGAAAAAAAGAGTTATTGGGATATCAATGATTTGTTTTTAGATAAGAATAGATGTTTTTAGATAATAGATAATAATGTAATGTTAATAATAGCCAAAATACAAACACGTTGGTCAGACGACCGAGAGAGGAGCAAGACAGGTAGAAAATGAAGAAGGAACCCTGTAGTTCTCAAGGGGGCCGGTGGCACTTTCGGGGTAGAAAAGGGATCGACCACCCAGTGGTCCCTTAAGGGTCAATAGGTGGCGTGTGTATTTTTTACAAGAGCAAAAGAGTTATCGGAGAGTGAACACTTCTATGTGAACACTTCTATATGAGTTAAAAAAATTGTAAAATGAAATTTTTGACAAGTTTATAATGATTTTAATAACGAATACAACTTTATTTTGTTTATATAAAAAACAAATTTAAAAAAAGTTAAAATAATAAAATAAAAACTTAATAATGAGATAAAATAAAATAATAAATGATAGAATTTTATTTCTTTTTATATTATTTATATTTAATAATGAGCAATTTAGCTGCAGCAATATTTTTAACAATAGCGGTGGTTCAGTAGCAAAACGTTTTCTTTCCTTCCATAACAAGCGGATTTTATTGGTGCTTAGATATATAAAATAAATATATAAGTACCTAATTTTATATACATAGAACTAAACAAAAATAATATTAGCGAATGTTTTTATTGCCATCGATTATACGATATCGGTAGTCGCAATATTAATCGTAACGGATTGCCATAACTACCAAACCCCGCTACCATCACTAACCCAACGTTTGCGCCAAATTTTGTAAACATTGTATTTAATTTGTCTTATTGTACATTTAAAGTGTTATATTTTGTTGTGATCTGAGGTGTCGTCAACAGGTGAGTAACACCATGAGTTGTGCAAGTGAAATACCTAATAATGTGTGATATTTAGCCATGAACAGCAACAGGCACATTCGTCGATTTGTTAAAGAGGAGAAGGAGAAATAGTGGTGCAAAGGACTCCTACGCAAGTATTTTTTCTTTGATATAAATATTTTAGTGAAATTTTCTTCCTTTTTAGATTAAAGCCATGAGATCGTTGTTGCTGCCAGAAGGGGGTTTAAAAAACTTGCGGAGGGTTCTCACGGATGAGTTTGTTGTGGGATTTAATGTTAAAGGCCTTTCTGGAAAAAAAAGCCGTAAACTCCTTTACATATTTCTATGGTGCACTTCACGGTAGGTTATTTTTATAACTGTATTTTTTATAATACACTTAGTTTCTTGATTCAATTTCAATCTATTTACTTAGAATGCCATCTGTCTTTAATCCTATTTCTTTCTGTCTTTTTCTGCTTTTCACTTTTAAAACATGGTTTGATGTAAACAGGCTTGTATAACAAAATCTAAAAATATGTATTTAAACCCATGCAGAGGGAATTATAATTTAGTCCAGAAGTTTGTTACGCAGTAAAGGAGACCTTTTCAAACCTATAAAGTAAATCCATTTAACCATGTCCGTCTGTCTGTCGGTTCAAGTTTCAAAAGCGTGAAATAAGTCTACATTTAACTGTTGGTTATTCTTATTTTATATTTATGCTTTTCTAGTCACAATTTTATTCCTGAAAGCTGCAAGGGTATTAAAACTTTGGCTTGCCGAAGTTAGTTTCTGTTCTCATTTTATTTTAAAACACTAAAATCTTATTTTTTTTTAGATATTGTTTCAGAATCTGGTAATGCAGAAATATTGATTCCCAAGGCAATTCAATTGCAAAAGAAACGATTTTTTAAAAATAAATCCAAATCAAATAATAACAACAATGAGGCACTCAACAAAAACGTGTCAGCAGAGGAATTTGTTCAATAAATATAAATTAAAAAAATAGAAAAATTGTCTACTTATAATACAATAAATTAATTTAACAAAAAGTATTTTTTCTTGGGAAGTTTCATAGCATTCAGCTTTTTTGGTATTGAAAACTCCAACCCCATTTCATACCCCTTTTCGCCACAAAAGGGACCGATAGGTGGTCCCATTTAATACCCCTTTTCGCCACAAAAGGGACCGATAGGTGGTCCGATAGATGGTCCGATAGGTGGCCCCTTTTGTGGCGAAAAGGGGTATAATATGGGACCACCTATCGGTCCCTTTTGTGGCGAAAGGTAATGCAGAACTTCGCCATATGACCACCGCCTAGGACATGCCGTGGTAAAAGTGGATAGAAATTTACATTGCGGGTGGTATGAACGGGAGTTAGTCCCAAGCCCCCGGTGTATGGCGATTTCGCTAGTTCGGGACCAGTCCCGGCGAACTACAGGGAAGGGTTGAAAATCGAATTTCAGAGAGAGAGAGGCACGGGAGAGACACGTACATACATACATATATATTTACATACAGTCCTTTGCGCGAAGGGAGACCGAATGTAAGCAGGGCAGATCGTGTCAGTTTTAAGAAGGAGAAGAGAGAAACGTCGCGACGCGTAGGTCAAGCGAGCGAGAGAGAGGAGCAGAATATGAAAGGGTTGAAAATCGGGTTTCAGATCGGGTGAGCCGCGTACATGCATAGATATTTACATGCATACATAAGTATGTCAAACAAATACAACATATTTTTCTTACCTTAGAATGTTTTAAAACAAAATTACAGCTTCGCTAAACAAATTATTTGGCTGATGCAACTGCAGGTATTTTCACTCTGAAAAATAAATAAAATGCGAGTAATAAGATAAAGTTATTATAGAACTCTACACCCACAGATTTATATACAAATGTATGTATGTACGTAGCTCTTAGCTAAAAAACCATTCAACTAAATTGGTATACGCTTGGTAAAGAGATTTGAAATTTATCCTTTAATTACATACATACAATTGTACGCCCGCTATACAAAAAATTATATATTTACATACCTTTGAATATTTGGAAAAAGGCTTAACCTCTTATCCGCTTGAAAATCACGTCCATCACTCACGAATTTTTTTCACAACTGACGCTCGGGGGATCAGAGAAGTCGGTAGCCGGGTAGGCCCTTCGTCCCACTTCGTTTTTCTTGTCGTTAACATTCGGCAGCCGAAGGAAGTCAATGGCTACTTTCCTATATTCTACGGTCATTTCATTCATATATTCAAAGGTGATTTTGTCCTAAAATACGTACAAAAATGTTTTGGCTGCGACGGCAAAACAGACATATGAGATTTTCATTTTTCTATTTTTAAGAAAAATTCTTTCTTGAATTTTTTCCATCAAGAAAGGTTTTCTGTATTCAAAGGCCAATTTTCTAATAACAAGAAATTTTTTTTCTATTTTCAAAGGTAGGCCGATTCAATGGCGAGATTTCCAAAATTTAGAAATTAATTTTTATGAGTGTAGGCCTTTTAAAATAAAAATCTCAAATAATGATTATTAACGGTCCCTGATCTAAAGTCTTTGAGAGTCAAAGCTAACTATTTTCCCAATCAAATATTAGAAGGAATCCAAAATGTTTATAATCTTTTAAAGATATCCCTTACACCAAACAAGGATACCTACAATAAAAAAAGATTTTTTAATGCTTCTGATTTAATAAATGGGTTAATTCTTTGAAGTGTTGATTTGATACAAATTTCTGGCCAATGTTTTGGGTTCTAGAATGGGGGCTTATCGATGCCACACTCGTCTGGTTTCTTGAAGACTAAGGCATAAGTGAGGACGGGATGGACATTGCTGTCCTCGGAGGCTGTTGAGAGGAGGGAGTGTGTCGAAGGACTTTCCATGAAGATCATCTCAGCATCAAACTGACTCCAGCGACCACGTGCTAATTGATCCTTAACGTACTTCAGCTGGGTGTTTATCTACGGAAAATGGGGGTGTTAATAATAAATGTTGTTTCCCATTACACTTTAGAATAGATACAGTTTTAGCCCCTGTTTAAATATTTTTAAAGGCTTTACATGAAACTGATCTAAATTTCATTAGTTAATAGGTTAACTTTACCATAGGCACCAGCAAAGGATTCTGTCCGCAGTTGAATAATTCCGCCACAAACTTGCGGAGATCATCTGGCTTTGGCTTTGCGTTAAGGGCCTGCTGTAGGATTACGCGAATTATGGCACGTATCTGAAGAACCCAGATAAAAAGAAAGTTAGCAATGAAAAAACAGAATCAAATATCATTACCTCTGGATGTTTACAGAGATATTCCCAGTTTCCCAGGCGAAGCTGCTTTTGGATGCGCGATATGGAGCTATAGTGCTTGATATCCCGCGAATTCCATTTTCCGAGATCCCAGATCTTGGTAAAGTTAGCCTGATTACCTTTCGACATTTTTCGGTTTTTGGTTAGTAAGCTAGATTTTACAGGAATTTAGTATTAACTATTTAATTTACCATACGAAATAAAAATCAGAGGGAGGTTGATTTATGGGTCAATTTAAAAATTACTGAATTCTCGGTGAAAAAGAATTATTTTTCTTGGAGTACTGGTGTAAATTTGAATTAAATTTAAGAAATCTCTTCAAATTTCTTCCTAAACATTTTTCAAATTACAATTTGCCGCCAATTTGTTTCGCAAAAAGTTTTCCACACTTTCGTTTGTCGTCTTGCGGCTACCAACAAACGGTCACACTGAGCCCACAAAAGAAAATTTTTGGACGAAAACTGTTAGAGATTTCCGCTTTCAATTAACAATGATGAATTAATTAGCGCTGGAATTAGCACGAGCTTCAACTTCAGAAACTTTCACGGGTCCAAGGCAAGAGGAAGCGATGGTGAGTTCAGTGAAGTCGACGGAAAAGGCCATATTTTTGGGTTGGAAAACTGGGCAGCCGAACCGGCTTGCCCGGAAAAATGAGGAATCCGTCGTAATAATGGACCAAAAATAGACCGGAGCGCAGTGGCCCAAAAATAGCCACGACACATGTGCTGCAAAAACTGATGTCTCTTCTCCTTTATACCCTTTTTGCAGGCTGTGCTGGGCGCCCAATTGGTCATCACCCTGGTGATGGTCAGCGTCATCCAGAAGCTGAGTCCCCACTACTCCTTCGCCAAGTGGCTGCTCTGCCGCACTGGCCTCCACCGCTACCTGCATCCCACCGACGACGAGCTGCGATCCCGCGGCGGAGTGCCCAAGGAGAAGCCACCGAAGGGCGGGCGAAACAAGCAGGCGAATGGCTCCGGAACCGGAGCATCTGGTCAGTTCCACATACCGCGCAGCATCGAGGTGGAGCTGCTGACGTCACCGGTCCTGGAGAGCGACGTCATCCACCTGCGATACTTCACCGAATACCAGTGGCTGCTGGACTTCAGCGTCTACACTGGCATCGTCTACGTGGTCTCTGAGGTGGGCAAAGTATTACTTTATTACTCGGAAATCTAATTCGCAATATAGGGGTTAGAGAAACTTCTAATGGAGTGATTTATTATTGCTTTATAATCTGTAGAGATTTTCATACTCATCCTCAGATAAAAAAACGGAAAAATATGCCGCTGATATTGTTTCATATCAATTTTTCCATATCAAAATGGTATGATTTCATATCAACATATCAAAATCATATAGTCGAAAATATCATTTTGACATGAACACAGAACGGACCAAAAATTTTTATGAATTTTTCCATATCAAAATGGTATGATTTCATATGAACATGGTACAAAATCATATAGTCGAAAATATCGTTTTGATATGAACACAGAACGGGCCAAAATTGAAATGAAAAAATACTAATTTTGGTCTTTTTTTCTCTGTGTACTTTATGAGTGATTTAAATATATTCAAAGGATTAGGATATAAAGAATCTGTATTACAGATACAGTTCCATTCAGACTTTCACATATATTTAGGGCTGTTTTCTCGTCCGCCTGGGAAATATAAAGTAGGGTTAAATCTCTGATTTCCCATACGATTTCAAGGTTATAACCCTACTTTAAATTTAACAAACGGACGAGAAAACGGCCCTTAGAGTACAAGATCATACAAACTTAGTAAGAATTAGTGTAAAATATATTTTTTATAGCATTCTAGATAGCCAGACAGTTCTTTCTCCCAAAAAAATAAACTTCGAATAATGTTAACTTTTGTTATTACCACCCACAGCTCTTCCACTTCTACTACCCGCTGCGTCAGGAGATCAACCTTAGCATGGTCTGGTGCCTGCTGGTCATCTTCTTTGCCCTGAAGCTGCTCTCCTCGCTCACGGTGCTCTACTTTCAAAGCGAGGAGTCAATTGGCGAGCGATCGATGGTGATTGTGGCCTGCCTGGTCTATCTGCTGGTGGCCATGATCGTGCTGATCGTGGACGAGCGCATCCTGGAAACGGGGCTGGAGGATGCCTATGCCAGCTTTAATGCCAGTGCTTCCAAGTTCCTCACCGAGCAGGGCCTGCCATCGTCGTAAGTGGGTCAGTTCTTTTGCACCGTGTTGTTTGCTAAGTTTTCCTTAATTTTTTTTAGTGGTCCCGCCTCTAAGATCGTGGTCAAGTTCTTTTTGGCCATGGGTTGCGGCCTGCTAGGCTCGCTGTTCACCTTTCCCGGCCTGCGAATGGCCAAGATGCACTGGGATTCGCTGAAGTACTGCCGTGGTAATCGGCTGCTGCAAGTACTCCTTAATCTCAGCTTTGTGCTGCCCTTCATCCTGGTCATCCTTTGGATACGACCCATTAGCCGGGACTACCTGACGGTGCGCGTATTCCAGGGAATGCAACAGCCACTGTAAGTTAAATAATGCCTATTTTATGTTTACAATTCTAAGTATTACCTTTACTTTCTGTAGATTGAAGCCGCATGTCTTTGAGACCCTTCGCCTGCTGCTGGTGATCCTTGTGGTGGTGGTCCGCTTCGCCCTGATGCCCATATATCTGCAATCGTACCTGAATCTGGCCCACGACAAGATCCTAGATCTGCGCAAGGAGGCCGGTCGGATCACCAATGTGGAGTTTAAGCAGAAGGTGAGGCTCAAGTCTTTTACATAAATGATTATTAAGAAATAACATCGTATTTTCTCTCCTTCAGATCTCGTCGATCTTCTATTATCTGTGTGTTGTGACCCTGCAGTTTGCTGCACCCCTGATCCTCTGCCTTTATCTTACGCTCATGTACAAGAGTCTGGGCGGCTTCAGTTGGGCGGGCATTTTCCGGGAAAGCGGCGTCCTGCAGCACGAGTGTGCCGCTGGCGAAGTGGAACCAGTTGGAGGTGCGGTGTCCCAAGGAGATGGTGATTTCAATATCCTGGAGTCGGCGCAATCGCTGCAGGCTTCCTTCAGCAGCTTGAAAAATGTAAGAACTCATCTTCCGCCAGTTAAAACTGTTCCTAACCATACGTTCTTTTCAGGTGTTCTCCACGGAGGTGTACAAGGGTTTCCTGGGCTTTGCCACCTGGTGGAGCTACTTCACCCTGTTCGCCACTTCATCCCTTGGCATCGTTTACCAGTCATATTTCAACAAGACCTAAGACCATTTATTTATACACCTGGAATCCTTATAGTAGTAGGACTTTGTTCTTTTGTAGTCAATTTGTATCGCACATGCAGTCAATATTGTTTTCTACTCATCTGGCGAACGCCTTGGCTCTCACCATGTTTTGTAAATAATACTACTTTACTCATTGTTTATAAAGTGTGTAATAAAGACTTTTAACCAAGCTGCCATGATAGTAACCAAAATAAAGATAATCTAAAACTGAGATATGTTATCAAAACATTCAACAAATGAGTACCTCATCGTGATTTTTGTCAATTTCAATTTAATGGGATATAATCCTTTACGTTCATTTCATATTTATGGGGCCTACAATGAAAAATAACTGAAAATTATATTGAATCCATTTTTAAAGAAACACACATTGCTCTTTGGTTATAGGCCAATTTGAAAACACCGATTTATTGAACCTTTAAGGTTGCGTATTAACCTAACAGACCACAGGCTATGTATATTTAGAAGTATATCGTTTGCATATTTCCAGCAGGTAGTGCTAAATAGAGTAGTTCAGCACAGGGGCCGACTTCGGAATAGATTATCGCTTAGATCTTGGCAATGCCGATGACGCCGCAGCCAATTCGGGCGCCAGCGTTGCCCGTGGACTTGCTCAGCTCGTGGCCACCCTTGCCGAGATCATCGGCATCGGCGTGGACCACCACGGTGCGGCCGATGATGCTGTCGGCGCCGAAAAGCGTGATCTTGGAGTCGGTGATGCTGACCTTGGTGGGGCAGTCGCCGGTGGCCTCAATGTTGCCCAGGTCGCCCAGGTGACGGTTCTCGTCGGTGGGAGCGCCGTGCTCCTTGCCCTTGGGATTGAAGTGGGGTCCGGACGACATGCAGCCGTTGGTGTTGTCCCCGAACTCGTGCACGTGGAAGCCGTGCAGGCCCTTGGCCAGACCGCAAACCTCTCCGGTGACCGTCACGGGAGTATCGCTGCTCTGTGGAAGGGAAAAAGGGCAATTAGTACAAGGCTCAAGATAATACTGCCCCTCCCGATAAGGCAAAAGTTGTGTTGAATTATGAAATGTCTTGACCCCCATTGATAACTAAAAACTAGTGGGGCTATCTCGATTGAGTTGATAAGAAGCTAAGTCATTATGGGGATAGATTATTTAGTTTTAGTGATAATTGTTAAGTGATCCCATTAACTTGTATTCTAGAAAGTTCTACAAATTAATTTTGACACCTTAAACTGACATTTTAAGTCCACACTTTAAAAATCAAGAACAATCGTGAAAAGTTAGGCCTACAACTTTAGAAAAAAATTTAAACAATAAAAGTAGTTTTTCCTATATAAACTAATACTCTACAGGTCCTGAACAAATACTATTAAAAACATAAACTTTTTAATATTCTACGTTATCGCATACATATTTGCAGTGATTTTCTAATAGCGGTGCTATTCACCGTTACATGGACCTGTGAACCTATCCCAGTATCTTAAATGCTATTCTTTTGACCTCAGCTGTAGGTACTTGAGCGCACACATGTGCGCATCGTTGTTGGACTTATATAATTGTGCATTTGTTAGGTGACTATGCAAAATCGCAATCGGACTTAAATGATAGGCTCCAAAGAATTTAAAGTAGCTTGAGAAAAATGGAAGAGGGGCTCCTCGGGGCATGCCGGCAATTTGACCTTTAGAACTACTGTATTTTCTGGCTCTTTCCTGCAAGGAATACCCAAAACTATAATGGATTCTTACCTGCTGCTCAAAGAACACCGTGCCCTTGGCATCGCCATTAATTACGCAGACAGCTTTAACCATTTTTTCAGCAATTGATTATTTATCAAACGAAAAAACTTGCAAACTTCTTTCAGGTATCTCGTAAAGTGTGACCGTCGCAGGGCAGTTTAGAAATTCCAATAAACCTGGGCGTGAGGTGAATATGTGATCGTTCACTAATGCTGTGTTTATGCACTGCCCAAATTTATATTCCCTAAACTCTTGAATTGCTGAAAATAAAGTTTTTTTTTTCATAAAGTTTACGAAACTTAACACATGTTAAACAGGTGATAAAAATCTAATCAAAATTTCACAATTCCGCAACTTAACATTCTAGGGAGTACCCATATAAAATTGTTAGTACGTTTAGAAAAACTAAAGCAGAACAGCTGTTGGGATGCTGAATTGGACGCATCCGAAACTGAAAGCAGATAGTGGAAACCGGTCCTTACAAGATACAATTTTATCAGCTGTTTGGCGAACCTGTGGTTCATTGTCAAGCTTCCAAACTATTTAAGTAAATGCGGTGAATTCAATTTGCTTAAATTTAGCGAAACGTCTATATGTATTATCAAGTTAAGTGAAGCGTGTTCCTCTTCTTGTTAATCCACAGACTTTAAATCAAATAACTTATCAAGTATTGAAGACTCTTTAACCGGTTAAAGATCCAAGCTGAATACAATTGCGCATATTTAATCCGAGTTCTTCTCAAGTAATACCGCAACTATGGAGTCTTGGTAAGGAATACAGCAATAACAATGTAAGAAATGCAAGCTTATCTGCAATTATTTACAAAGGCTGGCCCATTCTTATAAGCAACTTTTGGAGGAGGACGACTTTACCGATTGTTGTGTAGTTGTCGGGACGCGCCGGTTTCCTTGCCACAAGGTAGGTGGTAATACTAGTTGATCCAAGCTTTAAAAATAATAATCTTTTTCAGGTTATACTGGGTGTGGCCTCGGAGTTCTTCAAGCGCACCTTTCAGCCCGGTTTCGCTGAGGCAAAAACTGGGGATGTGACCCTAACCGATGTCACGGAGGACATATTCGAAAAGTTTCGTCTGTATGCTTACTCCTATGACAGGACATTGCTCAATAGCTACAGCAATCAGGATATGATCACGCTGAAGGAGTGCGCCAATATGTGGATTTCCGAACCGCTGAAGAAGGCGTGCGAGGAGATCTTCAGGGAAAGATTGCCCAGGATGGAATACTCCGACTTGCTGCTCTACTTTGAGCATGCGCATCATATACACGACACTAAACTCATCCGTGAGATTTCCTCTAATCTGAAACGCAACATTTCGTGCAATACAATCCCAGAAACTCTTTATGAACTGGGTTCGGATGTTTTCAGAGAGTTTTTGAAGGTCATAGAGAACTCTTCGACAGAGAAAACGCGCTATGACATAATTGAGAAGTATGTGGCCATTCACGGCTTTGTTCTTAACCAAAGCGATCTTAATAAGTGGGAGTTCCACGGACTCGCCAATCCGAACGATAAAATCCCGGACACAGTGTTTCGGTTCGGAGAACTCTCAATCAACGACGATAAAAAAACGGACGAATACGCTAACCCAAATCCTTTCAAGGTCGAGAAACTTAACTTTTCCGACCCAAACTCGATATGCTTGGACCCCAGGTCTAAAAAGGTCAATAGCGAGTATGTCAAGACCGTATTGAGCCTTATCGACTATACCAAAATGACAGCTAAAGAGTTCTTCGAGGGGCCTGGAAAATCCAAAATGATGACCTTTGAGGAGAAGTTCAATTTTATGTATAAAATAGCTACAGAAGGGACACCTGTTATTCGAAGTCTTTTCGCACTCCCTATAAACTAAGCTTTATAATAATTAAAAGTTTGTATTCCTACGTAGTATACCTGTCTATCCATAAACTGAGCCAAATCATTTTTGTTTAACACTTCTATACTTGCTTATAAACGTTCAAATAAACAAATGGTCAATTTGTTAAAGGTAACAAATAAAAAGATGACACTATATAACAATGACGCTCCTTATGACCGCATTCAAGCTCTGTGGTTTATCATGGATAAATTGAAACAAGAAAATGTACATTTGATTTTTGTTTTTTAATACACAATTTGTCCAAACACTTAAATGGGATTTTCTTCATTAATAAGAAATAATGTGCTATCATTTCAATCTTTATATATCGTTATTGTATCCGTAAATTTGTAGATATTACTTATTAAATTTCATCATTTTTGTTTTTGTTTGTATTTTAATGTTTGTATATATATAGATATATATATTATATTTAAATCGATATAGGTATGTAGATAGGTAATATTATTCATTCGCCTGTTTGTTTGTTACTTGTGTGGTTGGTTGCTTGTTACTTAATTCTTTCCCAATTTTCTCACGCTTCTCGCACAATTCGGTCACATAGCTATAACATCTTAAACATCATAATCATCAATCATTACAATAATCAATCGCATATATCTAGATAATTTTGCTTTGTTTGCTGCTTTACCTCGCTTTAAACTTAATTTTTATTATATTACTTAGAGAGTAGCGTCATCGAGCATATTGAATTCGTCAGATCTAAGGGATTAAGTCGTAACTTCGAATCGGGTATCGAATTTCGAAAGGTGTGCATGTAGTTGCCGCCGTTGAACGGTTGTTGGGCCAACATTTCAAACACAATCTCACAGTTGCTATTTGTAAAATGTTCCATATCAATTTATACAATTTGCTTTCGTGTTGCTTTGCTTCGCGTGCCTTTTTGATTTCCTATATTGTGTGTTGGGTTCGCTTTTTGTTTTGATTGGTTTTCGGGGTGTAGGTGTAGGTAGGTTTGTGATTGGCAAATTCAATATACAAGATGGAGATACTTTTTGTTTTGCTTTCTAATCGTTTCCACCCGTGGGGCCCACTATTTGCCCTTGTTCTGCCGGTGCTTCTGGATCCGCACGCATCAGAGCACCTCGGACACGTACTTGGGTCGCTTGGCCACGGTGGCATCGGTGGCAGTGGTGACGCACTCCTCCTCGGTGGCCTCGATGTGACCACTGTAGTCGGTCGGCAACTCCTCATAGATAATCTCTGAATGCTGTTGTTGCTGCTGCTGCTGCTGCTGCTGCTGTTGTTGTGCCACCGCCTGCTGCTGATGCAGCGAATGGGACGCACCGCCGCCGCCCATCACATGGTTCCTCTTCAGAGCAATCAGAGCTCCAACTCCGCCGCCTCCGCTCGCGCCGCTTCCCTCAACGTGCGATTGTGGCGCGGCCACGCCGGAGTTTTGATTGGTTACGTAGTAAGGACTACCGCTGCTGAAGGTCAAAATGAAATTGTTATAAGGTTATATACAAGGTTAAAATGTTCACTTCGTGCTCACCTGTACTGATTGGAATTGCTCGACAGCGTCTGCTGCTGTTGCTGTTGGTGCTGCTGTTGCTGGTGTGCATTTTGAGAGTTGTAGATTATTTCTGTAAAATAATTTCAGTTGGTCAAACTAATGCAGTTAAATGTAGTGTATAAACTAATTGAATAAACTCGTAAATCTCTCTAAAGAAGAAATAAAGCTTTGCTTTTATCTTAATGCCTCTTACCGGCATCAGCGGCTCGCTGTTCCAGCGACATCCCCGGTGATCCGGGAGCCGATTGCAGCACAATATCCTGCAGCGGTGAGCTCTCGCGAGAATTATCTAAAAAGAAACAAGAATAAATGAAGGGAATACCAGGACGGGATGTTGGGCCACCACTTACCCATGTGACTGGGCGAGACGGGCGCCGAGCGGGGCATCCCGTATGGCGGACGGAAGCCCTGGCTGCTTCGCTGGCGACGCTTCTTGTAGCTGTGGTCGATCAACTTGGCGCCGCTGTCCGGATCAATGCGCCAGAAGGAGCCCTTGCCGGGCTCGTCCTGTGACCGGGCTACCTTGATGAAATACCTGCAGGGATGAGCGGAAAATGTAAAATAATTTTTCAAGATAAAATATGACATTTACAATCTCTTACCTATTCAAACTGAGATTATGACGTATGGAATTCTGCCAGCCCTTGTTCGTCTCCTTGCGGTAGTACGGATAGTGCTTGACTATAAACGAATAAATGCCCGAGAGCGTTAGCTGCTTGTCCGGTGCGGCAGAAATGGCCTGGACGATAAGCTGGGCGTAGCTATACGGCGGCTTCTCGTTGTGATTGTAGCTGGCTGTGGAGGGAGTCTGGAACAGATCCTGCTGCAAATGATAATTCTCGATAGTTTAAACATACTTCTTCGTTTAAAAAGATTTACTTACTGTGTTGTTGTTACTGTAGTTGTTGTAATTGTTGGGCTGATTCTGGATGAAACCCTGACGTGGACTAGCCGGACAACTGTTGGCAGCGCTTATTGTACCTGTGATTGCAAATAAATAAATAGAATTAGAAAACTGACTAGCCAATAAGCCAATAGATTTTAAAACATTTAAAATCTATACAAATTGTATTTAATATAGGATGAAATTCCACTTGCCAGTTGGTGACAGGTAGGGGCTCTTCTGCTCCTTCTTGGGTATGGAAATCTTGAGCGGAGAATAGATGCCGGGTCCATCGCCGGCAATTAGGTGGGCAGCTGCCCCAGCTGATGGCGCCACAACGATGTTGCCGCTACGCTGTTGCTGCTGGTGCAGAGCTGTGTGGCTGTGGAGCGGGTGGTGAGGTGCGTGCGGGAGTGGGTGGTGCGACTGTTGCTGCTGCTGTTGTTGCAGCGGCAGGTGGTGCGCTGGCTGGTGGTGAGGATGCTGCTGCTGCTGCAGCTGCTGCTGCTGTTGCTGCTGCTGGTGGTGATGCTGCAACTGCTGCTGCTGGTGAAGTTCGTCCCTCGGCGGCGGTGTTATAATAACGTGGGCACCACCACCACCACCCACTACACCACCGCTTACGACCAACGATGGCGAATGACCGGCGGCTGCATCCGATGGAGGGGCGGGCACATAACTCTCGAACTCTATGCGAATCTCCGTACTGGGAAAGCGGAAGTAGCAGCTGCAAAGGGAAAGTGAAACAAGTGGATTAGAGAGGACCTGTCTATATTTTTAAATTTATAAATATTTTGAAGAATTACTAATTTTAGTAGTGAATTGTTTTTTGGTATACCAATTTGATTATCTCTTTTCACACCTTTCATTAGATGATTTCATGGATTTAGATAGGAAAAGAGATAAAACCAATGAACACAAACGTATGTAATTCTTAAAATTTTGATTAACAAAATATAATATTTTGTTAGATAATATTCCTTCAGGTTTATAAATGCTCTGCTTTTTTGTATACTTTTTTCCTATACTTACCGCTGAGGCAGACGAAGTGGATCCACGTTGCGCCGCTGCAGGAAATCGTCCACGAAGATGCCGTTCTTGCTGAGGCACTGGACAAAGAAGGCGCGCAGCTCCACATCGTAGAGAACCTGGAAGTGCTTCCGCGAGACCAGGTTGTTCTCCGCCACATTGAAGTGGACCAGCGATGTGGAGGAGTTGCGTCCGATTACCGTCACGGCGTCCGTGATGGGCAACACCTCCTGGTTGAAGCGCAGCTCTCCATATGGCGGCGGAGATGCTGATGCGGAGGGGGTGGTGGTGCTGGCGGAGGAGGAGGATGAGGCGGTGGTGCTACTAGTGGCAGGTGGGTGGTTTGCTGAATTGTTGATCAGCTGATCGGCGCTGTTGCTGTTGTTGTTGTTGCTTGCCGCGCTGTTACTGCTGCTGCTGCTGCTGTTGTTGTTGTTGCTGCTGCTGGTATTGTTGTTATTCAGCGCCGCTGTTGCTGCTGCTGCTGCTGCCGCCGCTGCGCCATGATGCAGCTGCAACATGTCCTTGGCAATCGCAACGGTGGCGGCGTCGGCTGCACCACCGCCTGCAATGTTGGTGGGTGGGTTGTTCAGTACGGCGTGTACGGTAACAATGTTGTTGTTATTATTGTTGTTGTTGCTGCTGGCGATGCTGTGGTTGTTGTTGGTGGTGCTGCTGCTATTGCCGGTGGTGGTTGCTAGTGTTGTGGTTGTTGTTGTTGTAGTGGCGGCCATTGAAAGGTAAATCCCACTTGTCCTATGCTCGCTTACTGTTGTTGTTTGCCTGGAAGGTGGAAAAGCCATACATTTTATTTAATTTTTATTTTTAAAATATTTAATTGTAATCAGTTGTTTAATTATGAATGCATAGAAGTTCTCAAGGGTTGGTAAGATATTCAAAAATCTCAATTTAATATTAATTATTTTTTTCAGAGACGTACATATGTACATTGTACATATGCAAATGTGTATGTATGTATTTGAAGGTGCTATTCATTAAAGTTTAATGATTAAACCATTATAATATACATCCATAAGTACTTGATATTTTTAAAGGTATTCCTATTTTATTGTTAAGTAACTCCTTTTGGAAAATAAGCACAAGTGCAAAATTTGTTTATAATTAAAAAAATTTACTTCTAAAAATATTTGTTGTTGCATTTTTAAACCTATTTATAAATGTTTTTCCCGTACTCCTTTTAATTATACTACACCAACCATTACGCTTGATTAATTGAGTTTCCTGACATTACCACCTTATTATTTTCATTCTTGTATGTACATTAATTTATCGAATGCATGTGTTTTTATGCTTTTGCAGCTTACGGTCTTTTACCTATTGACTTTGCATATTAAAAACCTATTTGTTTTATTCACACACTATTTGTACGTTGAGTGCACTATTTTTTCCCCTGTTTTTCATAGCTTTTCACGCGCTTTTCGCTCTTTTTTCGTTTTGGCCCCAAGGTTTCTTCTTTTCGTCAGCCACAAATTATTTTCCAAATATACACACACATACGCTCTTCGCACACATACACACTCGCACCGTTGCTGTTTCGGTTTTTGCTTTACTCTGTTTTGCTACCGCAGCCGTACATACAATCGCACCTATGTACTTTGTACATACCTCGGTCGGCAACAAAAACAAGCGCCGATTGGAGCAACAACAATAATAATAATAATAACACAACTACTACTACTACGCGGCGGACACTACGTGAGTAAACACACACACACCTCCGTACATATGTATATGGCCGAGCGCCCGAGAGAGCGGTAAACTGCAAAGGCTCACGCTTGCGCTCTTTTCGCTTTCCCGGGAATGGAAAAATCTCCGCTCCCCAACTCCACACACAAGTCGGTATCCCCTCTCTCCAAACAGAGCTTGCGGCCAGTGTTGCCAACAGGCGATTACATGCCACAAATAGCGAATAAATCATTCAATGGGGAAAAAGCTGCATGAAAAGGGGTTATGTCCATGTGACACTGCAAGGGAAAAGGTCCCGAAAATGAAAATTTGGTAACGTTGGGCGCCAGTTGGGCATTCTTATCGAACTTTGTCGATTTGAAGGCGCGATTTTGTATACTATTTTTATGTTAGTTAAAAAGGACACCAATTGATTACATTAATTCTAAAACATTATTTGTTAATGATTGAATAAATTTGAATTACTTTAATTCAGTATAATTTTAAAAAGTTTCAGAAACTTTAATTTAAGAATAATTAATTACATATTTAAGAACTATTATTAATTGATTGACTTAAGTAAACAAATTCCGTCCAAAGGTAAACAATGGCTGTGTGCGACCTTAAAGCTATTCAATCACTTCTTTTATTCTTATGAAACACTTTACCGTGCACCTGTGCAACAAATGGATAACAATGGAATGCGCCACAAGTTCAACTTCTCGCAGGGTTTTGGCGGAAAATAAGTGCAGACAGAGGGACTTCCATGGCAACCGAAACTTTTCGCAGAACGATCTGTATCTTAAGAGTCCGTTGGGGAAAAGGGATGGGAAGGGGGGAGGGAAAAATAAGGCGACTTTTTTGTATGCGGCTATAAACGAACGTTGGCAACACTGTTCCACTCTCCGACTTGTTTGGCTCCACTTGGCACCAACACACGCACACACGCTGGAACTCGCACACTCACACACACTTGGTCGGATTGAGAACTCTCGCACTGGCAGGCCCCACATGGCTCCCCATCAATCGATCGAGCTTGCATGCATAAACATGCAAAACGAAACCAAAATAAAATTAACGAGAACAACAAAAGGCAAACAAACGCCCATACATACGGCCATATAAATAAACACACGCATACACACAGCTACATATAGATTTGGCGAGTACATACATATATGCGTGTGTGGTGGGTCACTCGTAACGGCAAACGACGGAGGAGAAGGCGAAAGAGAAGCACAATAAATAAATAAAAACACCAAAATACACACAGACACACACGCATACATGTGGCGTATTGGAAATGCGTAAAAAATGCCGCTCGTTGATTTTTCAGCTAGCAACCGACTCCACCTGCGCATACATACAGACGACGGATGTCTTGTTTGTCTCTTTGTAAACACACAAAAAGCACACTTTTCACAACGTATAGCTGCTCTTTGCTTTTCGCTCGGCGATTGCGTAAACTTGCCGCCCGCTTTTTTCCCACCTAACATCAAAATATGTACACACACTTGAGGCCACCTATACACCTATGCCTGCCCGTGTGTGCTCGGTGTGTGTGTGTGCGTTGTATGAGCGTGTTCCAAAATAAAAACTTAATATTTATTTATATGCCATTTGGCTGCTTGGTTTTCCGCTCACTCAGCTATTGATTTTTATTACTACTAATTCTCGCTCTCTCTTTAGCTGTTTATATTTTCGCCGTTGGTTATCAAACTCGAACTGTTTTTGTTGTTCTTTTTTTTCAGTCTTTTTTTGCACACAACACGTTTTTCGCTGCGTGCTTGTGTGTGTATATTATTTTTTGTTCGCCTTGTTTATTTTTATTTTTTTGCGTACCTTCTTGGAAAAAACCTTTGGCCGTTGCGATTTGATAGATCTCTCGATATGCGCGTAAACACTAGGAATTGGGCAATAATTTAAAGCCGAATTTTGCAGTTTTTCAGCTATTTTAATGCGGTTTTCCCGATTCTTATTGCTTCAGCGCGGATTTTCCGGTATTTAGATACCACCTAAAAAACCACCAATCCAAATTTAGGACATTTTGACTACACGTTTTCGCAGGGATTTTCTGGTATTTATATATCACCAAAAATACTACAAAATGAATTTTAGGAAATTTTACAGGAATTTTTAAAAGTTTTTGGCGCAAAAATATAATTAATTTGAATTACATGATAGCAATAACAACAACAGAGGAAGTCACTTTGGAAAAACGGAAGATTAAAAAGCCTTCTAGACAGTTTCCATGGCTGAAAGATGTATGATATTTGTGGGCTTATTTTTTTCAAATTTAAGCTAACATTAGAAATATAATAATAATATAGATATATAATAATGAAGTCGGGTTTCTAATAATATGAAAATGTATTTTTTATTACAGTTTTTAACAATAGGAAATTACATTTAATGGGGAAAAATAAAAAAATACGGTAATTGTTTCCCGCGATCTGGCAACGCTCAGCAAATCAGCTGTTTTCAGCCGCGTTTTGATTTTGTAACAGTTTGGAGGAATTTGTATTTATTAATTTTTAAATTAAACTAGCAAGATGCAAAGTCTAACGCGTTTGCTGAGCTCGACCTTGAGCCTGCAGTCGCCGCCCCGCATGGCGTCGGTGGGCGTGGCCCTGCAGCAGCTGCGCGGCAAAACCAAGGTGGTGGAGAAACCGAAACCAGGTGCCGGCCAGCAATTCCGTCGAACCGTCCACTTTCCGGAGGAGTACACGGTGGAGCCGCTGAAGATCACTCACTTGGCTGGACGGGATCCCGTCTCCGGTCGCCTGGTGGCCAAGGGCATCGGCGGGGGGCTGAAGCAGCAGTATCGGTGGGTCAAATGGGTGCGCGACGGACCCACGGAGAGTGCCCAGGAGGAACTGGTGCTGGAGGTGATTCGCGACGGCTGTCGCACCGCCAAAGTGGCCCTGGTGGCCGTCGGCGATGAGCTCAAGTACATCCTGGCCACCGAGAACATGAAGGCGGGCGATATCCTCAAGACCTCGCGATTTATTCCCAGGATTCCGGGTAAGTTTCCTGTGTCCTAAATGTCCTGAATTAAATTATTTGTTAGCTTTAAAAATGTCAAAAAATAAATCATTTTGTTTTACAAAGAGAAATATTTTAACTTAGTTCAAAAAGTTTGTTATTTTATACATTTATTTTGAAAAATATCTAAAAAGATTTGTTTTTACCAGGAACAGAAATCATTATAAGTGATATTCAACAAACTCAGAAATAATCATTATTTATGAGTTTTATAAATATGTATCCGGAATAATCATTAGTTATTTATAAAACTCATAAATAATGAATATATTTACAAGTTATGAATATTCCTGATACATATTTATACAACTCAAAAATAAGGATTATTTCTGAGCAATATCAATTAAAAATCAAAAAACCATGATCATTGCGGATTTGAAAAGGTTATCTGAATAGTAACCAAATGGTGTATTCCATTTGGTTTTTCGACTATTATAAGTGACTTATTTTTTATGTTTTAAAAATGATTATAATAAATATAAATTATAATAATCATTATTATTATTATAATTATTATATTATTGTTATAATGATTATTTTCGGTCCCTGGTATTTACCACTTATTTTAGAAAAGCATATCTTTTCCTTAGAATTTCTGTTTTTAGAATAATTTTTTTTAGCCAGGAGCTTAAGTAGTTAGTATAAACTTATTGCAATACATCTTTAAGCTTCTCTATTTTCCCCGCAGTGCGTCCCAACGAAGGCGATGCGTATCCATTGGGCGCCCTGCCCGTGGGCACCCGCATCCACTGCCTGGAGAAGAATCCCGGCCAGATGTGCCACCTCATTCACGCCGCCGGCACCTTTGGCACCATCCTGCGCAAGTTCGACGACAAGGTGGTGGTGCAGCTGCCCTCCAAGCGGGAGTTCGCCTTCCAGCGCACCTGCATGGCCACCGTGGGGCGGCTGTCCAATCCGGACCACAACAAGGAGCATGTGGGCAGTGCCCAGAAGATGCGCGAGATGGGCAACCGGCCGCGTTCCGGTCTGTGGAAGCGCAAGGAGGGAAAGCATGGTCGCAAGATACGCCGCCTGCCGCCCATGACCACCATTTCGCCACCGGCGCCGCCCAAGGAGGAGGCCATCAAGTTGACGCTGCCCCTGTGAGGAGGAGCTGGCTTTAATTTCTATACGTGTGTCACACAATATATACAACTAGAACTAGAGCTATTTTCGGGTTTTCTTCATCGAGAAGCCGGTGCCGTGGAAGCTCTCCGCCTCGGAACCCTCCGCCCCGCCAGCTGCGCCGCCGTCCTCGTTGCCCCGATCGCTGATGGGCCGAATGTTGCGGTCGAAGCGGATGAGGCCAAATTGGAAATCGTAGTCAGGGACGCCGCGTGCGAGGACCTTCTTGACCACCGGCGTCTCCAGTTGGCTTTCCTTCTTCTTTTTGCCATCCAAACGCACACCGGAGCCCTTGAAGGTCTCGACGACCTCCTCGAGTATGGCATTGGCTCCACCGGCGACCTCGTTGCCCGTTATTCCTGCCGCACCCTGCTGTCCCGAACCGGAAGTCTGCGTCTCCGAGTGATCCTTGTAGCCCACAGGGGCCTCAAATTCCACATTCATGTCGCACTCAATGATGCTAACCGCATTGCCCGGTTTCGTTTCGAGAACGCACAGCTCGTAGACCTTCTTGTTGTACTTGATGGCTATCACATCGCCCTTGGTGAGGCACGCGAAGTTGCGCAGCGCATTCTCCAGCACCGCCTTGGGATTGGTGATGTCCAGGAAGTCGGTGCTGTGCGGCTGGAATTTGGAGAACGTGGCCACCGGCAGGGAGACGCTCTCGATGTTCAGGATGTCGCCCTCCTCCAGCAGCAGGTTGTCCATCATCCAGTAGGGCAAATAGCATTTGCCCTCGTCGGCGACGAATTCCAGGACGCCGGCGTGCGAGGATCGGGATTTCTTGCCGTTGGTCAGCTTGAAGAGCATCGGGTATTCCACATTCAGACGGGTTAGTGTGTCCAGGGCGGATGGAGGCATGATAACTATGGATTAGAAGGTGTTAGCAATGGTTTTTAGTTGCAAATCCCCCGGGAAACTCACTTTTTCCACCCTTTTCCACGTCGGATCGCTCGTTTCCGGGCAGCATGGAGACGGAGAAGCACTTGTAGGTGGCGTGGAAGCTGCGTCCCTCCGGGAACATCATGTTGAAGCCGCTGAAGTGGAACATTCTGTTTTGCACGGTTCTACTGCCTTGAATTCCCCTCTTTTCGGGGGAGGCGTTAATTTTGTTTTGTTTTTTTTTCTGTAATGTCACGGCTGCAGAGTGGCCAGGTGAGTGAAATCCATAAATGCAACCGTTGCATTCAGGTGGCAGCGCTGTGGGTTTGTGTACGCGATATGTGAGGAGGGTGACTCCGCTAGACATTTTAGCAAGACCGTTTGAGGGATATTTTTTGGTATATTTAATTAAAGAAAAACGGGATCCGGAGGGTATTATCGAGCTCCGCGGTCACATTACCTAGCAAGAGCCGGTGGTTGCGCGCGACTTCGTCCCGCTTAAATAAATTCAATAGACGAGATATTGATTTGAAAAAGTGCTGCTGATCAAGTGAGTAACTCCATTAGGACTTGACGAAACTCCTGCTTATATCCAGAAATAGTTTTCAGTTGGGGATTTCCCACGGGATTCCCACCTGGCGAGCTTTTTTTTTAGTGCGCGTGAGTGTGTGTGCCTGCAGGACATATGTATATCCTTGTGTATCCTTGTAGTCTGGCTGGCGCCGCGTGTTTTTCGCGTGGGTGTGCTCTCAAAGTGTGTGTGTGTTTGGTTTTCGCCACTAGTTTTCTTCCACAAAAAACAATGCAAAATATCCAAACAAGCAACAAATGCAAAATGATTGAGTAGAAAAATCAATAAACTGGGCAATCGATTGGGTGCGGAGCACAAGTGGGGTGGCAACACGAAAAAAAAAGTGTCGTATAGCTCCAAATTCAAAAGAATAACCAAAAACGAATTGTTTTCCAGTGGGCCAGAGTACAGTTACTTTGGTATATTTTGCAAAACGGTTTGACAGCCACTGATTGGCTGTGCAGCTGTTTTCAAGCCTCTGTTGTGGTTGTTATTGTTGCTTCGCAGCTGCAGCAACGCCAAAAACAACAACAGCAACCACTGCAACAAGGTGGAAGGAACGAGAGGATGCGAATATTGGGCGAAGGATGACCATCCTGCGCACTCTCCATCTCTCTCGCTCGCTCATCTCTTCTGGCAGCTTCCAGACACTCCTCACTCTCTCTGTATCTCTTTCGCATTTCCCCCACGGCACAACAACAACAACACCGCTAGAATGATTCATTATCGAACGCCCCCACCTCCCCTCTTTGTTCATCCTTTCGCGAAATTCTCCTCTCTATTGTGAAATTTACCAATTTCGAGCTCCCTCTTCAATTTTCATCACTTTTCCTATAAACTGTAACACGATTAAGAAGAATTCCCCCTACGCTTCGCCTTCCCGCAAAATAAGTAGCCTACCCTAAGCGTAATTTTTTATTACATTAATGGAAGTTGTATTACATTCCTGAATATCTAATTAGGTATTTGTTCTTGTGTTCTTTATCTTTATGAAAGTGGGTAATTTGATAGTAATAAAAGTTCGAATATATGTACCTAGAAACTATTAAATTTAATGAAAGCCCGTTTCTTTAAAAATAAATTTTTACCCATTTTTGGCATTTCGTAGAAATTTCACTTAGTAAATATTATAAAAACTATACATTTTTTCTTAAAAAAATAATAATATATATTGTTTTAATATAAATTTTAGAACAATACAAATGAAATTACATTTTTATACAGATGAGTTCCACTGTGAAGTAGAAAAGTTTTAGGGGAGGAGTGATACTTCGGCATCTTTTTGTGTACAGTTTTTGCGTCTGGGAACTAAATTTAACAAGCGGAAAAACAACAAATAGAGCAGCTTTCCGAAAAGCATTCAGACTTTAAAATAGAGCAACGACAAAACACCACAATCCCAAAATCTTTATACACTTGCTGCACATCACTGAAATAATACATATTTCGATTGTTCAAAAATTTGGAAGATATTCAGATCTTTGCGCTTACGTCAAGAGAAGAAATTTTGAATTTTTTCTTCGCAAAATGATATCATGGATAAACGGATTGGTCTGGGCGAAGAATGAGTGTGTTTGAGAGTAAAGTGGGCGGTGGGTGGCGGTGGGGTGGTCCCTGCAACCCCGCAAGGTCAAAGCGTGTACACATTCGCCGCCGGATGGAAAGTGTGTGCGAATTAGACCGATTCAGTGCCTCTCCTGGTTGCAACTTGCGGTTGGGTGGTCATCGCACGAGTGCCTCTCAAACTGGCAAGTACAGTTGGAGTTCTGGGTCCCTCTTCAGGGATTATAAACTTTATAACTCCCGAATTTCAAGGGAGTTTAAGAGTGCCCTCAAAAAAAATGAACACATTTAATCTGAGTGATTAAAGCATTAAAGCTAAAAATCTCGGTCAAATTTTGTAGAATGGGGAATTCTTCCTCGGCGAAATTTATTCAGAAAATTTAATTAAATATCTTTTTACACTTATACAAACTTTTTAGGAGTTTACTTAAACTTAAAGCTCTTATTATTGGTTATTTTTAGATTTACTTATTTGGCCAAATCCAAAAGTAAATATGTTTTGATATGCTTAACTTTAATCTGAATTCGATCGATATATAGTAGGTATTTTTTAAATCTCCATATTTGCCTGTTGCCAGGTGCCCGATATTTATTGAATGTGAATGCTATTTGTATGTACTACAAATATACACACATATGTGAAATTCAATGAGGCAGCAAAAACGCTTTTGTTCTTTTTTTTGTGCACACGTTTTAAATATCAGCCGACAAAATCGTGATTCCGATTTCGGATCGCGTGTGATGGAAAAAAACCCGAAAAATCAAAACAGCTTTGAAGTCTAAACTCTTTTATGAATGCCAGGGAGGTAAAAAGGGAAAAAAGAATGAAAGAAAGAGGATAATAATAATGGCAAACGAGACCCGCATTATTTTTACTACTCGAGTTTGTACAGTCACACGTGCCAGAAACGTTTGCATAAACACAGTGGTACCTCGAAAACTAGAAATTTCTTTAAAAAGTTTTACTATGATAAAGTTGTAATGATTGGGAATTATTATGTATAGTATGATACAAAATATCTAAACTGAAATCCTTGTAAATTCTTTATCTCATAAAGTTATCATATAATCGATTTTGATACCATTCTTCTTGTTTAACTTTCGTACTCTTTACATCTTATTCACCTTTTTTTCCGAACGACCTTCGCTCGTTTGCTGCTCTTGCTTTTGCTTGTTGCAGGCATTTGTTAATTATTTGTGTGCATCCCTTTCACACCTGAGCGCGTCTCCAATTGGATTGGGCTGAACCGGAGATGGCTGATTGGAATAGGAAAGGGGCTTCGCTGTGGGTACAGTTTGACATGCATTGGATGTGGTGGTGTTAATTTAAAACAAGTTACCCTGAGTTCGGTGGCGGCGGCTCGACCTTGAACATGCGGCAGCAACCACCCCAAAAAAGTGAGCCCACCGCCTCGGCAAAACAACAAGTGGTAATTTTGTTAGCTGACGCTGAGCGTGCAGCGGTCGCTTTTCTCGGCCCAGGAAAATTCGACTGCAGGCCTCTATTATCTGCCCATTCCAGCACTTTTGTTTAAGCCCGATCCGTCCTTGGAACAGTGCGGCAAATTAAATCAATATTAAATGCAGTTTACTGTTTGCAAAGCCAGTTGCAATTGCAGTTGGTAGGCGGCAATGTCAAGGCTGCCGGTGACGCGGAAGGTGCATTGTGCACTGGGAAAAAAATAATTCGGCAATACGAAAACCGTTTTCAAAAACAGGGTTATAAGTGTTTTATCAGAAATACAAAATGGTTAAGGCTGAAGTTTGAAATTTAAAGGTTTTTCCCTGTGTTTTTAATGTATTTTCTAAATAACACTGTGCAGCATTTTGAGTGCTTTTTAAATTTACCTCGATGGATGCTATATTTTTTGATTCGTTACCAATTCCCAAGTTAAACTGCGTTTTCCAAAAAGTTCCCCGACGCATGGATTCTTAGCAAAAGGACCTCAAAGTTCGAAAAATGCTGAAATTGGCCAACTTTGCGGAGCTCTCAGAGGCAAATGGATGCATGGTTTGATTCGATGTTAAAGTTTTTAAAAGATACGCCCTTTATCTTTTAAACCCCATACTTAAAAAATTTTTAAGATTTTTTTTAAGGCAGAAACAAATTCTAGAAAACATAGTCAAAAAACTTAAAAACATACAGCTGCGGTCAAAATAGTAGTAGTGTTGCCGCCCTGTGTCTTTAAAAGTTTGTTGTTGTAAATCATCTTCTTCTGGTGATATTGTATTGATTATAATTTTACTATTGGACTAATTGGATAAGAAAAAATTACAACATCAAACTTTTAAAAACTCAAGGCGGCAACACTGCTACGATTTTGACCGCAGCTGTATGTTTTTCAGTTTTTTGAATATGTTTTTTGGAATTTATTTCTGCCTTAAAAAAAATCCTAAAATTATTTTATGTATGGGGTTTGAAAGATAAAGGGTGTATCTTTTTAAAAAACTTTAACTTCGAACCAAGCCATGCATCCATTTGCCTCTGAGAGCTCCGCAAAGTTGGTCAATTTCAGCATTTTTCGAACTTTGAGGTCATTTTGCTAAGAATCCTTGCGTCGGGGAACTCTGTGGAAAACGCAGTTTAACTTGGGAATTCGTAACGAATCCAAAAATATAGCATTCATCGAGGTTAATTTTTGATGCTGCATAGTGTAATTTATGAAAATAGTTAGAATTTTTTCGAAATTTAAAACCATGAGAACTACAAAATCGACTTTATTTATATGAATTTTTAACTGAAAGTGTGCATTTTTTAATTCTAAGGGTGTTCACCTGTGATTTGTCTTAAATTTAAAACCACGATAACTAGAAAATCACCTTTAGGGATTTATTTATATACATTTTAAACTATAAATGTGAAATATTTTTTGATTTCTTTGGCACTCTCTATAAAAAAATATGTTTTAAATATATAAATTGGGTCTGATTCACTAAATCAGCCTGCATCTCCTCTTATTTTTAGTGCACCCGTCCCTATCCCATCTGTTGTTATTTGTTGCACTTGCCATTCAATCCATTTTAATTCCATTTTCATGTCATGCAATGGCAATAGCAATACGTGAAGCCACTCGGTGCACATTGATTGCCGGCCGCCCAACCACCCACTGCCCTCCCACCTTCGATCTGATCGGCCTTAACGGTTCATTCCAATTACAAACTGCCCACCTGACAGGCAATAACTGTAATTTCTCAATCGACAATGGGTGGAAATTGATTTATTGCCGTAGGAATTGAAAAGGATCGTTTACTGGTATTGCTTTAAATTGTATTTGATGTCCAGAATTGAAAATTAATATTAAAAAGTTACAGTGAATAATAATCATCTCTTATATTCTATTCTCACTTTATTACCCATAAAATCGCCATAACTAGACATCGGATTTTAGGTGAAATCTTTTTTTTTAAACCGATTTAAAGCCATAGTTGATTGGTTACAAATTTTATTTATTAAGATATAATTAGATTTAGGGCAAACTTAATTGAGGTTTTTGTAAAAAAAATTGTAACCAATCAAACGTGGCTTTAAATCATTTAAAAAAAAAAACGATTTCACCTAAAATCCGATGTCTAGCCATAACTCAATTGGTTATTACTCATTTCAATCGATCCCATATATATTTCAGAATAAGCAAACATTTATTTGCATATGCAGTGGCTTAAAAACTATGAACACTTGCGTGTTTGCGTATTTATAGTTCAAAAGTTCAAAATACGCCGCTAAATTGGAAGCGATTACCACAGACCTATGATTGTTTCCTTCCCATTTCCATTGTGGGGATACAAATGTGTGCCCACTGGGTGGTGGGTGTTGGGTGGTAGGGGTGGCAAGGGTGGCAAGGGTGAAAGGCGTATCCACCGATGACAAAGCACGCAAATATGGAAATTTCGCGACCAAGCGTCAGCACAAAGCGTTGCGACCTTGCTGGGCCGCGGTGTCAGCCATTGTCCTGGTTACTTTTCTCAACCCACTGACCTCTAACCCCCACTAACCACCCACCACCCAACGCCCATCGCCCTCTTGGCGTCATTTGTCTTCCACTTGTTTTGTGGGCGGGTTTTCTTGAGGTTTTTCTATTTGCGTAGGTCAAACATGGGGCTTTGGTGTTAGCGAAAAGTGCGAAATGGATGTGTTATTTCGGTTTGTTTTGTTCTCTAGTTCTTTGGGGACCCCAAAGGTAATTAAACTGTTTACGATGTGTTTTTTATTACATTCACATGGTTAATAAAAGTAAAATATAGCTTGTCAGTTACAATCGAAACAGTTATTACTCTTGTAAATGAAAAAATTTATATTTTCTAGAGGATTTTTATAAGACCTTTTTAAATATATTCCTTAAAAAAGCTCTTAGAAGTCTATGAGTCTTTTAAATTTTTACAAAATATTCAGTATTCAATAATACATTTCTAAAGTATAAGACAAAATATAATTCTTATTTTAATAATGTAAATATCAGTATTAATTTAATAATTTTGTATTTCGTAAATTAAATGCGTAGTATTTGAAATTGTATCCAAATAGTGTACCTTTTACACAATATTTCGAATAAATTACATCAGTAAATTCCGCAGCCATTGATCTTCATTGTAAACAATGAAAATCCATTGTTTGCTGCATTTGCATTGATGACAACAATCTGGACAATAATAACAATAACAACCGGCGGCAATTACAATTTCAATTGCGAATTTTCATTTGAATTGTCGCCACACCGCACACTGCCAAAAGATCCAACCACGTGGGTCCGGCTGGATCTGGAAATAAACAAATTAAAGAAAACTAGAAACAAGTCAACATGCCAAACAATTCATTTTCAATTGGAAAACTCATTGAATGGTTGCTTTCCGGTTGTTACCGGTTTAAAGTTGCTAAAAAGTGATGATCGCATGGAAATCGAACGAAATTGAACATTTTAGTGGGTGTTGTTTATAAAATAAAAATCATGCTGGTATGGAAAGAGTTTTTGGAAACCAATTTCCAGCTGATTAAACCAGTTTGAATTTAGATTTTCTGAAATGGGTTTTAAAGGTTTTCGGATCACAATGTTTTGCGTGCTTAACCAAAGTGGTTCAGTAGTTTGTTTGTGGGAAAATTAACCAGAGTCCCAAAAATAGGTTTGCAAAACTGATTTATCCTTTATTAATTTCTTAATATTTTCAATTTATTTCCAGACATGGTGAATAATTCTCTATGGTTGAAACAACTGTGCTACCCCAAACGTCAGGTAAAATAAAATATTTCGGAAAAAGAAAAAGTATTTATATAATTCCCCCTTTTTTTCAGTTTACCAACTCGACACTTCTTAACTCCTATTCAACATAACAAGAAACTTATTATAATTAATTATTAACAAACCAACACAACAACACTATATCCACTTAATCAACAACATCAATAACTGTCGTTTAATCTCAAAACGTAAACACAACAATTGCTTCAGGAGTCATCCAGGAGATAAACGAATACAAGTGGAGTTAATGTTGAGTGAATACCTGTGAATACTTCTCAACATTGAGCATCTAATTCCATCGACAGCAGGAATTTGTCAGCGAAGGAGAAGGATTTTAATTTGGAATATTGTTAGTTTCGTTTCGGTTTTTTGTCCAACCCAGGGTTATTTGTAGAATTTTATTTATTTATTACCTAATTTAAGGAAGAGCTGATTCGCAGCTTTGAAGAGAGAGGCTCCAAACCGAAGGGTTTAATCAGAGGATAACATTTCAGGGTAATTAGTCACCTAAGTATCGCACCTTCGCAGTTCCAAGCGGCGAATTGTTCCCCCATTTTCATTATGAAAATAACGACAATGAAGTTTAAGCGCAAATATGGCTGTTTAGAGAATATTTGAAAAGAATTTCTCACTTATTAACCAATTTGGATTTTTGTTTCGACCCTCATTTGTTACGTAGTCTTGTATTTTATAAGTTTCCAACAATTGTTTTGCACAATTCAAGCCATCCACCCAGTTAAATCCGCACCACCCAAAAGTCCCTACAGTTTTTGAGTTCAGTTCTCGAGTAGGCAGGAGAGTAATCAGTATTTAGTTAGAGTTGAGAGAGGGAGAGTTTAGTGGTTTGCACCAAGAAGTTTTGAAATACCTTCAACACCGAACGACATTGTCGGCAACATGGAGAGCTTTTCGCCGGAACTATTATGGATGGTGGTCATCGGGTTCCTGATCGCCTTTGTCCTGGCCTTTGGAATCGGCGCCAACGACGTGGCCAATTCATTTGGCACCAGCGTGGGATCTGGAGTCCTAACCATCCGGCAGGCATGCGTTCTGGCCACCATCTGCGAGATATCGGGTGCCGTTTTGATTGGTAAGTAATTAGGTCCTAAATAACAAATTTAAATCAAATTAATTGATTGCGGAATATAGAAACGATTTTTCGAACAGAGAACGTAAATAAATAGCTAACATATCTAATAATTTTGTTCTTCTAATAATTATAAATACTTGCTTAAATATCATTACAATAATTACACAGGAACACAAAATAATAATTATTATTGTTAAGTAACAATAGAAAATTTAAAATAATTAAAATTCGTACTTTTTGGCAAACAACAAATTTAAGAAAATATTTTCCTAATTCCCCTAAAATTCCATGTTGTCCCTCTAAGCCGTTCCCGAGATATACTAATTTGAAGTTTGAGAACATTTTTTAAGTTCTTCTTCTTAACTTCAAAAATTCATAGCGCCCCTTAATGGACACCAAAAATTTTTTAAAAAATCACTGATGATAACCAAGGCAAACTCTACGAACTACCCGAGTTTGAAGAAAATCCATTATTTCATATGCGCAGTTGAGAAATTCTTACCCAACTAATATTAGCATACAACTAATTTATTACCATTATTGAAACGAAATGTTATACTTATACTTTCCTATCTTACAGGCTACAAGGTGTCGGACACCATGCGCAAGGGAATCCTGGAAGTTGGTCTGTACGAGGGCTCCGAGGAAGTGCTGATGCTGGGCTGCGTGTCTGCTTTGGCCAGCAGTGCCGTGTGGCTGCTGGTGGCCACTTTTCTGAAGCTGCCCATTTCGGGAACACACAGCATAGTGGGCTCCACCATTGGATTTTCATTGGTTGCCCGCGGCGTTCAGGGCCTGAAGTGGTCCACCCTGGGCACCATCGTTGGATCGTGGTTCATCTCGCCGGTGATGAGCGGAATTGTGAGCATCCTGCTCTTCCTGGCCATTCGTCGCTTCATCCTGCGAGCCCAGGAGCCGCTCAAGGCGGGATTCCGATCGCTGCCCATTTTCTATGGCGTGACGTTCTTCATCAATGTGATTAGCGTGGTGCTGGACGGCCCCAAGCTGCTCTACATGGACAACATACCCACGTGGATAGCCCTGACGGCCAGTTTTGGTCTGTCCCTGCTGGTTGCCGTGCTCACGCAGTTGGTCGTGGTTCCTCTGCAGCGGCGCAAGATTGCCAAGCGATTGCGGGCCGAGAATCCGGTTAAATTCAACTTCGAGGACTCTGTGGGTAAGTTCATTTCACCTTTCGGTCCTTTCAAATCATTAAGTCAGCTAGCTTTTATAAGTATATGAATATATTGGTCCTCTTGATCAAGTACTTGTGAAAGTTTCAAAAGTAGCGCACCAAAAAGATGATATCGTTCTTTGTTTAGACAACCTTAAACTTTCAAAAGAACACATGATGAAACGCAAATAAGCAAATATTAACTTGTTATGCTGTTTGCTTGAAACATCTTCCAACGATTTTGCTATAAATACTCTGGTTTCGCACGGAAAAAGGCACAACTGTCACAGCAGTCGAAGATATCATCCAAGATGCGATCCCAGCTAGCTGTTTTCCTTGGCCTCGTGGCCATCATTTCGATTTCCTTGGGAGTCTCTGCCCAGACCACGCCCACTGATCCCACCACGCCGACTACCCCAACCACGCCGACGTCTCCAACCACGCCAACTACTCCGCCCACTACCCCGTCGGCTCCAGCATCGCCCGCCACCCCAACGACGCCCACCACTCCACCCACTACCCCAACGTCGCCCACAACGCCCACCTCTCCCACCCCCACCACACCCACTTCGCCGAGTACCCCGTCGAGTAACAGCACCACCACACCACATAAGCATAAGACCCACTGGACGAAAAAGGTAAAGAGATCAGCCAGGAAACGCACACGCAAGATTAAGCATAATGGCGGAAGGAAGGGCCAAGGTGAAAAAAAGCGATCCCGCCGGAATTAAAGGAGTTACCCGAATTGAAATCCTAACTGACCGAAACTATTTGATTACCAATGCAAACCATTTTTAAACCCTTATTTTAGACCTAAATTACTTACATTGTTATAATAATCGCAATATTAAATGAGAAACTAGATTTTCAAAGAAAAAATTTCTTTGTGTGACTTCCCTTTAAAGCAGCGGTCGGCAGCGTCCCATTAAGCAGGCATAGCAAATAGCTCTACATTGTAGAAGACATTCACATTTCACATAGTTGAGTGACTCGTGCAAATTACTCATAGAAATATTAAACAAATTGTAACGCTGCTTTAATGCAAGAAATCCTGACGGATAATGTAAATCGAGTTCAACATTGCATTTAAGATCATTCTAAACATTTTAGAAATATGTATCCAAAGTTGGAACTCATTTGTGACGAAAGTTGTTTATTTTGGTATATAAAAAACGTTTGTTATGAGAGTTTTTATACCCGTTACTTAACAGTAAAATGGTGTATAGTATTCGTTCAAAAGCATGTAACAGCAGAGTCGATATAGCCATGTCAGTCTGTCCGTCTGTCCGTCTGTCTGTCCGTCCGTATGAACGCTGAGATCTCGGAAACTACAAAAGATAGAAAGTTGGGATTACCACACATATTCTTGGGATTCGTAATAGTAAAAATTCAGTTTTATTGTGTTTATCAATACCCATCGCACTCCTTTTAGCTGAGTAACGGGCATCTGATAGTCGGGGCACCCGAATCTCTTGCTTACATTTCCATAAATAAAAATAGCATTTGTTCCAAATCACATTTTTAAGGGTGTGAATATGAATATAGAATGTAGAATTTTTCGGTTGCAGTTTTACAACTAACGGTAGACGATTTTTCAATTCAAGACCTTATCAAGAAAGATATCAAATTAATTCATTATTTTGTTCAGCCACAGCGTTTGAATATGGAAAATAATAACGGAATCTGTAATCCCATTTTTCTCCAAATAAATAATTAGAATTTTTTATTAAAATGATCATTTAATATTGCAAACATAAAAACACTTAAAATAAAAGTAAAGTAACAAAGTACAAAATGCGTTGGTCGATTAGCAAAATCTTCTGGGTCTGTCCAATTTGGGTATTCTCCTTAATTCAGGCATGATCGATGTTGGCGTCTGCGATCCTTATCAGAACCACCACCATTGCGGTGGGTCGTGACAATCCTGGCTGGTCTATTGGTTTTACTCTTGGAATGTCTACGAACCACCTTCTTCTTTGGTGCCTTGGTGGTGGGTGTAGTTGGCGGGGTACTCGGCGTGGTGGGTGTGGTGGGGGAGGTGGGCGTTGTGGGTGGAGTGGTGGGCGTTGTGGGTGGAGTGGTGGGCGTCGTTGGGGTGGTGGGCGATGCTGGAGCCGACGGGGTAGTGGGCGTGGTCGGAGTAGTTGGCGTGGTTGGAGACGTCGGCGTGGTGGGATCAGTGGGCGTGGTCTGGGCAGAGACTCCCAAGGAGATCGAAATAAGGGCCATGAGGCCAAGGAAGACAGCTAGCTGGGATCGCATCTTGGTTGATATCTTCGACTGCTGTGACAGTTGTGCCTTTTTCCGTGCGAAACCAGAGTATTTATAGCAAAATCGTTGGAAGATGCTTCCACTTGTTTGTCTAGGCAAACAGTTTATTTGTGTTTGCCAAGTCACGATTCACCATGTGCCATCGAAAATAATGTAGAACTAGGTTGTTTACACAAAGATCGTAGCCACCTTTTCATTGGCTTATGATATAATACCATTCGATCAATATAAATATTTAATTAAACCCAATTAGGCAGTATTTAACACTTGAATAGAGCCAAATTATGATCTCATTGTTTTTGGAACTTAAGAATATTAATATAATAGTAATAAATTATTGGAATTGGCCTTCCAGAATCCTCGCCGTCGGGCAGTCCCAAGAAACAGCGTCGTCCTTTGTCGCTGGTCAGCGAAGGAAAGCCATTGCCCGCCATTGCGGAAATTACCGAGCTGGTCTCGTTGAGCGACAACTCGCCCAGGACCTTCAAGCTGGCTCCTTTCGGACTTTCGGCGGCCAAGAACAACAACGCACCCGGCGAGGAGTACAAAATCGATCCGCAGCTGATCAAGAAGGCCGAGGATCTGCTGGGCAAGGCCAGTCTGGACAACACCGATCTGACGATCACCAGCCTGAACTTCATCGACGAGCAGCAGCAGCAGCAGCAACAACAGCAGCAACAAAATGGACGCAAGTTGCAGGAGTGCTTCAAACGGATCCAGTCGCCCAAGGAGGAACAAAAGGTAGCTGTAATATCATTCAAATATTATTTCAGATACTTACTTATATTTCCATTTCCAGCACAAGGCGAGTCCCGTTGCCGCGGACTTGGAAGCCGGAGCTGCCAAGACCACCAACAACAACCTTCAGGTGGTGGAAAGCGCCGGCAGCCTCGATCTGATGATCAGTTCCACACTGTCGCCCAATTCCAGCAAGGTACCGCTGATCGAGAGCAAGGAGGCGCTGAATGAGCAGGAGGAGGAATTGAAGCGGGCAGCGGACGGCGGACGAAGAACCAGCGGAGCGGAGGAGACCCAGGAGATTTCAATGCTCTTCTCGTTCCTGCAGATCCTGACAGCCACCTTCGGGAGTTTCGCCCATGGCGGCAATGATGTGAGCAACGCCATCGGCCCACTGATTGCCCTCTATATGATCTATCGCGAGGGATCGGTTATGCAGCGGGCGGAAAGTCCCATCTATATTCTTATCTACGGCGGCATCGGCATCTCCGTGGGTCTCTGGCTGTGGGGACGACGCGTCATAGAGACCATTGGCAATGACCTAACCAAGATCACTTCATCGACGTGAGTTTTTTTATTTTATTATTAAAATCAGCAAATAAGTGTTATGAGTTTAAAAAAATTGAAAGCCAAAACAGCGAACAAAAAATCTGGGAAAAATACCACTTACTTTGTTTAGCTCGGCAAACGAGAAAAAAAGATAAACCTTTTTTTTTCAATTTTTATAATAAAAATTACGATCCCTGATTAAAATACAATTTAAAAATTTTTTTTTATGTTTTTCATGTTTTGCTTAAAAAAATCTAAAGATTAATATTATTTAAATTTAGAAAGGGAATAAATACCTATTAAATCTAAAATAAATTTAGATTTATAATAAATTTGCCAGAAATTTTCAATTTAATATTTACCTACACCATTCAATAACTATTTATTTGTTTGTTTTTTTCAGTGGTTTTACTATTGAAGTCGGAGCGGCCATCACCGTACTGCTGGCCAGCAAAATTGGCTTGCCCATTTCGACCACTCACTGCAAGGTCGGTTCTGTGGTTTTCGTGGGCCATGTTAGTGCGGCGGGTCGCAAGAAAAGTCAGCCAGGAGATCAGGAACATCAGGCAACAGCAGGAATCGACAAGGATGCCCATAACAATGTGGCGCCCACGGAGGATGGCAGTGTCGACTGGCATCTTTTCCGGAATATTGCCTACGCCTGGATTGTGACCGTGCCGGTAACCGCTCTCCTCAGCGCCGGAATGATGTACGTGCTGTGTGCCATTGCCGTGGACGACATGGGTGGAGCCTAGAGATCGGCCAGAGATTGCCATTCAATTATTAATTGTAATCGCAAAACCAAAATCATGTTTCGTATTTGTACAAGTTGGAAAACACAAAACTTAATATTAAACACGCAAGAGAAAACTCAAGAAAATTGGGAGAAAATCTTAACTAAATTACTCGCCTAACTACAACATTGTATTTAGCTCATAGAACGTCTCTGAGTCTAACTGATATTAATATTGTTTAATATGTGTACGCCAAGCATGTCGTGATTTAATTTTATATTTATACACTCCGATTTATGTTTATATCCGAATTTCACTTAATTTATAATGCATTTGTAACTCCTTTGTAGATCTAATCCGAAACCTCTCACATTATTTTACACCACTCAATAGAGCAGAGCAAAACACTTGAATAAAATACAAACTATGTACAACAGAAAATGTTTATACGATCTGGTCATGACCAATTTTCCGATTTCTTTTATAAATGTGTGTGTTATTATTTCCTATTGTTTATTTTGAGATTCCTTTAACACGGTACAATTGATTTGAAATATTGAAAAACCTAACTTATGAGGCTCTCCAGTCCGTTTTAAATTTACATTCCATTGAGAGCCAGTTCGTATAGTATTTCACTATGTAGATATACGGAAATAAATACAAAGTTATGACATACAACAATCCTTTTATTCGCGAATATGTCTTTACTTGGAGGTAAAGTTTGGATTTCCAATTTAAAAAGGGAATTCTTAATTCTGTTTATCAAGAATCAAACTGCTTGTAAAAGTCTTTTGTATTGAAATAAGTAGATGATTCTTGCTTTTTCATCCTATCACAAAATCAATTATAAAATAATTGTATCTTCATGGTTGTTTCAAGTTCTTACTCGGAATAACCCAAAATCCTTTCGTGCTTATAATGTAGAACACAGAATGGGTTTTATTGATCTTTGTTTAAACAACCTGAATAAACTAATATACTCATTTGTTGAATCGCAAAAAAGCAAACACCAACTCATAATACTGTTTGCTTGAGAAAAGCATGTGTGAAAGATCTTCCAACGATTTGGCTATAAATACTCTGGTTTCGCACGGAAAAAGGCACAACTGTCACAGCAGTCGAAGATATCATCCAAGATGCGATCCCAGCTGGCTATCTTCCTTGGTCTCGTGGCCCTTATTTCGATTTCCTTGGGAGTCTCTGCCCAGACCACGCCCACTGATCCCACCACGCCGACGTCTCCAACCACGCCAACTACTCCGACCACGCCCACTACTCCGACCACGCCCACTACACCGTCGGCTCCAGCATCGCCCACCACCCCAACGACGCCCACCACTCCACCCACAACGCCCACCTCCCCCACCACACCCACCACGCCGAGTACCCCGCCAACTACACCCACCACCAAGGCACCAAAGAAGAAGGTGGTTCGTAGACATTCCAAGAGTAAAACCAATAGACCAGCCAGGATTGTCACGACCCACCGCAATGGTGGTGGTTCTGATAAGGATCGCAGGCGCCAACATCGATCATGCCTGAATTAAGGAAAATACCCGAATTCGACAGACCCAGAAGATTTTGTTAATCGACCCACGCATTTTGTACCCTATTGTTACTTTACTTTTATTTTAAGTTTTATTATGTTTGCAATATTAAATGATCATTTTATTACAAAAATCTAATTATTTATTTGGAGAAAAATGGGATTACAGATTCCGATATTATTTTCCATGTTTAAACGATGTGGCTGAACAAAGAAATGAATTAATTTGATATCTTTCTTGATAAGGTCTTGAATTGAAAAATCGTCTACCGTTAGTTGTAAGACTACAACCGAAAAATTCTACATTCTATATTCATATTCACACCCTTAAAAATGTGATTTGGGACAAATGCTATTTTAAATTATGATCATTTGAGATGTAACCAAGAGAGTCGGGTGCCGCGACTATCAGATACCCGTTACTCAGCTAGAGAGAGTGCGAGGGAGATGGAGATATAAAATTTATATATAAAAAGATCGGGTATAAATTTTGAAAGATTGAAAGCAATCATTAATAATGATTTACTTTGCTCTGCCAAATCTGTTCTTAACATGGAAAATAGTATTGGAATCTATAATTATATTTTTCCATTATGTTTATGTGCTTTTGTTTTCACCCTGTTTTAGGTTTCTCCAAAAAATAATTCGATTTTGTTCAATAAAATTATCATTTAATATTGGGAACTTAAAAATAAATTAAAATTAAAAAACAATAGTCCGGTGCCCCGACTATCAGATACCCGTTACTCAGCTAGAGCGAGTGCGAGGTATATATAAAACTTTAATGCGCCTGGCTAGTCTATGGATTTTACGCTTGGAAGGTCTAGTAATAACCAGCTTCTTATTTGGTGACACGGTGGTGGGTGCAGTGGTGCTGTTTTCAGAGGCCGGGGAACTCAAAGAAGTGGGTGTGGTTGGGAAGGTGGACGTTGTGGGCGACGTTGGGGTGGTAGGCGATGCTGGAGACGTCGGCGTTTTGGGATCAGTGGGAGTGGTCTGATCAGAGGCTGACGTGGCAGTCGAAATGAGGGCCACGAGGCCAAGGAAGACAGCAAGCTGGGTTCGCATCTTGAATGATACTTTCGACTGATGTGACAGTTGTTCCTTAGTATATATAGCCAAATTATTAAAAGATGTTTCCACTTGTTCGTCTAGGCAAACAGTTTATTTATGTTACTATTCACCATGTGTCATCAAAAACGTAGATTATTATTACGAAGTGGGTTGTTTAAACTATGACGTAACCACCTTTTCTTTGCCTAAATATATACGATTAGCACAAAAACGAAAAAAATTTTAAAAGTACTATTAAAAGGAACACGGGGTGTTACACAAATCACTAGGATTTTGAAATTAGTATGCACTGAATGAAGGATGGTCATTTATGTAAACACATGTTGATGTTGTTAGCCAACAAAGAAATAGGGAAATTTAATCATTTATCAAACAAAACATAAAAATACGTTATTTTTCGAATGCTAATGTCTGAATACCCGTTACTCGTAGGGTGGTGAAAGGATATTTTGTATTTCCGACCCTATAAAGTATATATATTCTCGATCAGGATCGCTTGCTAAACTTATATGTTAAAAATATCAAATAAAAATGTAGATCCTGGTAAAATTATTTATACTTTAACTTGTGTGGCTTAGTCGTAGTATCGTAAGCCAAAAGTCGACTTTTCGGCTGTGTATAAATGTCTAAGAAAGCCCAACAAAACGCAGTTCCATTTGAAAGCTTAAATGGGAAAGCTTTTGAGCGCGTGGCGCTTGGGGCTCGAGAGCCCCATGAATCGAGAGCCCCCAACTTTGGGTCAGTTGAGTTTTAAGCTTCGATGCGTTCGGTTCGCTATTCCCGATTCCGCGTGATTCTGAAGACCCGGTTTGGTGCAATTTAAACTCGTAACGTCTGCGCACTTAACGACCCAAAAATACGACATTCGGAGTGCTAACTGATCGGGTTTTTTGGCCAACACATAATTGTGAGAATTTAAAAACTTCCTGTGAATCATTCTTTGGATTTACGCATTTGGATTTGAACCACATACACACTTTGGCGAATTAAAGGTAAGAAATTTACTTTTATGTCTGACAATCTGACAACGATTGAGTTTGGAAATCTGTTCAATTTATTTCAATATTTCTGGGCGTACCACTTCCGCCCAATCTTTGGGCTTCCTTTCCCTTTCCCACTTTTCTAGGCCCACATTCAGTTCGATGGATTTCCACAAGTACAAGTATTACTTAATTTCTTTGCTTAATCCGATTTGCGTGCATTGAACTTTTCATCTTTGGTTATTTTTCGCTGTTGATGTTGTAGTCGCTGTTATTATTTTTTTTTTTCTGTTGGACTTTATTTTGCACCAACTTCTTGTGGTTTATTCTTGTTGTTGTTGCTGTTGCGACTGTTGATTGTTTTTTGTTTCTCCAACATCTCCGTCTGGCAAACGGCTTGTTCTCATTTTATTTAATGAGTTCTCCGGTATTTCAGCCTTTGTTTTGCATTGTTCGAAACCCTGTTTGTTCAATAGGTTTAAAACGTTTCAGCAATTCAGGCCAAAACAAAATTATTAGCAAGTGGATTTGACTTTTATGGGGCTTTCTGACATCGCTTAAAGCTTTAATGAATGAAATGTTTGTCTGAAAAATGTTTCTGTTTTAGGGTGTATTTATGATTCTATTTAATTTCTAAATGGGGAAAATGTAAATAGTCTTTAAAAGGGTAAGCGAATAAACGCGAGTTATAATCAAGCTACTGAAGAACATAATAGATGTTAGAATTGAATGATTTTATTAATTTATTTTAATGAGTGACAAATAACATTGGGAAGAAATATAACAACATTTTATTAACAATTAAAATTAATATTTGTTACACAGTTAACGGAAATAAATTTCGATTATTCGGCATATATATAAATCTCCAAGCGTAAATAAACATTGGCTTGCCAACAAGAAAATCTCTACTATTCCCTTCAGGTGTTGTTTAGCTTTTTCTACATTTCCTTAAGTAGTAATCAAAAATAAATATTTTACAATACCTACCTTTTTTCCCCACCTAACTAGTAATAGCTTTCTTCCGATGAAATTCTTTGCTGGCACCACATCATAATTAACTTTTTAGCAAATTAATAACCTGCCAATCGTAGATCGATGTCAAAAGTCTGCGCCCAGCATGTGCGACCCATTTTGGCTAGAATAACCATGAGGCACCTGTTCGATCTCCCGGACAGTTGACCGGGCTCATTATGGGGCCCAAAACTAGCGGTATTCCCCCTTTAAAAGCGATGCCGACACCTGAAGATAGACAAAACCCATTGGGAACCCATTCGCAAAACCAAAACCCAAACCAAACCCACTCGCGAAAGCCACAAAGTCAATTCTGTGCAGAACAAAAGCCAAAACGATCGAAGCCATTAAGCCTGGCCAAGAGTTGCGAGTCGAAGAGCCCGGGCAAAAGTCATTAAAGACAAAATCTATTGAAAACGGCTAACAACACGCCTTAAAAATACTTTGCTGTCGATGTGGCGGGGTAAAAATATTTTCTGCTGCACATGGGAGTTTTTCATGTTGGCCAGGTGGATGTTGTAGATGCCATGGCCTAAGCCGCCCCGCCCCCTCTCTGCCACCCCACCCCCCTTTTGGCCATGTTAATTATGCGCTTATCAGTTCGTTACAAACGCTGCAGTTTCTCTCCGCTGAGGAGTCCACTCGTACATACAACCCGCAATTACCTGGACACTCCAATCGAATTCCACTGGCGTTCTAATTTCTTTGCTCTCTTTTCGCTGCGATTAATCAAAATGGTATCTATCGGATGCAAGCCTTCCACATATCGTATGGTTCACTGTAATTACTGGATTCTGCTGGGGCTGCCTTTGCATATGAGTACATAATCATAACCCTCGGAGCGATCCATTCGCGCTCTCTGCCATTTGGCTCACTTTCTCCTCCTTTTCGCGGCGGTGGCTCCAATTGGCGGGAGTGGTCACTCCCCCCGCCCCCCAAACACCGATTCGATTTGACAATCTATAAAAAATATTGATGATAATATTTAGTTTGTATGAAAGCCAATGGCAATTATGAGAAACCCAGCTTGCTTTTCCTATTTTCCGCTTGGAGACGACCACTTGAGGTGTGGATCGTTTTTAATTAAGAGAACCATTAATAATTTCGGTCAGATACATAGATTCAATACGATTTGGTTACTCGCTGCCTTTATAAAAATTCCTTTGCAATTAATAGTATAAGTCTACATGCTCAACAAGAATTTGTGATGGAAAAACCAAATTTTTATAGCAGTAAAGCATTGATTTTGTATTTTTCTTTATGAGCTATAAATTTAACAAATATTACACCTCGTTTATGTAATGCACACTCTGTCTCGGAATTGCATTAAAACTCCACCTGCATCAGCATAAAAAAATCAATGAAAATATCACCCGAAAAGGGAAACTTAATGCACATTTTCCGCGTATTTGCGTAACATCCCGAAGAAGTTGCCAAAAACAAAAAAACGCAGAAAAAGCCAGACGAATGCGATGTCAAAATCGGAGAATTGGAAACTCAAAAAAAGGTATAGGTAAATACGAAACACCCGAATAATGGTTACTTTCTAACGTGGCCAGGCTGTTTCCTGATGTCCCATGGCTTTCCTAGGATTTCCTTTTTTTTGTTTTGCTGCCTTGGACATTATCGCCCCGAAAACTCACTTGACAGCCAGACACCGCCCCGCCGGCCCCCTTTGCACCATTGTCATTGAAGTCGACGACTCCACGCGGACCGCCGACTGCATTTCCCACTCAAGACAACATTTCATAAAGTTTATTAAACTTTAACCAAATTGTTAAAGCGCCGATTTGCCGCTACCTCTCCACCTCCCCATTCACTTTTTGTGCTGCTGTAGGCGCTCCAAACGAGTCCATCAACTTTGGCCAGCCTCGGACCAAAACAAACTGCCACATTGCCCGCAGTTGGCTCGAATGCATTGGTAATGGTAATGGCTTCAACCACGGCTAACCATGGGTATTTCGTTTTCCTTGAAGTGGCAAACATTTTCCTCGAACGCCACTCGAATCATTTTCATTCGACTGCCACTCGCAGACGCATGGATTATTTGCATTCGTGTCGCCGCCCGAGAATCGCAAATTAATTTTCATTTTGCGTTAACTGTCAAAAAGTAAAATCTATTAAGCGATCACTTCCTTCGGAGGCGAAAAACGCGATGGGGAAATGCAAGAAAATCAATTCAATCTTATGCAACAGAAATGGCCAGTTGGCGTTATCGAACCACATATTTGTTATAACTTATGGATATTAGCATTATTATGTGGATATATGGAATTGGATTTAACGATTTTTAGAATCAATAGACTTTACAAAAATATAAAATATATTGTTGCTTCAAAGAAAGCTCTATCTATAATGATTTATGTTTGTTTATTTTTTTAACAAATCATATTTACATTTAAGGAATAAAAAGTCCTTTGCTCATTGACCAAAGACTTAAATTGATTTAAAATACCAAATAATATTAAATTTGAAATAACTTTGTTGATCTTTGGAATAAAAAGTATTTCCCTAAAGGAACGTTTCTTTGTTAGTTCATAAAGAATTTCAATATTTGGCCATTTCTGTCTTTCTTTAAGTGAAAGTGAGAAAAGCGACTAAGGGCCAAAACACAATTTTGTTCTTTTTTTTCCTAACTGAAATTTAATTTTGCATAATTTTTTTAAAATCTTTTGATACCACAAGTTTGAAGGTTGCTCCCTCTTACTGACGATCAAATAAAATAAACTGCAGGTTGAACATGTCTTTCACATGTGAACAGATACGACCATACAGACAATAACAAAGCATGGCAGTGCATTTGACTTAATTAGGAAATTGTACAAGTGCATGAGCTGAACCCTCAGGCTGCAACGGCAATTGGCATTAGCCACATTAACCGCATTTTTCCATCAGGCAGCCAGGTAAGCCGAACGATATGTCACTACTTGACTTGACTAGCCGCCTTTTCCTTCACTTCACCCACGGAGTTGCAGTCACAGGTTTGCTTTGCCTTTAATGCTGCATTTGCATTGAAAGTTGTTTTGGTTCGGTTCCAATTGAAATTGAAAATTCCAGCAGGGAATCGCGTTTCTTTCAACTGGCTAATGGCAATGGATCGCAGGGAAAAAATACCCATTTGGTATTGAAATTTTTCAATCGTCGAGCCAACCGGCTGACATTGAAGATGCTGGTAAAATGTCAAGGGTTAGCAATGGGTTTTTGAAGCTTGTAATAAAGTCTTTAAAAGTTCTTTGTATGTATTCTTTTGATTTTAGTATTAATATTTAAAAAACACAAATATTTGGATATTTAAATACATTTATTTTCATTCTAAAATATTTATTTGAAATTTAAGCTTTAAATTACTCTTAAAATTCGCTAAACATAACTCTTAATTTTATTAAGCCCATTTAATGCTAAATCGAAACCATTCTGTGCTTCGACATTAAAATGGACCAAAACATGATTCGTTTTGTAACAAAGTTTTATCTCCATTAATCCCCAGATCGCGGTAATTTAGTTTTAATTTTCTATATTTATTTATTACCTCATTTCGGACCACTTTAGTGCTGCTGGCAGCTCTTTGCCTTCGAAGAACAAGTTTATCCGTTCCGATTGTGAAACCGAAAGCCTTTGCTTTGATATTCGTGGCTGAGGGAAAAGAATGCGGCAATAATCGCCAGCAGCCAATATAAGCATAATTGCTCGACGGTTTTGCCAATCATTTCGTGGGCGTGTCTCTGTTTTTTTCTTCTGTGATTTTCCTGTGAATTTCCTTTGCAACAATTTATTTCATAGAAAATCAATTCAATGCGCGAACGGCAGAAACTTTCATTAAAAAATGCCAAAGCGTCTGGGACAATTGGACATTGCGCATACGCCCGGTTGGCCACAATTTGATTATGGAAATGCAATTTTAGTCGTTTCCTCATCGAACATTGTGGGTATATCATTTTATCCCCCCGCCCAATTTTTGCAACACGCGAAATAATAACACGCATGTCGACCCAATTTCG